GAGGATGGTGACTCATGGCTGCAGGTGACCCGCAGGCTCCCCATCCTGCCGACCCTCCTCACCACCCTGGAGGTGAGCCTTCGCATGCGGCAGAATCTGCACTTCACCGAGGCCTCACTGCACCTGCTCCTCACTCTTGCTCGCACACAGCAGGTAGGAGGCCGGGTGGGGCCTGTCACCACCACCTGTTATCCCGGAAGCTGCTGGGCTGGGTGGCCGCCGGCAGGTTCCCTCTCCTTCCATGTCTTTCCCTCCCAGGGAGCCGCAGCAGTGGCAGGAGCCGGCATCACCCAGAGCATTTGTCTGCCCCTCCTCAGCGTGTACCAGCTCAGCGCCAATGGCGCGGTGCAGGTGAGCACCAGGACCCTGCGCTGGCCAGACCGCAGGTTCTAAGACAGGTGCCCCGCCCCCACCCCTTAGGCTTTCACTTGCCCAGGAAGAAGTGGCTTAAGTGACTCGTCTAAGGACGGATGGTACAGAATCCTTCCCACCCCCATGCTGAGATAAGCTTCCCACCCTCCAAGGAGATACTCGGACGACGGTGCCCTCTCCTCAGCCCTTCTCCTCCAGGCAGTGATTGGCCCCTGCTGATTTTCTCCTCTGAGCAGCCAGACGGCCGTAGCTGCTCTCCCTATCAGCTGGCCGCGGTGCTGCCCTGACCTGATCTGGCCCACTGTGTCTTAGACACCTAGTGCCTCTCGGAAGTCCCTGGACGCCCCCTCGTGGCCGGGGGTCTACCGCCTGTCCATGTCTCTGATGGAGCGACTCCTCAAGACTCTGCGTTACAACTTCCTGACTGAGGCCCTGGATTTTGTGGGGGTTCACCAAGAGCGGACCTTGCAGGTGGGCTGCCAGTAGTGTGGGTGGCACTTGGGGAAACAGAGGGTCCCAGCCATTCCACACTTGAGGCTTGGCAGTGAGGGGTGATGGAAGCCCCTAGTTCTGAGGCGCCCTAAGGATGACTGGCTGGTGGCAGCCAGAGCACAGGTGCCCTACTGAGGGGCGTGGTGGGGTCAGCAGAGAACCTTGTTCTCAGAACGCCAAGGCACCCATTTTGCTGCCTCCTAAGAGTGTTTGTGGGCCCAGGACCTGTGCTCCCCATGGGAAGGCGGGTCCCTAAGTCACTGTCCTTCCTGGGTCTCCCCCAGTGCCTCAATGCAGTGAGGACAGTGCAGAGTCTAGCCTGCCTGGAAGAGGCGGATCACACCGTGGGCTTCATCCTGCAGCTCTCCAACTTCAGGAAGGAATGGCACTTCCACCTGCCGCAGCTCCTGCGGGATGTCCAGGTGCAACCCCGCCCGTCTCTGGGAGGGTCTGGGGCTCTGCTCGGGAACAGGCAGCAGCAGGCACTCTGGGACACCCCAGTGACTTGCAGGCCTGTTTTGGTGCATGGGCTTTCTCGGGCAGCATGGGGTTGGTGCGTTCCTGTTGCCTCCTCTGGAGCTAGTTTCCTTCCACAGTGAAGGGCAGCCTCTGGGGTAAGAACGTGGGGTCTGTCAGAGGCACCTCGGTTCACAGCCCTGGGAAGTGGAGACACAGGCTCTGGAGTCAGGCACCTCGCGGTGGTGACCTTGGCCAAGTCCCTCCTCTCTTTCTCAGCCTTTTCCTAGTGTAAAATGGGAAAACAGCCCCCATCTTAGTTACTTCCTCAGGACCTCACACCGTCCCAGGCACGTCGCTGGGTCCTGAAGCAGTCCTGGCACCTGTGGGCCGGGGTTTGCCGCTGGAGAGTGTAGAGGGCGTGTCAGAGTGCTTAGTGCAGAAGGAGGGGGAGCCCATGCTTGGCTGGGCAGCTGCCTATGACCCTCATCCCTCTGCTCTTCGCTTCAGGTGAACCTGGGCTACCTATGCCAGGCCTGCACCTCCCTCCTGCACAGCCGCAAGATGCTGCAGCACTACTTGCAGGTAACCGCCCTTCCCCCCGTGGTGCCCTCAGGCCTCGCCCCTGGAATCCCTGTGTTCTATCTGCACTTCCTGTCTCTCCCCAGAACAAAAATGGGGATGGCATCCCCTCAACTGTCGCCCCCCGAGTTCAACGACCACCCACAGCTGCCCCTGCTGCCCCCTCCTCCTCCAAGCAGCCCACTGCCGACATAGAGGCCGCCGAGCAGCGGGCCCTGCATGCAGTCCAGTACGGGCTGCTCAAGATCCTCAGCAGGACCCTGGCGGCCCTGCGCCACTTCACCCCGGACGTCTGCCAGATCCTGCTGGATCAGGTACCGGCCTCCAGTCTCCATGCTACGAGCCTTGGAAGTTTGCGCCATGCTGCGCCCCGCCCTTGCAAACTCACTGGCTGGATCCTTAGTCCTAGAGCCCCATCTAGGCCCTGAATCGCTCTCGTCTTGCCTTGCAGTCCCTGGACCTGGCCGAATACAACTTCCTGTTTGCTCTGAGCTTTACCACTCCCACCTTTGACTCTGAAGTGGCCCCCTCCTTCGGGACCCTTCTGGCCACAGTGAACGTGGCCCTAAACATGCTTGGAGAGGTAAGTTGGGTGTTGTCAGAGCTGGCCTCCCGCCCCCAGCCTCCTGCCCACACCTTGGGCCTGGTACGTGGCTGCTGAGCCCGAGGCAAGTGTGGGGCCCGCCTGTGAGGATGCAGTGGAGTCATGGACAGGACTATTCGGCAGTGAGGTCCCTGCCACCATATGGCTTTACTGCCTCTTGATTCTCTTCCTCTAGCTGGACAAGAAAAAGGAGCCCCTCACCCAGGCCGTGGGGCTCAGCACTCAGGCTGAAGGGACCAGAACGCTGAAGTGAGCAAGTCCTCCTGGGATGTTTGGGGTGGGGCAGTCACGGGCAGCTCCGTCTTGGCCCAGCGGCCCTTCACCACAGCATCCAATCCTGCCCCTTCTCCAGGTCTCTCCTGATGTTCACCATGGAGAACTGCTTCTACTTGCTCATCTCCCAGGCGATGCGCTACCTGAGGGACCCAGCCGTGCACCCCCGGGACAAGCAGCGCATGAAGCAGGAGCTCAGCTCGGAGCTGGTAGGAGTAGACCCGGGGCCCTGACTTGGGGGCAGGGCAGGGGGGAAGAACCCTGGGGGCCCGCCGGACACAGCCTCGTGAGCTGCCTCTTCTCTCCTAGAGCACGCTGCTCTCCAGCCTCTCGCGCTACTTCCGCCGGGGAGCTCCCAGCTCCCCTGCCACGGGCGTCCTCCCCTCGCCGCAGGGCAAGTCCTCCTCCCTGTCCAAGGCCAGCCCTGAGAGCCAGGAGCCTCTGATCCAGCTGGTGCAGGCCTTTGTCCGCCACGTGCAGAGATAGGGCAGGGGCCCGCCGCCCGCCTGCCCGCCACCAGCCTGCGCGGCAGCCCCGGGCAGTGGGGTTGCTGCTGGCCTGCCACCCCACCTGGGACCGAGAGCAGCCTCTCCCCGCGTAGCCGCGACTCCGACCACCCGCCCACTGGCGTTATTTTTGTAATAGATCGAGAGGTCAACAGCAGGGGGGACGAGTTGGCTGTGCTCACGCTCTCGCGTTCAGAATGCCCCAGAGGGGTGCTCCTTCCCTTCAGCCGTCCTCACAGGACTTGACTGCTCGGGGGGCGGGGGAGCCAACGTCACGTTCAGTTCAGGAGAGTCTTTGCACGGGTTTGAAAATCTGTTTTCCATGCTCTGTTCTTGCAGTTTTTTGGTAATACTGTGGTCTATTTATACAAATATTAAAATACTGTTTATAGATGGCTGTGTGCTGCGAGTTCAGGGCCAGAGCCACTGGCCAGTCCTCTGAGCCAACCCGCTTCCTCAGCCGGGGGCCCGGAGGAGCCTAGGAGGCGCGTTGGTGCTGACTGCTGTGCTGTTAGTGTTCCTGGCCGCAGGGCGCCGGTGGACACTCAGCTTTTCCCTTCCTTGGCACGCAGGTCTTGTTCACCCCCCTTCCATTTACCAGCTGGCTCAGCTTATCACTGGGTGGAGCCTTTCTTGAAGCTCCACTCCTTCCTATTTATAGCTGGGCCCCTGCTCTCCATCCCCACCCAGAAGTCCAGCGTTGGGCCTACCAGCCCTTGGCCTGCTCAGGACCTAGTCACACTGCTGGGCCCCTCTAAAGGCCATCTGAAATCTGGAGTGTGGCCCGAAACCATCACTGGAAGTTTCTGGAATCAGACTGACCTGGGCCAGGGTTCCTGCCTGGCCACTCACAGTTATGGCACCTTGAGATGACTGTCTTTTTGATGGTTCCTCATGTGGGGATGACATTAGAAGGCATGTCCATGTGTCCCTCCACGCTGGCCCACAAGAACCGTGCTTACTCGGTTGGACAGACTTCACAGTCCAACGAGAACACTTCCCTGCCAAGTGGGCAGGAGGTGCCTCGGCCCCAGTTTTTGGGGAATGGCCACAGCAGGCTGTGGTGCTGTTTGGACCGCGCCCCGCCTGGAAGGAGGAACAGTGCCCAGGGTCTTCCCTCTCCCGGCCCTGCCAGCCGATGGGGTCTGCGACCCCCACAGGAGCCAGGCCAGTGCACGTGAAGGAGGCTTTATTACTCGTCACTGGCTAGAGCAAGCGGACAGGCAGAGTAAAAAGATCAGATAGAAAGTGAGTGGCGGGGCAGGCCGCGGCGCCGTCCTGGCTGGAGCGGGGAGGGAAGGTAGCACCGGGAGAGGCCGCTCTCGGGCCAGACCTGCCTTGGGCCAGGCTCCCGGCTCCAGTTCCTCCAGAGGGGACAGCGCCCCTTCCTGGGGCCACCTCACACCTGCTGGTCCCTCTGCTGCTTTCGGCAACAAAAAGGCAGTGCTCTTCTCGCCCAGGGCGAATCCTGGCTTCAGGGCCAGCTGCCCCAGCACAGCCCCTCCCTCCCGAGGAGCCCCCCCGGAGGGTTGGGTGCTTGGGGGTGCAGGCAGGCTTGGGGGCTCCAGAGCCTCAGGTCAGAAGCAGGGCTGGGGGATGGGCTGGGGCCATTCAGCCTGGGGGGGGGGCCCTCACAGCTGGATGGCCGGGAGCCAAGACAGGACGGGGTTGGCCGCCCCGCCCTGAGCAGCTGGTCAACGACAGTGGCAGGGGGGCCGTCCTCTCCCACCAAGGCTGGAACAGGCGGGGCCAGGGCGGGGGCCTGCTTAGCTGAGCAGTTCCAAGTAGGTGACGGGGACCTTGCCCTTCTTGTTGCCTCTCTCGCCGACGAGCCAGTCGGGGTCCATGCCCGGCAGGCTGTAGACCGTGATGAGCTGGAGGGGGGCAGAGAGCAGGTCACGCTTGGCCAGGCCAAAGCTGGCCCAGGACTCAGCGGGCGCAGGGCACAGGGCGCAGGGCTCCCTCTGACATGCAATCTACTCCTCCAGGGCCCCTCCTTGCCTGCCTCTGGAGACGCGGCTTCCACGGAGCTGGCGCAGCTTCCCTCCCCCCAGGTCCTGAGTTCCTAAGCCAGCCCTTTCCCGTCCCCCGGGGTGGCACCAGGCCCACCCACCTCATCTGCCAGCAGGGCCAGCTCACTGCTGTCGGCTGCCTTGTAGTCATAGAGCACCCGGGCCTTCCGGGTGCCACTGGCAGGGGGTGCCACCTCCTCCAGGCAGAGGGCAGCTTCCCCCGGAGGGACCAGTCCAGCCCCAGAGGGCCCCACAGGCATGGTGGCAGCGGTGGTGGTGGGTGAGGTGCTGCTCAGAGGCGGGGAGGTGGGCTCTGTCGTCCCCACGAAGGTGCCTGGAAATCTGGAGAGTGGGTACATCTCGTCAGCTGGGGGCCCTATCCTGGGTGGAGTGCCATGTGCGCCCCCCCCCCCCCCGAAACAACAGCTGGACCTACTGCTGCAGAGGCGAGGAGATTCCAGGCTACTTACATGGCTCCCTGGGAACTGGCAGCATGAAGGGAAAAGCAAAGCAAGGGGAGGGTGAGACGCCCCTGCCCACCCCTGCTGTCCCCCGCCCAGCATGTGGGGAGCTGCTCTGGTCAGCTCAGAGGCCAGAGAGGTCGGACATGGCCAGGGCCCGTCGGCTCCCTCTAACCGTCCTGAGCCCAGGAGCAGGCCCTTGCCGGCGGGAGGCTGGCTGCTCACGGGTCTGGGAGGTAGGGGGCCCCCAGGGGCACCTGCCCAGCTGCTTCTGCAGGTCCAGCATGTGGCGGTAGCACTGGGCGTAGTAAGTGGTCTGAGACTCGACGAACTCGTGGAGGCAGCGGAGGTGGTTGACCTGTGGGAGCAGTCGGGGTCAGGAGGGCCTCGGAACATCCCACCGGACCCGGCCTCCGCCTGCCCAGACCCAGCATCCCACCCCGCTCCCTGCGCCTCTTGCAGCCTTTGTGACGTGCATCCTCCGGGCTGAATGCCACTGTCCGAGGACACCTAGCAGAGCCGTCCCCACCTGCCCAAGCTCCCAGTCCGCTCACTGCCTGGCTCCGGCCATGCCGGGGCAGCAGGAGGACGTGGGGCAGGACTCACGTGAGTGCTACTGATGCCCTCCAGCAGGAGGCGGGTCACTTCTGCCTGCCGGTCAAACTCGGTCTGGGCCACTCGGAGCTCCTGCTCAGCCTGGGAGGGCAGCGCAAGTGAGAGCCCCGAAGTGCCTGCCGGCCCCTCGGCCTTCTGCAGCCTCCCCCTCCGTGGGCAGGCATGCGCTCCCCACGATACTCCAGGCCTGCAGGCTGACTCTTGGGGGGGCTGCGGCCTCCCCTGGACACCCTGGGGAGGACCACACTTCATTTGCCCCCCACCCCATCACTACTTAAGTGGTCTCCCCACAGAGGGGACATGATGACCCCTTCTGCGGCTCCAGGGGCTGCAGGGCAGAGCCCAGAACTAGACAAAGAACCTCATGCCCACCCCCACTGACACAGTCCCGCAAGCCCCCAGCCCCAACTCACCTTGTCCACCTCATCATTCCAAAGCTGCAGGGACCACGACAGGATCGGTCAGCGGGGGAGGGAGGGGCACCAGTCAGCGGGCAGGGGAGGCAAGGGCGGGTGGCAGAACCCCAGAGCCTGTGCCCTGCCCCCAGCTCCCAGAGACCTCAACCTCTTCCCCCCAAGCCACCCGGGAGCTGAGGCTGGGCTGAGGCCTGGCATGAGAGACAGGTCCAGCATGCCATGTGCAGGGAGAGGGGGCAGTCGGGCCCTGCTGGGCTCCAGTGGTGGCAGTCTCAGGCTCTGAGGGGGTCTCCAGGGAGATGGAACCCCCTACCCACCCCGACACCTGGCTAAGGCTGCTGGGCTGGGAGGCTGTCCACATGACCCTGGTCAGTCCCTGAACCTTTCTGTCCTGTGGCAGAGAAAAGCCACCTTGGGTCCGAGTCACACTGGGGTTCAATGGCAAAAGCAAAAAACCAGGCAGGCCCCACCCTCCGGACACTGATCCCTCCACTCGACCCAGGAAGGAGGGCAGGAAGTGGCGTCCAGAGTGTAAGGAAGAAAAGCCCTCCTGCCCCTCGACTTAGGGGACCAGTTCCTTCCGCACCCTGAGGAAAGCTATGCGGAGGCCCTGGCCTGAAATCCAAGAAGCAAACTGAGGCCAGCCCTGGTGGACAGACGTCCCGCCAGCGCCTCCCAGAAGTCCCCACGGGAAGCCACCTCCACGCGGACGGACAGACGTAGGGGCCTGGTGGACTGCAGAGGCCCCGGGACCACGGCCCAGCCGCTGACGCACGGCACGGACACACTGGCCGCAGGGAGGAGCAGAGGGGCTGCGTGGGACAGGCGCACCCGCGGGGACACAGAAGGCCAGAGAAGGGCATGGCGGGTCGTGATAGGACGATGGGGCCAGGGGACAGGCCTGTTCCCCCAACTGAACACAAACACCAAACAGCTCAACAGAGTGGCGGGAAGCGACCGGGACACACAAAGCCTTCCGAGCCAGTCTCGCGCCTCCTGTCCCCCAGGGGCTGCCCGCGCGCGCGGCTTCTCAGGACCCCGCTCCAGCCCTCCCCCCCGGCAGGTGTGCGGTAAAGGCAGCTGGAGGCACAGCATATCCCTGTCCCCCCATCTTCAGGGGCTGGTGAGCTCAGGGAGGCCCGGAACCTCATGGGGGGAGGGGGAAGGGGTGCCTGGGCAGGGAAGGGTCCCTTGGAGATGGGACCCTGATGTCCTGAGTTGTTCAGCGCAGCTGGTCCGGCCTCCGTCTTCAGCTCTGGGCAGAGAGGGGCCAGGCCGGCGACACGGTCACGGGGCACCAGTAACTGGTCCAACCGAGCTGTTGCACCCCACTTGCGGGTGGTTGGGTGGCCGGGTCCCTTGGTGGGGGAGGGGACGGGGCAGAGGCCAGGGTGGGGCGCTTACCGCGGAGGCGCTGGCCGAGAGAATGTAATTACGAGGTCTAGTCTCCTGAAAGTCAGGCACCGTCTGGCAGGAACAGAGTTCACGGGGGGGACGGGGTCACGAGCGGCCGGGGGAGGCCAGGAGGCCACCCAGACCTCTCGCAGGGAGATGCCAGGAGCGCCCCACCCAGACACAGGAGGCTACAAATACAGTGCAGACCCCCTTCTCCCCACACCAACCACTCGGGGGTCACGGCCAGACCAAGTGGGCACGCAGTGGGATGCCCCAGGAGCAAGCGTGGCGGGAGACAGCTCACGCCGCCATCACAACCCGGCCTCCGGGGCGTCCCACCCGGGCCCAGCTCACCGATGTCCCAGTCAGCCCCAGAGTCCCCTAAACAAAGCTGCCACCCCAGCTTTTCTCCTTCCCAGAATCTCCGCATGGATGAGCCCTCCCACCTGAGGGGGACAGAAGGGTGCACGGATGGACAGAAGGACAGGCTTTGAACGTTTGCAAAAAGCTGCCTCCGGTGCCTGGCGTCCCCCAAACCAGAGGCTACGCGTGGTAGAGGCTCTGGGGGGAGAGCAGCTGCTTGCAAAATGCCCCCAGACGCGCCCTGGGCCGGCGCCGTGGGGCCCAGGCCGGGGAGCACGCCAGAAGCAGCACAGCACGTGGACAGGTATACTCACATCTCCCTCACACTGAGCCAAGTTACCCAAAGCAGGACGGAAAGGAACAAAAACAGAGAGTTAGTGAGTCCACAGCGCAGGCGGGAGCAGGCCCCCCCGGCCCCGGCAGAAAGGGACACAAGGCGGACGGACGCACACACCCGCCCCCAGGAAGGAGCCCTGACGTGAGTGTGCACGCAAGTGCGGCGGACACCTGGAGGGAACAACTGCTGAGCTGGAGTCCTCGGGACGCTCTGCCTGGGCCACCCAGGTCCTGGCTCTGGAGAGGGTGGCCTGGCCTAACCCGTCAGTGAGAGAAGAGGCTGTGCTGCTCACTAAGAAAAAGATCCCTCGCTCAGCGGGTGGAGTAAGAGCCTGTCCTGGCCAAGGCATTCCAGAGAGGTGGTCCAGTCCTAAGTGAACGGGCAAGACTGTCCTGTCCAGGTGACTTAAAGGGGTCATCCCTATAGCCACAGATCATCCCAGTCAAGCCCAACGAGACGCCAGGGGCTGAGCCTCCAGTCTGGGCCCGACACCTGTATGAGGTAGGTCCTGCCCACAGCACTTGCCTGAGGCAGTGCAGGCCAGGCCCCGTGACCCCCAGGGTCCACGCAGTGGGAGGGAACAGCGAGGAGGGACTGGGCCAGAACACTCATGGGCAGCCGTGAGCTTGGGCTGTGTCTGGCCTTTCTCAGCAAGAGCCCGGTGGCTGCCCAGGAGTGTGGAGGCTCCATCCTCTCGGTGTCCGGTGGCCTTTGCCCCCACACCCCAAAAGCTTGGCATGCTGGGCGTGGGCTCACCTTCGGGTTTAGCTCTCTCAACCCTGGCCTAGCCCTGGACAAGTGGCCCCGCACTGTGTCCCATGGGCTGGCCAGGCTGAACAGGCCGCAGTGAGCGGGCACTGAAGGTGGCCGAGGCTGCCCAGGCCCCGGCCAGTCTCATGGGGCTAAGAGGCTCCGTGGATGCCCCTGAGCAGGCGGAGGTCCAGCTCCAGGGCTCTTTGCACCACCCCAGGGGAGCCTATGCACAGCACGCCCTGGGCGAGCGTGGGAGCAGCAGCTGGGAGAGTTAGTAAGGGGACCAGGCCCTGGCAGAGCTGGGACAGAGCCAAGCATCCAGGGAGGGACGGCAGGGGCATGCGAGAAACTGGCTGACTGCCTGGGGAGGCCGTGGGGCGTCCGGGCCCTGGTGGAGCACTGCTGGTCATCCCACCCCCAAAGTCTGCCTTGGGACCCAGAGCAATGGCTCACCAAGGTTCCCTCTGGGGTGGGGGCAGAGTGGTGTGGCCTGAGGCGAACAGCCAGCCCAGGGCCCCAGCCAGGCCTCTCCAGGCAGGGACAGGGAGGGAGGTCATGCCAAACACCAGGTCCCTTCAGGCCCCACCCCCCTTGGCTCCAACCGGAACCAGGAACGGGAATGGGGGGTGGAGGCAAAGGGAGCCATAGGGGCACCTACCGTGGCTTTGGCTTCTGCGGCCTTGGCCTTCTTCAGCCGCGCTTTGCAGGCGTCCAGGTCCAGACGGCGGTTTTGGAGGAGCCGCCTCTCCTTCTGCAGGAGGGGGACAGGGAGCAATGAGACCTGGGCTGCCTGGGGAGACACCTGGCTGTGGCAGGACTGGCACACAGGGACAGGGAAACTAAGGCCCAGACAGAGGAGGTCATCCACTTCTGGTCTCTCAGCCCCCAAGAGCCGCATCAGGGACGGCCCGGGAGCGCTGAGCTCCCTGCCTGGGGAGGGCCTGTGCTCAGCAGCTCTGAGGAGACAGCTCTGGGGTCACCAGGAGGCAGGTGGTCCCGGGCTCTCACCGAAATGGTCTTCCAGTCCCCTTCCAGGAAGTTGCGCAGGGGCGTGAGGAAGTTGATGGAGGCCGTGTGGATGAAATCCCTCTCTGCAGCTCCCAGGTGCTTCTCGGCTTCTGCCACCTTGATCAATGTCTTCCCTGAGGATATGGAGTTGAAGGGTGAGGAGGAAGGGAGGCCCAGCTCAGGCGCCTCTGACCCCAGGGAGCAGGGGGAGCTTGGCAAAGGCACAAGGCAAGAACACGAAGTGCAAGGTGGCTGATCTGGAAACACGCGGACATCCACATACCTGTCGGCTGGGGACTGACAACCAGCAGGTCATCCAAGCACGGACATGGCCATTGAAAAGACGGGGGTTGTGGGGGGGACTTCCAGAAGAACAGAGAAAGGGGCTCAACAAATCCTCTCCCCAAAAGCAATGATAAAGCAGGATACAATTGCCAGAAACAACCATTTCTGGGCTATGGAAATGGACAAAGGCAAATACATTGAAGAGCATTTATTCAAGAATGAGTGGATCTTGGCAAGAACCTGTGGGTTTTTAGCCTGGGGGTGCACCATCGCCTTAAGTTCAGTGGCACTGTAGCTCTGCTGGAGCAGAGCAACACCAGAGGCTGGCAGCTCGGCTGCTGGCGAGGGCTGACTTGGTCTGGGCTGGAGCATAGAAAAATCCCTGGGATACTGTCAAGAACCACAGTGATCTTGAGGCCGGTAATCAGGATAATCACAGCCTCACTGGAAGCTGGAATACCGGCTGGAGCAAGTCAACATGCTTCGAGAAATTTAACATGAGCTGTAGAAAACAGAGTCATCCCATAGGCCCTGCTGGACTCCCAGAAGCCTTTGGGAAGGTTGTGCGCGTGTGTGGCAATCAGGAAAGACTGGAGAGGACACATTAGCTACTCACCCTTGGCTGGGCAGGAGGCTTTGCACACCCACAAAATAAAGCCGGGAAGATTCAGAAACTGCCTGAACTCTGAACGTGGTCCCCAGACCACTCAGAAGTTCATCAGTGAGGTCATGACAGTGCAAGGTGGTCACCTGGACCAACCACTGACTGGTCAACCTGGGCTAGCCCAGGAGCAACCCCAAAAAATCTAGCTTCAAAGAAAAAGAGCTAGGCTTCAAAGGAGTTTAAAAAGGAAATAACAAAAAAGAAAAGAAAGAACACTAAAATGAAAAAAATAGAATTAAAAAAAAGGCAGCAACAGCAGTTGCTATGTACTGCAGGGGACATGGACTCAAGGCAATCAGCTCAGGCAAGTCTAAACACTCCCCCCACCCCCCCGCCCCAGTCCCAGGGGCTCAGAATCCAAACCTGCCATAAAATATTATCTTAAAAAGTCCAGATCTCAACAAGAAAATTATGAGGCGTGAAAAGAAATGTAAGTGTGGTCAATAAGCAGAAGAAGAGAAAAAATGAACAGACATGATCTCCAAGGAGGTCCAGCCTTAGCCTGAACAGAGAGCCCAAACAGCTGTTACACTAGAAAACATCTGCTTACCACAGGGCCTCCCTGGTGGCGCAAGGGGTTAAGCACAGCACTATGAAGCAATCTGCAGCCTCTGCAGCGCGAGTTCGATCCCCAGCCGGCCAGGGAGCTACCACATGGTGTAGCAGACCTCTCCTGTCTCCCCACTTCTTCCCTCAGCAGTGTATTTCAGTCAGTCTGCCTGTTCTGTTCCCCCCTCTGTCTCTGGTGAGTCCTCTCACCCCCTGCATCTCAGGCCTGTGCCCCAGCTCTTGTATGCATAAGTAAATAAATCTTAAAAAAAAACCAACCAACATGTATTTAACATAAAAGACGTAAAGAAGGAACAGATGAACAAAAATGACCTGAAACATGGAGAAAACAGTAACAAAATGCAAATGCAGCAGAGTTTTAGTTTTAACAGTAAGAGGAAAAAATTCCTGGTCCACGCGGGAACAACGCTATTGGGCGACCTGCTTTAGTTACACACAGAGAGTCAGTTGGAAAGTTGCGCTTTCCAAGAACCTGTCTACCGCGGAGGACATCAACAATTACATTAAATGGAAATGGATTAAACACAAAGCTTGTCAGACCTTTTCTTTCTTTTTTGTAAGATCCAAATATACACCGTCTAGCAGTCCTTTTGCTTCACTGCCTCTGAAAAAGCAAGCAGGGTCAGCAGCAGCTGCACTAGAGCCACCTGCACAGATCGGTCAGCTTTTCACTCGTCTGCTCAAACCAGCCAAGGTCCGGCTGGGAAGTGAGGCCTCAGTGTGTGCACCCAGCGTCTCCGTCAATATGAAGGCTATAGGCTTCAAGGTGGACTAAAGGAGCATCCTTGATTTGGTCATCCGGGACGCCTGCCTTCCAGCAGAAATAATGCTAGCTGCTGCTCCATAACATAAAAAAAAAAAGATACTTTGACAAGACAAATCAAGACAAAAACTCCGAACTATATGCTGTTTATGAGAGACACACTTTGGATTTAAAGATACGACTAGGTTGGAAATAAAGGGCTAGATAAAGGTCTACCCAGCAAACGGGGATCAAAGGCAACAGGAGTGGCTGTACTGCCCTCAGTTAAGACGGACTTTACGGCAAATGTTCCTTGCAGCGCTATTTACAACCACCAGTATGGACACAGACTAAGTGCCCAAGGCAGAAGAGGGCATTAAGGAGTGGTCTAGATACACAGTGGAACACTACTCGTGATTAAAACAAAAAAAAAAGAAATATTGGGCCTCCCTGGTGACACAGGGATTAAGTCTCAGCGCTATCAAGTTACGGTCAGCCATAACACTGCAGCCTGAGCTCGATCCCCGGCCAGGGAGCTACCCACATGGCACGGCAGACCTCTCCTGTCTCCCCGCTGCTCCCCTCAGCAGTGTATTTCAATCTGCCTGTTCTGCCCCCCACCTTGTCTCTGGTGAATCCTCTCACCCCCCCAGCACCCCTGGCCTGCACCCCAACTCTTACATGCATAAATAAATAAATCTTTAAAAAAAAAAAAAAAAAGAAATCAACAGAAAAGAACTCAGAAAATCTACAACTATTCAACATCAGTCTGCTGGCAGGAAGGTGAAATCACGCAGCTCCTCTGCATGAAAACAGCAGGATCATTTTTTTTTTTTTTTTTTTAATTTTTAAAGAGGCATGTATTTTATTCATTTATTTATTTATTTATTTATTTTGTTTGTTTGTTTATACAAGCACTGGGTATAGTCAGAAGCACGGGAGGGTGAGAGAATTCACCAGAGCCAGAGCGGGGAGCAGAGCAGGCAGAAGGACCGAAGGACACTGCTGAGGGGAGCAGCGGGCGGCAGGAGAGGTCTGTGCGCCATGTGGACCCTACTCCGGTGGCCGGGGAGCAGCCGGGGATCGAACCGGTGCCGTAGAGGCCGCGGGCAGCTTCGCAACCCAGCGCTCAACCGCTGCGCCACCGGGGAGGCCCCAGGATCATTTCTTAAAGGCAAACAGACATGCGTGGCATCGCCCATTCACGCTGAGGCACCCCCAGGGGAGGTGAAGGCCTGGCTTCGGCAAGGTCTGCATGCAAATATTCACAGGGAAACAACTTAAATGGCTACCGAGTGGTAAACAGAGAAAAGGTGGTTTCCCCCACAAGGGAATACTATACAACTACAAAAAGGAGAGCACCCCAAAACATCATGCAGCATGGGCGGACTGTGGACATCGTGCTGCATGGAAGCAGCACGTGCGGAAGAGGACGTGGCAACTGTCCATCCACATGACATGCTGAGAAAGGACAAACTGACAGAGATGCAGGCTGGGGTGGTGCGGCCTGCGAGCAGGCATGAGGGACTCTGTAAGTTGGACTGGGGAGGTCTGGACTCTGGAAATTTACCAGCAACCACTGAGTCACACACTCAGAACAGGCCCATTTACGATATGTTAATGATGCCTCGATAAACTTAAGAAATGCAGTAATTAGAGCCTGAGCTGGACCACAGGTGCCACCGAGAGGAGGCGCCTGCTGCAAGGCCATGCCGACGCCAGCTGCCGGCGAGCGTGCAGCACGACTCCCGACAGCCAACAGAAGGAACTGGCGCAGGGAGGCTTCTGTTGTGACTATTTTTGTCTGGAATGAACGAGGTTTTAGCACTAGAATGGGTTCAGGCGTTATTTGTATCAGTTAAAAAACAAAGGAGAGAAGACAGGAGGGGATTAGAGGCCGCGAGCCCCACGCATCCCAGGGGCTGCGACCCCAGCTCACCGTAAGGGGTGGTGGGCCCCAGCTCGCTGGCCGCCTCTGCCATGTACTGAGCCAGCAGCTCCCCGTTGGTGACCCGAGAGGGCACCTTCCTGTCCAGCTTCTCATACAGGAACTCCTCCACCCGGGCACCTGCGGGAGACAGCAGTCAAAGCCACAGAGCCTGGTTTCCACGCACAGCACCCCCGCCCGCTTTGCCCCACGACCTCCTCGGCCACTCACTGGGGTTGGGCTGCAGCAGCACCTCTGTCTGCCTCAGAATTTTCTCCGTCCAGTTCTTGGTGCTGTCTGCCCGGGTCAGAAGATTTTCGAAGTGAGCATCAAGCTCTGTCTTCTCAGCCTGGCCAAATTTCTCCTCTGTGAACTGCGGGGGAGCGAGGAGGGGTACTTACAGAGGGGAGAAAGGAGGGCTGTCCCCACCCCACCCCCCAGAACTCAGGCTCCGAGGTCAAGAAACCTGCTCTGCCCCCAACCTACTCTGGGACCCTGATATATTACAATCCCACTCTGGGCCTCAGTTTACCCCCTTGTGAAATGAGATGTCTGGACCATAGTTTGGGGGTAGGGGGTCATTGCTTCTCTTGGCAATCCAATCAAAGATACAGCCCCACCCCCTCTGCTGCTCAGGGCTGATGGGCGCAGGCACGGCTGGGAGGGCCAGGGGCTGGCCTTGGGGGTGGTGCCCAGGGCTCAGAAAGCTCAGTCCACCAGACCCACGGCCAGGCAGGGACCAGGAAGTCACACAGTCCCCCACCAGAGCCCGCAGAAGCCATGAGGGCCACCCAGGGCCAGCCAGAAAGCAGCTCAGGTCCTTGCCCATCTGATCCTGAGAGGCCCGTAGACGAATGTGCCCATTTTTCAAACAGGCATGCCAAGGCCTTGCCGAGCCAGGGGAAGGAGACTGCTCAAGGTCGCAGCCAAACAGCAAAAGGGTGAAGACCCCCAGAGGTAGGTGGGCGGGAACACCCATCGCTGAGCAAGGCCCAGCCCAAGCTGAGTGTTGTTCTGACGCCCACGCAGTGGGTCGGCTCCCATTTCACAGACGGTACCGCTGAGGGTCTGCCCAGAGCCGGGGTCTGGGCTGGAGGCCTTCCCCAGACTGCTTGCCAGGGAGGAGTCATGAGCCCTGGCTCTGGCTCCGGTGGCTCCGGCTCCGGGGTACTGCGGGTGGGGGCATCTGCAGGCTGCCTGCAGCCATCAATTATGCAACAGGACTTGGGTTTCTCCCCCGCAGGGCTGGGGCGGGGCTGGGGCTCCTCAGGCCAGGGTGACAGCCCACAGCTCCCCACCAGGGACCAGCTGGTGCCTCTCACCTCTCCCCACTCTCTCTGCCTCTTCCCGATCCGCAAACTGGGCCAGGCCCTGGACTGGCCTCCAGTCACCTGGCCCTTGGGGTGGCATTAGCCCCATTTTCCAGATAAGAGCAGTCCCCTCTCTGGTCCTTGGCCCTCCACCCCCGCACCCCGGAGAATGGGGCGAACAGGGTGTATCGCTCAGAAAACTTGGAAGGCGCTTGGCTCGGCGTCAGCACACTGCCAGGCTGGACACATGCTGGCTGGCCTCTGCCTCCTCCTCCTGAAGGAGAGGTCTCCCCCGTGGCCCTGCCCAGGGACCGCCTGTCCCCGAGAGTACCAGTGCAGGCCACGCGCTGCGCTCAGCTGCTCCCCCTCACCCAGGTCAGGGCAGCGCCTGCCCCTCACACCCCACATCCACCTGCTCAAAGTGCTTCCTCAGCTCTCGGCCTCCATCCCACGTCCATGGCTGCCTGCTCGGCTCGGACGATGACAGTGCCACCGCCTCCCTGGCTCGTCGTTTCACTCCTACAGCTACTACAACCATTACGGCCATCGCTACCAGTAGTATTAGCACTACCGCTTCTACTACCCACGCCCACCCCCACTGGCATCTTACCCCCATGTGCCTTTGCTTCCCCTCCTGGTGCCAGAGCTGGGCTGCTCCTGCCACCTGGAACACCCTCCCTGGGCCAACTTCACAAAGTCCTCCTGGCTTTCAAGGCACAGTTCAGGGGCTCGGAAGCCCTCCCAGAACCAGTGGTGCAGGTGGCACCCACAGGGTGGGGGAGACGGGAGCTTCCTAAAGGTGTCCCTGGAGGGGAAGGGCTGTGCACTCACCCAGCACTCCTGGGACCTGGCCAGGTGGCACCGTGCAGGGAGCTGCCCACACAATGACAATAAACACCTCCGAGCCCTCCAGGCTGACTATCCCCAGGGAGACTGGTCTCAGGCAGGCCCCCCCCCACCTGCCCCGTCACATTTCAGGCCCCTCTTGCCACCTCATCCCTGCCACGGGGAAGGGTGGTTCAGAGGCTGATCTGTGGCGTCCGAGGCTGCACCCAGCAAGATGGCAGAAGCAGGGGGTAGGCGTGCAGAGCCAGAGAAAGCCTCTATTTATAAAGCTCCCGTCTCCCTGCTCCACCCTGGAGGCTGGGCCTGGGTGACGGTTCCCACTCCAGGATGGGTGACCCAGTGGGCCTGTCCCCACCAGCGAAGCAGGATCACAGGGCGTGAGCCCCCACACCAGAGGCTCTGCGGGCAGGCCTGGCAGGGTCAGGTGCCAGGCCCCAAGGTAGCAGGAAACTGGCAGATCAGGTTCTTCCCAGATATAGGAGGCACAGCAGTTGCCATGCCAACACCGGGGTGAATTTCCCCACCTTCCAGATGAACTGGGGCTGTTGAAAGGCCTTCCCACTCGGGCTGGGGTGGCCAATGGGGCTTAGAACTTGGAGCAGCAAAGCTTTTGGGCATTAATCCTCAGAAGAAGCTGTGCTTTCTAGCAAACAGGGCCACACGGGCTTCGGAGAGACCCACTGGGCCCGTGCCTCCAGAGAACCAACATCAGCAAGGACAAACAACAGCACCTGCCCCTGAGCACTGTGGGCCGAGCCCCGAGTCTGCAGCCACTCTGGGAGGCAGACCCATGTGACGCCTGACGGACTGAAGGGGACATGGAGGCTCGGAGAGAAGTGACGTGCCAAGGTCACAGGTTACAGAGGTGCACTATGACCCACATTCACCCCAACAGTGAGCACAACCAGAACCGTCAGGAGCATCCTGGGAAGGGAGGGTGGCTAATCCCATTTTTCAGATTGAAAAACTGAGGCCCAGAGAGGTGACACCCCTTCCCCAAGGTCACAAGAGGGAGAATCCAAGCCCACAGATGATTTTAGGTCTTTCTTCACCAGTTCAATTAAGCTGCCTCAGTTTCTCTCCTTGCACTGAAATGGACAGGATTTGTTCCAACCCCAGCAACATCGGCTGGATGGCTTCCCAAGCAGGGCACCCGGCCGGCCCCCAGCCTCTCGATCCCGGCCTGGGGAAGCAGGACACAGACCTCTCCCGGGGAGAGAGGAAAGAAGCCCGGCCCTCCGGCTTCCGGGCTGCCGGCCCAAGCGTGTGAAAGGGCCCGAGGGGCGCGGCGCGCCAGCAGCCCCGGCACAGGTGCGGAGGCCGAGGGTCGCAGAGGCGGTCGCGGGGGTGTCCGAGTCCTCGGCCCTGGACCCAGGTCTCCACACGCCGCCCGCAGGAGCCGGTCACTGCCGAGCCAGGGCCGGGGGCAGGCTCCCGGGCGGCGCCCCCAGCAGGTCCGGGGCCCAGCGGCCCAGCAGCGGGCAACCCGCCTGTGGAAATGGTGGACGCTGATACCTGCCCCCAGCCCAGGCAAAGGGCCGAGGCCCGGCTCGGTCCCCCGCCCCGGGCCACGCCGAGGGTGCGGCCAGCGTGGCGGCCGCTCCGGTTCCCCCCTCCGGGGCGCAGGGGCGCAGGGGAGGCGGCGCAGGGCGCAGGGGCGCAGGGGAGGCGGGCGCAGGGGCGCCCCCCGCGGGGCAGCGGCCGGCGCCTCGGAGGGGCGTCCCCCGCGCCCGGCCCCGCGGCGCTGGTGCGCCCCGCTCGCCCCACATCCGGGCCCCGGGGGCGGCGCGGCCGGCGGCCTCACCTGCACGGCCCGGGTGAAGAAGATGCCCGCGTCCGACGCCAGCTTCTTCATGTTGAAGTCCATGGCGCGCCGCACCGCCCGCCGCGCCCGGCCCAGCGCAGCCTGGCAGCCCCCGCCCGCCGCGGCCGGCCCGCACCCCGCCCACCTGCTGCCGGTGGGCCCGCCCTCGGCGCGCGCCCGCCCGCCCGCCCGCCAGCAGCCGCCAACGCCGCCGCCGAGCCCGCCGGAGCCCGCCGGAGCGCGCAAGGCGGGGCGCGGGCGGCGGGGGCGGGGCCTGCGGAGAGGCCGGGGGCGGGGCCTGCGGGCCGGCCCGGGGCGGAGCCTCCAGAGAGACGGTGGGGCGGGCCGGAGAGTCTCCGGGGGCGGGGAGATGGGCGGGGCGGAGCCTCGGGTGGGCGGGGCGAGCAGACCTGAGGCGCCCGGGGGAAGAGACCGTCTGGGGCGGGGCGGAGGGACGGGCCGACTCGCTGCTGCTCGCCACTGCCCCCTGGCGCGCCTCTCTCGCTTCGTCGACCGTGGCTTCTTAGATTTGTGACACTTCATCCTCTTTTGCGCATTCACAACCCTCTCGTCGGCTTAGGCCCTCTGACTCCCTGTCTCTCGGTCTCTTTTGCCCTGGGTCGCCACCGCTCACCACCACCTTGATCTCTCCAGCCCCCTCCTCTTCTGCCCATGACCTTGCTGACAGAAGAGCAAGGGGACAGGCCGGCTGGGGACTCCTCCGCACCTCTGGGGAAAGGCTGGAAATGCTTTGGTTCACCAAAGTGGGGGGTGGGGTTGGGGGAAGACAGAGATCCAGGGACCCCGGGCCAGGAGCCGCATGCAGAGAGAAGGGAAGTCTTCGATTTTGACAAGGTGGAGGAATGGATGCCCTTCCAGCTTGGACATGGGCTGACCTTGAACTCAGCTCCTGTCAGCCCCAGACGGGGAAGGGGATGGCTTGCAAGGACATCTCCCTGCCCGTGGGTCTCGACAGGGGGCTTTTTACAGCCGAGGAGCAGGGTAGGGGTTCATTGGGTAGAAAATATCTAAGGAAACATCAAGAATAGCAAGATTCTGGCTGAAGACAGGCCAGTATGATAAGATATTGAGGGGTGAGGGAGAGGAACTTCATCAAATATGGGAAGTGATCAGATATCAAGGCTTGGAGATTTCTGCTAACAGGACTCAATGGGATTCTTGCTAAAACTGGACTCTACAAGGACAGAGGTACAAGCCCAAAGTCAAGCTTAGTCCTGCAGAAAGCTCAGAGGACACGACTCAGATTTGATGAAGGAAAGGTCAGTCAGTGAGTACTATGTGCCAGGCTCTGTTCCAGCCATCAGGGATGCAGCAGTGAACAAATTAAGTCCCATTCCCTATTGGGCAAACAAATCTACAGCATATCATATGCCAGGTCCTGGAAAGAAAACCTAACAAAATAAAGGAGGGAGAGAGTAAGTGGTAGTTGTGACTGATCTTACAGCTGTCCCTGTCTATAAGTTTCATCCATTTCTCTAGTTTCTACTTGGATTTTCTAATAGTGTGGATTTTCTAATAGTGATGGCCCAAATATCCTGAGCCCATGCCAGGCCCAGTGCTAGGCACTAAATGGATAATCACCTAAGATCGTCCTCACAGCTCATGATTCTCCTCCTCATCATCTTAGGGGTGAGGGAGTGATTTGTCCAGGATCAGGGTGGAGGAAGAAGCAGATTTAGCCCAGAACCCAGACAGTGCAGTGGAGGTACTGGACTCACTCCCTTATTCTTGGGTCACTGACTACCACTCTTGCCACTCTCTGCCACCTTGAATCAAAGATGCCAGGTGTTCTCAAAGATGCCAGTGCTGTTCCTGGAATGCTCTCCTTCTACCCAGCTAGTCCCTGCTCATCCTTCAGATTGTCATTGGGATGTCCCTTTGGGGAGTCTCTCACCTCCTCCTGCCAGCCCAGGTGAGCCCCTGTATACTGCCATATTTCTGAGTTTCCTCCATTCAAGCACTATCACATTTCACAAGATTGTAGTTAAGGATCTGAATTACCTGCATCTTGTTCCCCACTGTGCTCCCAGAGATGTTAGTTGTTGAGTAAATTAAAGAATGTAATTTGACTGATAACTACAATTTAAACACTTCGATTTGGGGCCTCCCTGATGGTGCAGGAGTTAAAGACTGCGCCATCAAGCTATCCTCAGCCACTGCCGCATGAGTTTGCAGCAGACCTGTCCTGTCTTGCCCGCTGCTCCCCTCAGCAGTGTATTTCAGTAGATCTTCCTGTTCTGCTCCCTACTCTCTCTGGTATCTTCCCTCACTGCCCCACACCTCTGGCTTACACCCCAGTTCTTATATGCATAAATAAATAAATCTTTAAAAAAAATAAACACTTAGATGTGACCAGTTCTTCACAGTTTGAAAGGTCTACCATATTGTTTTCCTGGATAGGTTAGCCCTGTGCCTCTGGCAAGGCAGGACCGGACGGAACTCAAGTCCAGGAAGAACTCGATTCCAAGTCAGGTGAGCCCCTGAATACCCCCATATTGAAAAACATGGCAAAAAAGATTGAGGTAGTTCGGATTCCAAGCCTGATTCCAAGCCCAGTGTTTGAGGGTGGCCAGAATCAAATCACACTTGACTCCAGCTCGCAGGACACAACATCTGGAAGGGGAGGCCGGGCACTTGTGCCAACTCCGGCAGAGAGTGGGAGTGGTTTTGAGAAGACTAAGCGGAGCGTCTCAGGCAGTGGCATTTGAAAACGGGAGACCGACAAACACATATTCTAATGGCAAAAAAAGAAAGAAAACTGGCGCTAGGAGGGCAGTAAGGTTTCATCAGTGTGGGAACCGCCAGGGATGGAGCAGCCACGGAGGAGGGCCCAGGGGACCGCTGCTTCCTCCCAGAAGCCCCTAGGCGCTCTAATTGCTCCTCTTCCGCCCCTTTAAGGGCGGGCCCGCCCCCTGAGTCGTCTGTGTCAATCTAATCCCGGCAGCCAATCGTAAGAGAGAAGAGAGCACTTCCGCGCCTCAACCGCACTTGGGAGGCGGGGGCAAGGGTGAGAGGAGGCGCGGGCAGTTTGGTCACGTGACCCGCCCCATTGGCCGGAGGCCGGAGTCGCAGGGCGCCGTTCGGTGACGCTCATTGGCCGAGGACGAGCGGGCCCGGCGTGAGGCCACGCCCCCCGGCGTCCCGGGGTTGGTTGCGCGGGCGCCGGGGAAGGAGACGCTGCCCTTCCGCAGCTATGGGAGCCCAGGTGAGCGGCGGCCGCCGGGGCTGGTCCCGGCGCGCTGGCGGGCGGGCGGGCGGCCCCGCAGGACCGGGGCTGCGGCTGCAGCGGGCCGGAGCTGGGTTCGCGCCGGGCCCGGCGCGGGGACGTGGGTGTCCTGGCTCGGCCGGGCTGGAGCGGCCGGGTGTGGAATGAGCGGGTAGCCGGGCCGGGCCGGTGCGAGAGGTGGAACGGGAAGCCGCGGGGCCGGAGAGGTCCAGGCCTGGAACGCCGCGGGGTTCGGAGCAGGGGCGCAGGCACCGAGCCAAGGCTGGCAGTGTCCCCGGGGGGCACGGAGCAGGGGCCTCGGCGCGCCGGTGGGCACCTGGGCGACCCGCGCGGATATGCCGGCGGTCGGACAGGAGCGGAGGGGACCCGACCCCCGGCTTCTCTGCCTGCCCCGATGACACGAGCAGGTTCCAAAGTAGGGGTTATTGCTGAGGTCCAGGGCGGGGGCACCCAGCGGTGAGGTGTCTACACGGAGACGGGGCAGTGGGCAGTCCAGGGAGTGCTGGACCAGGGACTTTGCTGCGGTCAAAGTGGGCAGGGAGGCTGCCCAGGCCGGAGTCCTTAATAGGGTCATGGGGCAGGGGAGACGGTGCCCCAGAGGAAAGTTCGGGTGAACATGTTGTAAGTGCCACAGTGGGGGTGGTGTGAGGAGATGCCGGCCCAAGGTTATAGGGCACGTGAGGTGATTGCCTAGGCGGGGACTGGCAGTGTCCACGTGTGGGAGACATTCCCGCGGGCTTGTCAGCCCAGAGAAGCCATGGAGGCTGATCCCCCTGGGATCATGGACATGATCCCCCTGGGGCCCGCTGGGTCTGGGGAATGGACGGAGCACCCCTGGACCTGGATCCTTCCCTGGAATGAGTGTGTTCCAGGGCAGGCGTCGTCCGCCTTGCACCTGCCCACCTTGATCTTCCTCTCAGTCCTGGCAGAAGCTGCTCTTGACTTAGCTGCATGCTCCTGCCAGGCCTCTCAGACCTGTCTCCCACTGGGAGCATTTCAGTCCCGTCTTTGTGACTCGCGTGGCTTTCATTCTTGGGGTTTTACAGGCCCTTTGGGTGTGCCAGAGGGAGAGGCAGCAGTTGCAGCAGGAGGCTTGGGGGACACACCATTGTGGGATTCCCCAGAGCTGAGGCCGGATCCTAGCCTGTCCACCTACTCACCTCAGTCAGGCCGCTTATCACTGAGAGCCAGTTTCCCCATCACTGAGAGAAACAGTGGCTCAACGCTTGTCCTCAGCCCTAGAACACTGCCCTTCCTGCCCCGAGCTAGACCCTCAGGATCGGCCCTCCTTCCCACTCTCAGGGGATAAGGTGTCTCTGATGCTGGTCTGGTGACTTTGGCTGCCGTCCCGGGTGGACAGGGTCTGCCCTGGCCTGCGTGTTCCTTCCTCTTGAGGACCCAGGAGACTTGGAAGGCATTCTTGGGCTTGGTGGTGGTGATTGGGGAGCAGCCTGAAGGATCTTAGGGAGTGGTCTTCAGGTGCTTAGGTCACATACGTGCTGGGTTTGGAATGGGGGGGGTCTCAGGGCTCTCGGGAGGCATCTCTGGTTCTGCCAGGCCTTGCCACATCCTGCTCCACGCCAAATTTAGCCAAATCTTTTTTTTTTTTTTTTTAATAGAGGCATGTTTTTCTTTATTTATTTGTTTGCTTGTTTGTTTGTTTTGTTTATACAAGCACTGGGTACAGTCAGAAGCGCGGGAGGGTGAGAGAATTCACCAGAGCCAGAGCGGGGAGCAGAGCAGGCAGAAGGACCGAAGTACACTGCTGAGGGGAGCAGCGGGCGGCAGGAGAGGTCTGCGCGCCATGTGGGACCCTCCTCCGGTGGCCGGGGAGCAGCCGGGGATTGAACCGGCGCCGCAGAGGCCGCGGGCAGCTTCGCAACCCAGCGCTCTACCGCTGCGCCACCGGGGAGGCCCTTAGCCAAATCTTGTATTGACCTCAGAGTCTAAATTCCGACAGCCCCGATCACAGTCCTGACTGCCTCACAGCAGCCACATGACTTTACACTCCTGACTGAGCCTCCCTGAGCCTCAGTTTCCTCACTGGGACTTCGTGGGGGAGATAGAGGGCCTCTGCTGCTCAGACGTGTGACGATTCTGTGAGACAGTCCACCGGAAGTAAAACGCTCTTGGCTCTGTGGGAGGAGAAAATGATGTAATGATTCCCAGTCAGAGGCCTGACCCTTCAGAGGCCTGAGATTTCTGTCCGGCAAATGGCTGTGGGTTGAAAAAGATTGCAAAAATGTGGCATAGAGCCCCGGGCTTGCCAGCGACCTGTCCCCTGAGCCCTGGGTTCACCAGCATGGCGGCACTGCCTCCAATCCCAGGCTGGGTGGGCAGAGGGTCCGAGGGCATTGGGCCTGAGAGGGCCTTCCTGCTGGCAGCGTGGAGGGCTGGAGCCCGAAGACAGGGCAGGCTGTGCTCCCACCTCCTCCCCGGACCACTCATGTGCCTTTCTCTGTGCTCACCTGAGCACGTCCTTGTGTCTGACTTGGCCCTCTGTCTGTCTCAGTGCTGTGGAGGGACTTCCTGGTATGTGCATCCCTGTCTTACCTGGGCATTGACGGTATCCGGGACCCAGCCAGCAACCAGTTGAAGACCTTCTCCTGGGAAGCTCTTCCCCGCAAGAGCTCTGGCCTGGGGCGCTGGTCCTGCCATGGCATTCCGGAGGACTGAGGGCATGTCCATGATCCAGGCCCTGGCCATGACGGTAGCCGAGATCCCCGTGTTCCTGTACACGACGTTTGGGCAGGTAAAGCTCGAGGAGGGCAGTAAGCCTGACCTTTATCCCTCTGATCTCCAAAACACTGAGTTGCTCAGCCCCACCCAGGGTCCCTCAGCACCCAGGAAAGTTGGACCCTCCTAACTGGGGTCCCGGACATCAGGTGTTTGCTGTCTGAGCAGAGCAAGAGCTCTTCACCTTGGAACTACGAGAACTATTGACCTTGGTTTCTCGGTCCTTAAAGGGCATCAGTCATGCCCGCCCTGTTAACCTCAATATCTGAGGCTGACCAGGGCTCTTGACGCTTCCTAAAGCTCTGCCCTGGGGGTACAGCCCCACCCTAGGGGCTCCCAATCCGGCAGGCACAGCGAGGCTGTCGGATGGGGAGAGAACACCATTGTCAGCAGTTCAGTGCTGTCTCCCCAGCCCTCTGTGTGTGGTCTTAACCGTGTGAGCCTCGGAGCCCTCACCTAAGGTGCTAGGTAGCCACACAGGCAGCCAGGCAAAGCCTGGCCCCGTAGGTGCGGTCACCACCGCTACTGGCGTGGGGACTGGTAGTGCCAGCCATACCTGTGGGACCCCAATGTGATCTTTTCAGCACTGACATTTGGCTGCCCCCAAACCCCCTTTTCATCCCTGTGGTCCACACTCTGAGGGCCTGGCCAGGTCCCCCCTCTCTCTAGGGGTGGCCACTCAGTCACTCCTGTCCTTCAGGTGCCCCCGAGGGTTGCTTGGCCCGCTGGGGCTCCCCCGGGGCTGTAACCAGCTGCCTCCCCCTTTTGTGCAGTCTGCGTTCTCACAGCTGCGGCTGACACCAGGCCTGCGGAAGGTCCTCTTTGCGACGGCCTTGGGGACCGTGGCCTTGGCCCTGGCCGCCCACCAGCTGAAGAGGCGCCGACGGAGAAAGAAGCAGGTGGGCCCTGACATGGGAGGTGAGCACCTGGGCACTGTGCCCCTCCCTGTCCTCATGGCCAGGAAGGTCCCGTCAGTGAAGAAAGGTAGGTGAGAGGGTCTGGGGAGGAATGGACCCGGAGTCTGGCCCCGCTGGGCCCCTGTTAACCATGGGGCCTGTGGCTACTAGCGGCTTCCAGTCTCCAGGCCGGGCGCCACCGCTGTACTGCCCTGTCAGTGGCAGTTCTTCCGCTGCTGGGATCCTTTGGGAGCGCGGCCCCTCCATCCAGGGAGGGAAGGGCCTGGCTCAGGAGCAGCAGGGCCCCGAGCTTCCTGGAGCATGGGTTCCCCACCCCTTGCCCCGGCTTTTTAAATTTAATTAAGGTTATTTCTGTAACCGGAGTCTCCCTTCATTGCTGGCGATCCTTGCACGGACGCGTCTGAGACGGCCCCAGTGGAGTGCTGTCCCGTCACTCTCTACACCCCTTGGTTCCCTGCTGGCCTTGTCACCCAGTGACCCAGTGTTGGCCGCACCTGAGTGCCCTGTAGACCTCTTTGTAAGACAAGGCGTTCAGCTTGGGAGAAGCAAAAGTCTCCTTGTGTGAAAGGAACTTTGACTGTGACGCACCGCTGCCAAGGGAGCTGTCGCTTTCCCACGGGGGACGGAGTCTTTGACTGACCTCGAACAGGACCCTGAGGCCCGCCGGCTTTCCATCCATGTTGGCCCCTGGGGCCCTGGGTCTCTCTCTGCCTCCCCTGTGCCACTGCCATCTTTGTGTCCCCACTTTTCTCAACTTTAAACAAAAAATCCTGCATGTACTTTAAACCATTGTTGCTGCAAGTCCTTTTTGGGCAGAGGAGATCCCCAGGTCAGCTGCTCAGAAGTGGCTGGACCCCATTCTCATGTTCACCCCTGCAGATCTGGGCTCCTCGGGGGCCTGGGCCCTGCGCAGGCGCCTGGGATACAGCAGTGAGCTGGACGACCAGCGTCTCCTGCGAAGTGCTCCCACTTGGGTGCTTCCCCATCGCAGGACCACCTCCCGGATGGAGAGGGGGGGGCGCGGCCTGGGCAAAGGCTGGGGGGCCCATGTGACCCTGTCCTGTTCCTCCCAGGCTACTCTGGCCGGCGGGTGCAGAGCCCCAGCAGCAAGAGCAACGACACTCTGAGCGGCATCTCCTCCATCGAGCCCAGCAAGCTCTCGGGCTCCTCCCACAGCCTGGCCTCGGTGAGCATCGTGGGAGGCTCTTGCTGCGTGGCTGGGGCAGGCGGGGCTGCCGTTTCTGTTCATTCACTCGCTCACTCACCCTCCCTCACCCACCTGCAGGCCTTCAGAGACCCGTTGATCACTCTCTGTGCCAGCCGTCGTCCCCAGAGAAAGGCGGGGAGGGCAGGACAGGCGTTTATGGTCTCGTGGGGAAGAGGCTTCTCTGTGACATTTCATTCCTTCCTTCTTCGCTCGCCAGCAGTGAGGCAGCACCTGCTGAGCGCCAGGGCCTCGGCTGGGTGCTGAGGAGGAGAGAAGGAAGGCAAAGAGAAGTTTGTGTTCTTGTGGGGAGTAGCTTTGGACTCAGCCCCCATCTGGGTTTGGGGTTTTTTTTTAAGATTTATTTTCATGCATACAAGAACTGGGGTGTAGGCCAGAGGTGCGTGGGGTGAGAGGACGCACCAGAGACAGAGCGGGGAGCAGAACAGGCGGATCTGCTGAAACACTGCTGAGGGGAGCAGCGGGGAGACAGGAGGGGTCTGCTGCGCCATGTGGGTCAGCTCCTTGGTCGGGAATCAAACTCAGGCCATGGAGGTGATAGCGCTGAGCCTAACCCCTGTGCCACCAAGGAGGTCTCCCGATCTGGTTATTAATTCATCAGCAGGACTGAGCCCCCTGGGGACGTGGGTGAGCCAGAGGTGGCTCCTGTCCTAGAGGGGCCCTCAGCCTGGCAGGCCGGTGGGTGTGCACGTGGATGAAGTATGGGTGAGAGCCCAGCCGCACAGTAGAGGTGCTCTCCCAGGCTTCCTCATCAAACAAGAAGAGGAGCCCCAGAGGGGGATGGGGTTACACCGCTCAGGAGTGGAGCACAGGGCAGGGCAGAGGAGGCTGCTGATGCCTGGGCTGGGCCTGGCCTCGCTCCTTCCTCCTGCCGTGGCAGTTTCTGGGAGACGTCAGCAGGACGTGGCTGCTGTGGGTGGGGGAGGCCCAGGGGTCTGGGAAGTCCTCGCCCTCACCTTTGGGTGCTTTTGCTGCTTGGTGCCCAGATGGTGGCAGTGAACTCATCCAGCCCCACGGCTGCGTGCTCTGGACCGTGGGACGCCAGAGGGATAGAGGAGTCTGTGACTACCAGCGATGGCCACGCCGAAAGCCTCTACATGCAAGGTACAGGCTGGGAGGCCAGCTCAGGGGTCCCGGGCGGGGGTGGATGGGAATGACCTCCTCCTGGGAGCCCAGGCTGGGCTCTGGACACTTGAGGGTGCAGCTCTAGCAAGCTCTCTTGGCTTTCAAGTCCTGTTGAATGGTGTCCAGCCATTTCTGGACCAGAATTGTCTCCAGAAAGAAATCTGGACTGCATGAAGGCCCGTAAACTGGGCCTGGAAAAGTGAGCGGGATGTGGCTCTTGGGTTCCGCCGACCCCTGCACTGGGACCCTCGTGTGTCCTCACTGGCGCGTGGGTCGGGCTCTCTCCCTCTGCGGCCTGACGCCCCTCTCCCCGCCGCGCAGGCATGGAGCTGTTTGAGGAGGCTTTGCAAAAGTGGGAGCAGGCGCTGAGCGTGGGGCAGCGGGGGGACAGCTGCAGCACCCCCACACCTGGGGACAGCCTCCGCAACCCGGAGACTGCTTCAGATGCACTGTCTGAGGTAGGTGAGCCCCTGTGTCGTTCCTGTGCCTCCCCCACCCCAAGGATGAGGGCAGGGCTGAGGGAGCCACTTGGGGAGGCCGGCCGCAGCCCTCCTTGGCCCCCAACCCCGTCCTCTGGGACGGGGTGAGCCTGGCGCCTGTCACTAATCCTTGTTAGCTATGGGGATGATCATGCCGGTCCTGACTGCGAGGGAAACATTTAATTCCTTTTTTTTTTTTTAAGATTTATTTATGCATACAAGAACTGGGACACAGGCCAGAGGTGCGGGGGGCGGTGAGAGGATTCACCAGAGACAGAGTGGGGAGCAGAATAGGTGGATCTACTGAAATACACTGCTGAGGGGAGCAGTGGGGAGACAGGAGAGGTCTGCTGCGCCCTGTGGGTAGCTCCCTGGCTGGCTGGGGGATCAAACTCAGTGCTGCAGAGGCTGTGGACAGCTTCACAGTGCTGTGCTTAACCCCTTGTGCCACCAGGGAGGCCTGGGAAACATTTGTTTTCTGTGTTAAAAACAAAAATCTGAACCCAGAGTAAGCTCCTGTTCTTTGCTGGAATGGGGTCAAAGAGGGACCCCTTTTGGGGGAGCTGGGGAAGGAGAGCGTTTCATCTCGAAGTTGGCTGTGCAGCTGTGACGGGAGCCGAGAGGCCACAGCCGGGGCCTGTGCCCGGCACTCAGGAGCCTGGCATCTAGGTGCTACCACCCCTGTGGGGGCTGGCCAACAGGGGTTGACCACCCCATGGGGTCGCAGGGACATGTGGTGAGGTTGGGCGGGTGGGGACAGTGTCTCTGCTCCCCACCAGTTCCTTCCTGCACCATGGCTTCCTAGACTAGCCTCCAGTTGGCCGGGGATCCTGGGAGTCAGCTTGCCCGGCACAGCCCACAATAAGTTGGAGGTGTACGTGCCACCTGCCCCAGCTCCGGGTGCTCGCTGTGGTTGTAGGGCCTGAATGTTGGGGAGACGCCCGGTAGCAACATCCTGCAGTGCCCCCTGTGCTGCTGTGGCAGGGCATCTGCACTGGGCTGACAGAGGGCACCTGCTGGAAATGTTAGGGTGGGGCCTTTATTTCCAAAATTATACTTACTGCGGGTCCGACATCTGAAAGTGTAAAACTCTCATTGTTTTGGGCTACTGTGAGAACAATGAAATGTTCCCTGAAAAGGGGTGGAAAGGACAGAGTAGAAGAGAAGGGGGCACGCCCAGGCTCTGGCGGGTGCCATGGGCAGCGGCCTCGGCCTCCCCAGGCGTGACTCTGGGCCTGCCGAGTCCTCAGTAAGTGACCTCTGCAGTCAGTGCTATTGATGCCTGTATCCTTTCATCCAGATATGGCCCTCTGGATCCTTCCAGGCATTTTTCTGGGCTGTAAATCTCTTTGAACAGTTTTGTTGAAAGAAAATCCCCCAATTTAAATTGCACAATTCGGGGAGTGTCACCACAGGGTGGTGTGTCCAGCATCACGATCCACCCCAGGGCATTGTCAGCACCCCAAAGACAACCCATTTACCCGCTACCTCTCCCCCAGCCCCCAGCCCTAGGTAACCACAAATCTGCTTTCTATGTATAGATTTGCCTATTCTGGGCATTTCTATAAATGGACTCATCCCTTATGTGGCCTTTTCTCACTGGCTCCTTTCACATAATGTTTTCAAGATTCGTCCTTGGAGGAATATGGGTTTCTGCGATTGCTAGAGAATATTCGTTTTAGTGTATGGAGGAACCTCAGTTTATTTACCCACTCATCATCAATAAATACTTGGTTTGTCGCTGCTTTTGGATACTGACGAGGAATGCCCCATGAGCTTGTGTGCAAGCTTTGGTGCTTTTAAGTCTCTCCTAGGAGTAAAATTTTACTCCTAGGAGTAAAATTGCTGGGTCACGTGGCAATTCTCTGTTTAACATTTTGAGGAACTGCCTGTTGCCACAGCAGCTGCACCATTTTCCATCCTACCAGCAGTGTACAAGGCTCCCAGCGTCCCCACGTCCTTGCCAACACTTGTTATCATCTGACTCTTTCTTTTTGAAATTTATTTGACATCAAGCTTTCCACATCTGTGTGCAGACAGGGATCGCACTGCACTTAAGTGTAAGCAGTAGAAAGATGTGAAAGTGGAGAAAAGTCACCGTGTGCTGGGCATCGAGTGCACGATTAAAACAAAGCAACAGGCAAATCAAAGTCACTAGCAAGGAAGGAGTAAAGCTGTAGGGACAGAATAAGAGGGATGGAGGCTGAGGATGCCCTCATTGGTACAGAAGTTCAGTTAGTGGCACAGTTGGCACTTGTCAAAAAATAATCCAATACCATGACCCGTATTCGTTGACATCACACTTAAATGCTCATCAACATAAATGGCTGAACAAATCCACTTTGGAGGCTGCTCGGCACCCCACAGCCTATGGCAGCTTCCACACCCAAACAGGACTTTTTTTTTTAAAGATTTATTTATACAAGAACTGGGGTACAGGCCAGAGACGCGGGAGGGTGAGAGAATTCACCAGAGATAGAGCGGGGAACAGAACAGGCAGATGGACCGAAAACATTGCTGAGGGGAGCAGCGGGCAAGACAGGAGAGGTCTGCCGCGCCATGTAGGTAGCTCCCTCGCCAGCCGGGAATTGAACCCGCACTGCAGAGGCTGCGGACAGCTTCACAGCGCTGCACTCAACCCGCTGTGTCACTGGGGAGGCCCCCCAAACAGGACTTTATTTTGTACATCTGGACCCAGTATAGCTTCTCAAGGTGTGGTTTGTAGTGACTTTGGAAGCCAGCCACGGCACAGTATTTCCTTGTGGTTTTGATCTGTGTTCCCTGGGTGGTCAGTGACGTTGGGTTTCTTGTCATGTGCTTGTTGGGCATTGATGTGTTACTCAGAGAATTGTCTGTTCAGGTCCTTGGCGTAATTTTTAAGTTGGGCTGTCAGGATTCTTTACATGTTATAGCAGCAAGCCCCTCATAGAGCTGGGGTACAGGTCAGAGGCATGAGAGGGTGAGAGGATTCACCAGAGACAGAGCGGGGAGCAGAACAGGTAGATGGACTGAAGACACTGCTGAGGGGAGCAGTGGGCAAGACAGGAGAGTTCTGCCTCACCACATGGGAATCTCCCTGGCCAGCTGGGAATCAAACCCGTGCTGCAGAGGCTGCAGACAACCTCACAGTGCTGTGCTCAACCCACTGCGCCAATTGGGAGGCCCTCGATGGTGTTCTTTGAAGCACATTAAAAAAAATTTTTTTTTGGATGAATTTCAGTGTCTCTATTTTGCCTTTTGTCATTTGTGCTTTTGGCGTTGTGTCTAAGTGACCATTCCCGAAGCCCCGTGACTTCAGAGAAGGAGCTCGCGGGTCTCTGTGGGGCAGTGAGCAAGGCTGCCCTGTTGGAGACCTGAGTGATGAGGCCAGTGGGCCGGGTCCTTGGGCTCTGCCCAGTCCCCCGTACCTTCTTGAATTTTCTCCATGAATCGGGGTCCTAGCAATTCCTGCCTTCAGGGGGTGCTGGGAGGCTGAACAGCAAGGTGCCCGCGCCAGCGCAGCTCAATGAGAGACATTGGTTTCCATCCTCACGTCCCCTCAGAGCTCCTCATGTCCCCTCAGAGCTCCTCCAGACCTTTCTCCCCTGGGGCCTCAGGCCCAAGTTGGCCCTTGTCTCCTCCCCCGGGTCTGGTTACCTGCAGGTGCAGGATCTGGCAGCCTCTGTGGAAAACAGAGTTGGGCCAGCCCGAGCCCACCAGCTCCTGGGGCCAGAGAAGCAGGGTTCCCTCCTTCCTACGTCCTGGGCTGGCGGCTGAGGGAGGTGTGGAGGTCATTATAGTAATAACATAAGGACTACAGTAATTGTTATGATAGCTACCACTGCTTGTCCCGTGCTTTGCATACTTTATCTGCCTTCCCTAAAATCCTAGAAAGTAGCTCTTGTCTCGGTGGGTAGATAAGGAAACTGAGGCTCAGCATGGGGCAGGCGTTTGCTCGAGGTCACACAGAGCTGCCTGGCAGAGCTGCGGTCTGGACCCAGGGCTGCTGGGCTCGAGCTCACTGCTGTTCCGTCAGGAGCCATGCCTCTCGTTCAAAAGGAAATGGGGGTAACCTAGTCTGTTCAAACTACGGTCGCATCAACATGTAATCGACACACAACGTCACTGCGCTGTCTTCCGTTTTTGTATTTTGGGTGGTCATTGCTTCACTTACGCGTCTGGACCGGGTCTTACTGTGTCTCACGTGCCTCCCACCCCCGCTGCATGCAGCTGGCCGCTTCTCTCTGGGCAGCTGAGGGTCTAGACCCGTGCTCACGTTGCTGAGGCTCAGGGCCCTCCACCCTTCCCCAGGGGCAGGCCCCCCCACCGGTGGGGAAGAGGCACGTGCAGGGGGCTTAGAGGGCTGGATTCACAGTCCTCATTTAATCGCAGCCAGACTCACAGCGGAGGGAGTTTGCGGAGAAGTTGGAGACGCTGCTGCACCGGGCCTACCACCTGCAGGAGGAGTTTGGGTCCACCTTCCCCTCCGACAGCATGCTGCTGGACCTCGGTGAGCTGGGTGGAAGCAGGCGGTGGCAGGGCGGGACAGACGTGGTGGGGGAGATTAAGGGAACTGGGTGTGACCCCTCAGTGCATCAGGCAAACCAGGATCCCCCAGATCCAGTGCCTTATTGCACGGATGGGGGAACTGAGGGCCTGAGAGGGATAGAGATGTTTCCTGGTCCGCGGCAGGCAGGTGGCGAGGCCCGGGGAGGCCCTGGCCAGCGTGCTCCCCTCCTGCCCTTGCGGCAGGCTTTGGCCTCACGTGTCAGCGTCTCCCGGTGGCTGTCCCAGGCCTTGGGTTGGGAGGCTTCCTCCCCTGTGGGCACTGGGGGTGGCTCACCTGGAGAACAGCCCAGAGCAGCCCACAGGGCCCAGCCCCACTGAGGTGAAGAGGAGTGATTCCGCCAATGCGCCTGTGTGCTCCTGCTGCCCCTGGGTGCCAGCCCTGTGCAATGACTGTGACCCTCTGCCCTCCCTGGGTGCTCTGAGCCCTGAGGGGGCCTTTGGCTCCTGAGTGCCAGACGCCCCGACTCCACTGGTAGGACACAGGCCTGGAGAGGCCTGGCCAGGGTGCAGACACGTCCTCCCCAGGTCTCTCCCAGTTTTGCCCATGTTTCCCCTGTGTGGGGGCTGGGGTCCATTTGGGGCTGTGGCCTCTGCGCATTGGTTCCGCGGACCTTTCCTGAGCACCCATGGAGGTCCAGACCCCCAGCCCTTGAGCCTTGGGGACCTGAGCCTTGGGGTCGGGAATGCGACAGAGCGGCCTGTGCACTCCCTGGAGCCCTCTGGGAGCGCCGCTTGCCTAGGGTCACACCACAGCAGGGCGCCCTGGGCCCCAGACTGCATGCCCTAGTGGTGAGGCCTGGGGTTGGGGGGCGCCCTCAGAGCCTGGTTTCCCCGCCCAGCGAGTACCACCTCCCAGGACAAAGGCTGAAGGAGGTCGTTCACTTGAGGCCAGGAGCCCAGGGGGCCGACGCGCTCGGTGCGCGGGAGCAGCCTCTGCCCCGGATCCTGGGGGTGCGCGTGGACTCTGTGAGGTTAGGCCGGGTCTCAGGCCATCCCCTCTCGTGCCCCCAGAACGGACCCTCATGCTGCCCCTGACAGAAGGCTCGCTGCGCCTCCGGGCAGACGATGAGGACAGTCTGACCTCGGAGGATTCCTTCTTCTCTGCCACCGAGGTGACTGGGGCTGAGGCAGGCGGAGGCGGGGTGAAGGCTTGGCCCCTGAGAGTGCGCTGGGTCATGGGAAAGTGAAGGCATTTCCTCCAATGGGAGCAGAATTTAACGGTCCCCAAGTGCTGCTCCCTTGGGATTCCAGGCAGCTGCCAGGGACAGGAGGCCCAAGAAGCCAGGGGTCGTGCATGGGTGGTGTGGGTGAGGACAGGGGTCCTGCCCCCCGGGGCTCCACCAACATTGACCTCTCCCTTCTCTGGCCCACCGGCCGGCTGCCTGGCGTTAGTCTCCTGCCGTGGCCGGAGGTGGGAGGACCTGGGCACAATAGGTGTCCCGCGGAGGGTTCCTTCAAGAAGGGCCCCGGGAAATGGAGACGCAGGAGGCCAGAACTAGACTTGAGCCCAGGCCTCCTGCCTCTCAGGTCAGTGTTCCCTTTGACCTCCCTCTGAGACCCTGGTCCCTAGGGGGTTCCCTGCTGGGGGTGCCTTCACCCCTGAGATGCTGCTCACCTCCTCTCCCTCTCCCCCCGCCCCCCAGCTCTTTGAGTCCCTGCAGGTGGGAGATTACCCCCTCCCCCTCTCCAGGCCTGCCGCTGCCTACGAAGAGGCCTTGCAGCTGGTGAAGGAGGGGAGAGTGCTGTGCCGGACCCCCAGGTGAGCGCGGGAGGCAGGCCGGAGAGGCAGAGGTGGGCCAGGCCAGACGCCGGGGGCTGCGGTGGACTGGCGGTGGCCACGGGGCCTAGGGCAGCCCCCAGTGGAAGACGGGCAGGCCTGGAGATGATGGTAACAGTGACCAGTCGACACAATAAATTAATAAAACAATAGCTGGTGCCTGTCCTAAGGTCTCAGCGGGGTCTGTTCCCAAGCCCAGCTTCCCGCGCAGCCCTTCCGGCGGTGTCCAGAAGCCAGGCTATGGCGTCAGTGACACCTGGAATCTCTCCGCGCTCCCCTGATTTGTGGCCTCTGGCCCTGATCATTGTCTTAGCCTCTCCTTGCTGCAGTTTTCTCATCTGTGGTGGACATAGGGCTCTTTCCATCTCGGGCTAGCCCTGTGATGGGAGAGTTGGAACTCGGCTTTGGGTCATGGCGGTGCACTGACGCGCGTGAGCTTAAGTGGCTGACTGGGAATGGTGGAAGACCTGGTGGGGCTGTGGTCATCTGGACGGAGGGCCCCCAGTATCCACAGGAAGCCAGGCCCAGATTGGGAGGCACCGCTGTCCTGAGGTGCCTCTTCTGTCCTTCACCAGTGAGGGTTCTTAGCTCGTGGGGGCCTGAAAGGGGCCTGAGGTCAGCCTAACCCCCAGCGACCAGACCTGCCAGCTCTGTCCTGTGCCATTGAGGCTGACCCATCTTCGAGAGCACCCATGAGCCTCTCTCGGGGGAGACCGAGGCTGAGTCACACTGCCGGGCCATGGAGGGCCACCCTAGGCTGCTCGAGGACCCGCAGGGCGCCGGGCAGGGCTGATGGTGCGACTGTCTGTGCTTCCCCTCAGGACAGAGCTGCTGGGCTGCTACAATGACCAGGACTTCCTGGCCAAGTTGCACTGTGTGCGGCAGGCCTTCGAGGTGGGTGTGGTAGGGGGCACCTGGGGAGCATGGGGCCGGGGCCTGCTTCCGCACCTGGCTCCTCTGTCCAGGTGGGGCACAGACCCAGCCTGTTTCCTGCCCGCTCCTGGGCTTTGAGGGCCGCCAGCAACTCACTCCCCTCCTTCCTCATTCCTTAGGGCCTTCTGGAAGACAAGAGCAACCAGCTGTTCTTCGGGGAGGTCGGCCGGCAGATGGTGACAGGCCTGATGACCAAGGCTGAGAAGGTAGCAGGGGTGGGGGCTCTCGTTCAGGTCCGCATTTTAACTTTTATGTAGTTCTGTTTAAAAGGAAAAGGGCAATCTGAGTTCCAGCTGAAGAGCTCAGCTGCATCCCGGGGGCCGTGGGTAGCTGAGAAAGGATTGGGGGTTTTCCTGTGCTCGTTTTGCAAACTGAGGATCTGCAGTGCTCTTGGTTTGTGATGACCACAGGACATCATTTTACAAAACCCACTGATGATGAAATGCAAATCACACACGGTCTCCCGTGCCCGCCTGTCACAGGAAACCACTGCCCGCGTCTGATTTATGTTCCTCATGCCCAGATCGTAGGCGCTGACCTGGGTGTGCCGCTGTTCAGTTCCCAGGGCTCCGCCTGTGCCACCTGGCTGTTCAGCTGCTCGTTTCCTTGTGTGGGAGCATGCCCTGTCCATCTTCCTGGGTTGCTGGACCCAGCTTCTCTTGCTGCTGGCGGGACCTCCCTGGGAGGGCTGCTCTGGGCCACCGGGCTCACCTCTGGATGGCGGGTCATGTCTGATGTGCTGAGCTGCTGCCGTGTTGGGCACCTGTGAGGTTTGCTGGGTGGCGAGCCCCAGTGCGGCCCACTGGTGTCACTCTCACTCTGGACGGGGATCGTCCTAGGAAGTGTGTCTCAGGTGATCTTGTGTGAACGTCACAGGTGTGACCACACACACCTCAAAGGACGGCCTCCTTCCCCACCAGGCCTCCGGGGCTCGCCCGCTGGGCCCACTGTCAGAGACGGGGCCACCGCTGACTGGGCAGCACGACTGCCAAGTTCGGCAGAAGGATGACCAGTCTCCCGAGTGGTCCCGGCCCGCGTGCAAGTGTCTCCTGACAGTGCGGCCAGCGCCGGCTAGCCGTCGTCCCACACTCCTTCTACCTGTTGCTTCTTTCTCCTTGATTGTGAGGCGGCGGCCAGGAGGTCCCCAGTTGCTAGCCATGGCACTTCTGCCCTTCCAGGGGCTTGGGCAAGGCTTTTGAACATGCCTCTCCCCTGAATCCTTTCTCCTCACTGGTCACAGCCATGGCCCCCGCACCTCTGAGCTGCACCCCCATCTGCTTCACACCCTGCGCTGCCCTCAGTGTGAAGGTTAAGCGTGGTTCCAGGCGGCCACTGTGCTCCTTTGGCCTCCCTGGCAAGAAGGGCTCGGCCCCTGGTGCCCCCAGACCTCCTCCCTGGTGGTGGCCTTGGCACGTGCCGTCCCTCCTCACTGAACGCCGTCCCTCAATTCTTGTTACTAACGGCTTCACGGCAAAATACAGTCACAGGCCACACGACGTCATCTTGGCTGGTGACGGGCGGGGGTTCCCTGTGCACAGCTGGCGCTCTGGAGGCTGTCCCCCCGGCGTGTGTCCCCACACACATGCACGAGACCGTCTGCCCACAGTCTCGGCACGTAACCCTGTCGTTAAGCAACGTCTGCGCGCCAGGGAGCCTTCAGAGGCATCTCAGGATGTAAGGAGTGAAAAGGCGAGCCCGTGTGCGCACAGCCAGGCGGGGAGTCAAACATGTACCCCACATCTGGAGCCCCGTCCCCGCTTCCTCGGTCACCCGTCTTCTGAGTCCCCACCGGCCGAGTCTTCTCCCAGGAGGGCTTCGCCTGACTTATCCCCAGGGGCCCCAGAGCCCATGGGCTCATCCTGTCCGGTGAGACCTTGTCACCTGCCTTCTGCTGCTCCCCTCCTTCCTCAGGGAGTCCCACAGAGGCCTGGCCGCAGCCCAGCCCAACCGTCATGAGAGGCTCGTTCTCTGCAGCCTCTGTTTACCAAACAGCCAGTGCAGTACGTTCTCCTGTAGACCCAGCTGGGTCTGCCGGGCCACTGTGCGTGGGAAGGGCGGGCCAGGTTGGATCTCAGGCTGCCGGTCTGGCCTCTGTGGCCCCGCCCCCACCCAAGAGAGTGGAGGACCAGCAAGTGAGGCTACAGTGGGTGCCAGGAGCTTAGCAGACACCTGCTCTGGCTGCTCCCAGATGGACCCAGAGGCATGGCGGGACTTAGAATTCTTTTTTTTTTTTTTTTTAAAGATTTTTTTATTTATTTATACATGCACTGGGTACAGTCAGAAGCGCGGGAGGGTGAGAGAATTCACCAGAGCCAGAGCGGGGAGCAGAGCAGGCAGAAGGACCGAAGTACACTGCTGAGGGGAGCAGCGGGCGGCAGGAGAGGTCTGCGCGCCATGTGGGACCCTCCTCCGGTGGCCGGGGAGCAGCCGGGGATTGAACTGGCGCTGCAGAGGCTGCGGGCAGCTTCACAACCCAGCGCTCAACCGCTGTGCCACCGGGGAGGCCCCTTAGGATTCTTTTTTATTAAGAAATTTAGAAGAGGCCCTGGCGGCTGATCGGCCCCCTGAGCAGCAGTGCTGGTGCTGAGCCTGAGGCTGGAGCTGCTGCCTGTCCTTCTGGGCAGGCAGGGCTGGGCAGGCCCCGACCAGTAACTTTGCCCTTTGCTAATTTTGGTGCCAGCCCCCTGGGCAGCACCCAGGGGAAATCGGGCTGCTTCCTGTGTGTCCACGGGGCGGCTGTGAAGCTTGCCCGAGCCTCGGTCTGCTCGCGTGTAAGTAGGTGCTCCCGGGGATGTGCCCTGTGGCGTGCCCAGCGGCCATGAGAAGTGTCCGCCAGGCCAGCCATCATCCACTTCATCATCCTTTACGTCTAAGGAGAGTGAGGCTTGGGAAGGTTATGGGAACAGCTTGGGGTCATCTTAGCAAATTCTCTTTAAAGCTTAATGAAAATCGTTTTTTGTTAACATTATTATTCAAGCGATGTTTGCTTATGGTAGAAAAAAACGGAGACAATCTCGAAAGAGAAAAGGTTGTCCCTAACCCCACCCATGTTCTGGGGGGCACCTGCCGAGGCCCTGCCGCCTGCTGTCTATAAAGGGCGCACCCACCGCGCGTGTTCTGGCTAGCCCCACCTGCCCGGCTCTCGGCACGTCCCCAAAGCTCCGTCATCTTGTCTGTAAGGTGGATGTAACGAGGGCTCATCTCTCAGAGGACCATGAGGTTTCAATGAGTGGGTCCAGATAGAACCAGACCCTGGCATGCCCCAATTCTCACATCCATATACACGATCCGCAGCTCTCACCCTGGCACCCCGGCCTGAGGCACTGCAGCAGGTGCTGCTGTTCTGGGGCCAGCAGCCCGGCCCTCGCGCGATCACTTTGGTTGGCATCAGGCTGATTGTGGTACGAGGCTGAGCTCATCGACTCCCCCAGAATAACCTTAAGGGTGTGGGGCTGCTGCTTCTCCCGTTTCACCCATGAGACCCAAGGTCGTGGAGACGTGGCTCTGGCTACCTCACACTGTGCCTCGCATCTCCACGTGCCTTCTGGGGAGCGCGGGTCTCTCCCGGCCGATGGTGCTGGAGCCAGCAGGGCTACTGCTGGGCACCCTGTGCCGCAGAGGCACATCGAAGTGGACGGGCCACTCCCTACCCTGGTCTGAGAGGCCGCTGCTCGGGACTGGGCCCACACCCTGCCGCCCGTGGGCAATCTGGTCCCAGTGGGTCTCGTCCAGCTGGGCCTCTTGCACCACAGAAAGACTGTGATTTTCCCCACAGAGCCCCAAAGGCTTCCTGGAGAGCTACGAGGAGATGCTGAGCTATGCGCTGCGGCCTGAGACCTGGGCTACCACTCGGCTGGAGCTGGAGGGCCGCGGGGTGCGTAGTTCGTGTTGAGCCCCAGACCCCGGGTCCTTCACGCTCAGAACCTGGAGCAGAGGAAGGGGGTGCCCCTCCCAAGCTCCCCTTCAGTCCCAAGGAACTGTGATGGCTCCATCGCTGTGACAGCCCCACTGCCCTGCCTGTGGAGGGCATCGCCCCAGCTGCACTCGCTGCAGAGGGAGATGGGCCCGCCGGGCAGTCCCCAGGCCCTGCCCTCCCTGTCCTGACCTCGTCCACCTGGGCCTCAGAGCACCTCCTGCCCTACAGGTAGTGTGTATGAGCTTCTTTGACATCGTGCTGGACTTCATCCTCATGGACGCCTTCGAGGACCTGGAGAACCCACCGTCCTCGGTGCTCGCTGTCCTGAGGAATCGCTGGCTATCCGACAGCTTCAAGGAGACGGTGGGTGGACAGTCCCACCCCACACATGTGTGCACCCCCTCTTCTCCCTGCCCAGCTGAGCTCTGGGGCTGTCAGCAGAACAGACCAGGCACCTGCCCTGGAGAAGTTTCCAGATGATCCTGTTCTCCCCACCCCACCCTTTTATTTATTTATTTATTTAAATTTATTATTTATGCATACAAGAGCTGGGGCACAGGCCAGAGATGCCGGGGGTGAGAGGATTCACTGGAGACAGAGTGGGGAACAGAACAGGCAGACTGACTGAAATATACTGCCGAGGGGAGCAGTGGCAGAGACAGGAGAGGTCTGCCTCGCCATGTGGGTTGCTCCATGGCCGGCCGGGCATCGAACTCGTGCTGCAGAGGCTGTGGATTGCTTCATAGTGCGGCCCCTTGTGCCGCCAGGGAGGTCCCGCCCCACCCTTTTAGAGCCAGCATGTGGGGGTTTCCCTCTTGCTGCGGTTTTGCTTGCAAGCACTCTTCATTCTGGACTGGCGTCCATTCTGTTCTGTTTTAATACATCCTGTTCAACCAGGTGAAAACATGGAAGGGGAAAAGGAGGGAGGTGAGCCCCGCAGACCCAGGAACAGGCATGACCACCCAACCCTCCGTGTGGCGTGGGTGGTCTGGAGCGGGTGGAGCGGCCTTGTCTAGGCGGTAGCTGTGGACCCTCACCACCCCTGAATGAGGGCGTGCTGGGTCACGGCCATTTTACGAAGGATCCAGAGAGCCGTGGCTAGTCCAGTGGCCAGAAGTGGTTAGTCCAGCTTCACATTTCAGGGTGTCAGATTCCTAATAGAGTCAGGGGAACGGCGAAAAGAAGGCTCCACGCCCTGTCTCCCTGCTGGGTTGGGGTGAGCATGGGAGGGGCTGCAGCCTGCCCTATTCTCTTGCCCCCGGGTGTCTTTGATTTAGGCCCTGGCCACAGCTTGCTGGTCGGTGTTGAAAGCTAAGAGGAGGCTGCTGATGGTGAGTGACCTCCCACCCAGAGACCGGGCTGGGCGAGTGATCCCCGATATGAGAGCAGGGTGGGCGGAGGGATGGGGCTGGTGGAGGGCAACCTTGCTGAGCCCCCAGACCTTGCCGCCCCTGGTGGCTTCATCACAGCGTCACCGCGTGTCCTGCCCTACTGTCTCCCTTGACCAGGAACACCCCAGAGGCACTTGTAGCTCCACTTTGCTCCCTCGCCAGGGCCCAGCGGAGCAGGCCATTAGGAAATGTTGAAGTTCTCTGAGCAGGGGAAAGGCATCGAGGGGGGCTGGAGGGCACATGCCAAGGGGTGGTGCTGGCTGGGTAGGTGGGTGGGGGCAGGAGCCAGGGTGGGAGCGCCTCCTCCTGCCCTGGGGCTGCCCTGCTGTTATCTGCACTCCGGGGCAGTCTGTACTATCGGGTGTTATCCAACGTCCCCTCTGCCAGCCAGGCTCTGCCGCCCAGCTGATACCAGCTGCCTCCGCCACGTGCTCCAAGCACTTCCTACACTGAGCACGCCCCCCGAGGGCCCTTTGTGTGGTTCTCACAGTGGCCCCGAGATCACCCTCTTGTGCAGAGGTGAAGACTGGGGCTTCAGAAGCTCCCATCACAGGCCCAGGGGCACCCAATGGGAGCCCCACTCTTAAGAGGACTCGGGACCTGGCCGCCTCACCCTCCCGCACCCCGACACTCAGCCTGGCCGCCCTCCACAGGTGCCCGACGGCTTCATCTCCCACTTCTACTCCGTATCGGAGCATGTTAGCCCTGTCCTGGCCTTCGGCTTCCTCGGACCCAAGCCCCAGCTCGCAGAAGTCTGTGCTTTCTTCAAGGTAAATGGGGCGCAGTGTCCGCTGCTCCCCTGGGGAAGGGGCCCCTGGAGGTGGCCGGAGTGGAGCGAGGGCCTGGGCCTGCCCCCTGGAGAAGGGTAGGGCGGGGCACCCTTCCCCCTCTGAACCTGACGCAGAGAGGCTGGGCGGGGGTCCGGGGCACTGGTGGGGAGGCCGGTGCCCGGCCCCGGCCCACGCCCGCCCGTCCCCAGCACCAGATCGTGCAGTACCTGAGGGACATGTTCGACCTGGACAACGTGCGCTACACGTCTGTGCCCGCACTGGCGGAGGACATCCTGCAGCTGTCCCGGCGCCGCAGCGACATCCTCCTCGGCTACCTGGGGGCGCCGGCCGCCAGCAGCGTGGGCTTGAACGGAGCGCTGCCCCGAGAGAACGGGCCCCTGGAGGAGCTGCAGTAGTGGCCGCGCGCGTGCTCCGGGCGGCCCGCTGCTGGGCCGCGCTCCCGTGGCTGAGCGCAGAGAGAAGGCCGCCTCCTCCCGCCTTTGGGTTGGCATCCAAGGGCCTGGGTGTCCCGGCCGTCAGCAGTGGCAGAGCCCAGACCATGGTGGCCGCAGGCCGTTGCCTCAGACCTTGCCCCCTCTATCATCTGGGAATGCGTGGAGCCCCTGGGGGCCCACCTGGCTGCCCTTAGCTGTCCCCGGGGAAGTGGAGCCTGGACCAGTGACCTGAGGGTGAGGAAGGGGAGAGGGAGAGGGAGAAGAAGCGAGCTGGGGACGATATTGGGAGGAGACTTGAGGCAGGTAAGGTGGACGCCCCGGCTGTGGGACCCCAAAACCTCCCACCAGCCCAGGGCTGCTGAGAAGCGGGGCTGGGAGGATGGAGGGGGAAGGTGGGGGTGAGCAGGATGCCAATGAGGTCCCAGGTACCCTGAGCTAGAAAGGATCCAGGCATCTGACTGCCAGTCCTGTACCCCCTAAGTCCCCCCATAGGGTTTTGGACTCCAGGGGGTTCTGAAGGTGAGGCTAGTGAGCGACTCAGTAGATGGCAGGCCTGGACCGTCCGGAGGTAGGACAGGTGGACCTGCTTGTCCCCGTCGGGCAGGGACTGTGTCTCTGACACCCCCAAGCCCCACTCCTGGACACTGCCCGCTCACCTTCCCTCGCCCACAGACGATCACGTCCCTTCCCAGCTCGGCCACCACCAAAGCCGGAGGAGGTGGGGCTGGTCTCCTGCCCCTACCCCTCCCTCTGTGAGTCCGGAACTCCCTGGGTGGTGCTAGGCGCCGGCCTGGGTCTCTGGCCAGGGTCAGGCCTGTCACCTGTGCTGCCTGAGTGAGGGGACCCAGAGGCCATGTGGGGGAGGTCAGAGGATGGACGGGCTGGCCTGGCTGCGCCCTGTGAGGACAAGGCCCTTGGGCACAGATGCTCCCGGGCCAGCCTCCCGGCGTTTGTCCCCATGCGGCCGGCTTCCTGTCAGCCCGGGACGCGCGTCTCACAGTGTTTCACCTGAGGTGGGATGTTTTATTTATTGCCTTAACACTTTATTTTGAGGTTCTGTCCCTTTCCAGTCTGAGAGGCCTACAGGAGAAGCAGGCGCTCTGCTCTGGGGGAGGATGTCCCTTCCTCAGGGCAGGCGAGGGGAGGGGCTGGGCTGGGCGAGTGAGCCTGCTCCCCCCGCCAGGCTGGGGAGCCTGAGCCCTAACTCTGAGGCTCGGCTGGGCTCCAACCCCCTCTCCGAGGTCCATGCCCAGGAGGGAGCAGCCCCTCCACCCCCCACATTCCGTTCATTTGCACTTAACCCTCGCTGTGAATGTAGCCCCGGGCCTGGCCCGCTGATCTACCCCAGCCCCACACAAGCAGCATTTCCTTTTTGTCTTTGTTTACACGTCCGTGCGCTGCCTGGGCACGCGCTGCAGCTTCCAACTCCTGTCTGGTAGAGCGTGTACACATCGACTGAGTCCAATAAATGACTGAAATGCTCGCCGTCCCCGTCCCGCGCTGGCACGCCGCTCTTTGAGGTGTGGTTGGTAGGGGTTCCAGGGGGGCAAAGGTCAAGGGCAGGGAACGCTGTGAGCACACTTGGGGCCTGGCTGGGTCCACAAGTCCTCCTGGGCTGGGGGTATGGATGTTTTGGGGAAAAAACATACTCTGGGCAGGGAGTAACCAAGAGAACAAGTGGGTACAGGTTTTATTATTATCACACTAGCGGGCACCAGATAGGAGAGTTCTCTCCTGGAAAGATCTGGGCTCTGAACATGCACAAAGGTTTCCTATACTCGGTTATTTTAAGTGTAGGTTACATTGGTAGCTTATGTTTTGGGTAGACAAGGTCATTCTGACAGATGAGCAATAGGAGGGGTTGGACAAAGGGGAGGGGGTAGGGCTCACAGCAGATGAGTTGGCTTACTCTGCCGGCCCCTCCTCTTGGAATGAAGCCTTGTGAATGTAAAGACCAGCCTTGAATCCATCAGACAAAAGGAGAATTTGCAAGTGAGAAAGAAAAGCAAACTTGCTTATTGCCCCTGGGTTGGGATGTCTATCCGGTAGGACTTTTACTGCAGTCATTTGCTTATTGGCTTTCCTTTTCATGGGACTGTGGCCAGTGCCGTCCCCAAGGGCACCGATTCGGTGGGCAAGCCGCCTGGGAGAACCTGCAGCTCAGGCAGTACCTAGGTGAGGTCCTCTCTGGGCCTCAGTGTCCACACCTGTAAGATGCTTATGCAGATCAAGCCACTGATCACCTGGGCCGGTGAGGGGCTGGGGCAGCTGGGAACAAACTGGCTAGCCAGATCTCCAGATGTTTTCGTGGGCACTTGGACCTCAAAAGGCTTATTGGGAAGGGAGTAAAAAAAAAAAGACCAAAAAACCCACCAGGGCCTCCCTGGTGGCCTAGGGGTTAAGGCTCAGTGCTATCACCACTATGGCCTGAGTTTGATCCCCTGCCAGGGAGGTGACCCACATGGGGCTGCAGACCTCTCCTGTCTCACCCGCTGCTCCCCTCAGCAGTGTACTTCAGTCAGTCCGCCTGTTCTGCTCCCCACTGTCTCTGGTGAATCCTCTTACCCCCACACCTTTGGCCTACACCCCAGTTCTTTATGCAAAAAAAAAAAAAAATTCACTTTGAAAAAACTCAGATAAACAGAAAAGTTAAACCCATTTAACAAACACCCATGAAAACAGGGAATCAGAAATTGACATCCTGCTATTTCCATTTCTTTTTTAAGACAGCTTGGAGTAGGTTTCAGGCACCCACTTCACCCCTTGAGCCAGCAGATCTTACAAATATGGTGGTTCTCCAGCACGACCCCAGTACCCAGTGACTGCTCGTTCTTGGCAGTCTGGAGCTTTCTCCACTTGCCTGGGCGGGCTCCGTCAGCAGGAGGAAAAATGCTTGCGTCTCCCTGTGCTGGGTGTAGAGGCTCATGTTAGCCAATGTGGTCACTTCCAATGCCGGCAGATAAGTTTGTTTTAATTTCATTTAGCTTCGGCACCATAACATGCACTCGCTGGGACGGTTTGTTTTCAGTAAGTTGACAGGATTGTGCAGCTGTCTGTTACAGCGGCGTGTCGTTCTCCAGGCTTCCTCCCCCGAAGACCCCTTGTGCCCACTTGCAGAGTCGTCCAGGCCACCCCAACTCGACTCTCCTGCAACCCTGCAACCCGCCTCTTCTGGTCATTTCCTGTAAACGGACTCCCACCCCGTGAGGGTGAGGGCCCCTGGCTTGGCTTCTCACACACCAAGGTTTTGGAGACGCCGGTGTCGGATTTCCCTGTCCCGAGGAGCATTCAGCGACGTTCTTCCCTTTTCTTGCAGCCCACTGTGGACTCACTATGATTTTGATTTACTTGATTTTTACAGTTATGATGGTTTTCATGCTCACACGGTAAGAGGTTTAGCCAGCAGGAGCCCTTCTCATTGGCCCCTGGGTCCTCTCCGACACATGCGCCCCGCCCTCCCCATCTTGGGGCACTTCCTTTCCAAGAAGCTCAGAATCCCAAAGACCAACCCGGTAAGGCCCTGAGGGGAACCCTGGCCCATATCTGAGGCAGACAGGACTTAAAATCACAGGTCCCGGCGAATCAGGCCTCTTGGAATCTGTCCTTGAATCATCCTCTCCAGGATCAGTTCTGGGCTTGGCCACAGGACTGCCCAGGTCAGTGGGAGAGAGCCACGTGATGCAGATAGACTTGGGAAGTATCTGCCGCCCTATGAGATCTCTGGCAGGGGAAGCACCCTGGCCAGCAGTGGCAGCTCACGGCCAGATGTGAGGGAGACCGCTGGACCACAGAGGCCCATTTGCGCCACCAGCCGCATGAGTGACCCCCCCCCACCCCCAGGACAGCCTGGCTGAATGCAGCCACGATCCCAGATGTTGAGCAATGGAAGTGATGGTCTGAAGTCACCAGGCTTTAGAATGGCTTCTTCCAAGGCCCACCTCGCTGTACCAGGCCAACTGTGGTGAAAGGGGGAACCCAGAGGGAGGCACGACTGCCGCCCGGGTGCCAGCAGTGAGCCCGTGACCACCCCGGGTCTCCAGACCCCAGCTTGAGTGCGTGCCCTCAACCCCCGTGCTTTACCTTGGACGTCTCTGTCTCCCCATGGCCATGTGATCTGGATCAGCCATGGGCCTCTGTTGGCTTCCCCAGGAGACCGATGCTCACACAGGGAGGAGAGTTGTGGAGCTCTGGGTGCCCAGTGTGGCCTATGGCTGTGAGTGGCTGACACTCAGCACCCGTGAACAGTGGCTCATTTGCCATACAGGTGGCTCCCAAGATGCAGGCATGAGCATGATGTGAAGCAGGATCATGCATTGTTCACCCAGTGTTTACTGTGCACCTACTGTGTGCCAGGCATGGCTCCAGGCGCTGCCCAGGCCTCTGCGCAACATGCCAGACCAAATCCGGCCGGCCTGGGGAGCTGTCTGGGCAATATCAGGTGGCCTGAGAGTGGCCACAAGGACAGGCTCGGCCCCCTGGAAATCCACAAATGCCACAAACCAGGGGTGCACTCAGTCTGGGTGATGAGCCTGACAATGCATCTCTGGGAACTGGCCCCGTGGTGTTTGGAACCCTAGACCCTGCCTTCCAGAAGCTTCTTTTCTAGGAGACAATGAGAGATGATGCCAGAAGTGTCACCTCTAGTGTGAGCCTGTCTGGCTGGCTGGCATCTTTGGGACCCGGGAGTGACACAGCATCCACCGGAGAGTTTCCTGAGGGCAGTGGCCCTGCTGACAAGTCCTCTCTTCCTCCTGGACCCCAGGAACTCCAATACCCACCAAGTCAATGAGTGGACCTCTGACCTACAGGACAGCAGCTGACACATTTGGGGGAGACAGGTCCAGAGAGCGGAAAAGAGAACAAAGTAGTGTGGCTAGGGGTGCGGGACAGGGGCTGCGCTTGGTGCCTCTGGTCCTGGGAGCACAGGCGGGGCTCTGGCGGAGCCTGGGCCTGGGGTGGTGGTGGGGCAGCTAGCAGTTTGGTCTGTGGGCTGTAGGGTGGTTTAGGGTTCTGGGTTGGCCCATCAGGCAGACCCAGCTTCAACTCCTGTGACTCCGGGGGCATCACTGGTCCAACCCCTGGCTCGGAGGCGGCGCGGGCTCCTGCAGCCATTGAAGTCTTCTCTCAGCGTTCTCCCCGCATGGCTCAGCCCCTCGTCTGCAGGCAGCCTGTACCCTCCCTCTCCAGCTGGGCTCAGCTCCCTTGGTGCACCTCCTTTGGAAATGCATCCACTGGAGCACCAAGAACCAGCGCAGGGAGCGCCTGGCAGTGCCACTGGAGAGTGGGCACTGTCTCACTAGAGGCCATGGCTATGTCACACACATGAGGCCAGGGACGCAGCCTCAGGTGAAAGGGCCTCCTGTGGGGTTCCGCCAGGGTGACCTCCTACACAGTGTTGAGATGGGGGGTCTCTTGGGGGTGACTAGACAATGTGTCTGGGGCTCCCGGGGCCCTGGTTCTTGATGCAGGGGCTATTTACACAGTTGTGTTTAGCTTGTAAAACTCCATCGGGCCGTCTGCATTTGATTTCTGGCATTTCCTGTGTGATGGAAACCAAAACCAAAACTCAAACCACCACCCATCCTTCAGAGCTCCCCTCTGGTCTCACCACCAGCAGTGGCCTTCAAAGTTGTGAGTGGCCAGCACCCAGCCAGCACCTCCCCACACCCCGCCCTTTCATCCAGCCACACTCCTGCCACAGGACACCAGCTCCGGCTGTTCCCGCCCTGCGTGATGTCGGGGCACAATTTAATAAGGTTAAAAGTTAAGCCCAGCAGGTAGGTTTGGGAGGCTTGAGTAGATAAGAAAATTGATAAGGTTGCCTCAGGGATGAGGCCATAAAACTTCCCGTAGCCCTAAGGCCGTAAAACCGACCACCACGACCAGGAAAACAGCCCAGCTCCAGGAGAGCAGGAGCAAAGGCCAGGGTGTGTTTCTCTGTCAAAGGCCGGTGCCTGAGACGGACACCCCAGCAGATAACTGGTGCAAACTGGCGCCCCAAGTCAGAAGGCCCGCAGGGTATGAAAGAGCCTCAACCCTTCCTTCCGGAGCAGACTTCTCCCATCTCGCCTGCTGCTTCTCTTAGCAGTGCATCTCAATAAACCCCCTTTTCTAAGTTCTCCACCCTGTCTCTGGTGAATTCTTTTACCTCCGCTCCTCTGGCCTCACCCTGCTATTTCTCCCCACCACAGTTGAGTCCTCTGCACTGTGTAGCTCCTCAGCCTCCTCCTCCCCTCGTAACTCTCCCTGAGGCAGGGGAAGCTGGGAGCAGAGAGCACGGGGCCCTGGGGCCCTGGTCTTCAGGCGTCTTTGCCGCTAAGTGACAGGGCCACTGCCAGGGATGGGCAGTCAGCCAGGCCCAGCCAACTATTCTGGGAAACTCGCAGCCCACTCCTCTGACCTCCTGCTCCTCAGCAGCTATTAATGGCAGTGCCTGAGGAAGCTGAAGGCAGGTGACAGGGAAATGAGGCCAGCTGACCCAGACCAGCTCAAGCAGCCCCAGAGCTGAGTACAGCTGGGGGCTTCCCGGCCAGCTGGTGGGTTCTGAGTCACCATCACCCACCCCCTCCCCCCAGCCCGCTCAGCCCTGCCCACCGCCCTGCTCTAGCCGCCCGCCTTGGGTCTCTGCGATTCTTCTCACACGCATTTACTGCGTCTATCCGACACTGGCTCAAGGCCTTGCCTGGCCCAGGCTCAAGGACGTAACACACCCTGTCTTCACATTACCCGGCTTTTTCCAGGCCTGGCAGCGACCACCGGTGTCAGAACCTCCAAGTGTCACAGGGCAGCCCCGATACAAAGCGGGGTGCCTGACTGTGGGTCCTCACCCGCGGGCTTCAAAGGACTTATCCATGCTCTCCTGCAGGCGCACGCGGAAGGTTCATAAATGGTTTATTCACAAGGGCAGGGGAAATGAGGAGATGTACAGCTCAGGGAGAAAAGTGGGAGACAAAGTTTTAAATGCGTCCTACCCGATCCGCCCATCAGGAATCCCAAAGGGCGCTCTGAGAGCCGCCCGCGAGCCGTGAGGCCAGGAGGCGAGCGACAGAGCGAGAGACCCCGAGACCCACGAGTCTGGTTTTTATACCACACCTGGCTGCTTCACTCCACCCTCAGGTCCCAGCCACCCTCCCTTTGGTGGGGACGGGATCTGTCTTTCCCCCTGTCTGGACGGCTGTGGTCTGGGGTGGGGGCGGCGTCCACACGGCCTGCACGGGATTAGCGCAGGACACCCTCTCCCTGACACAAGCACACGAGCACGCAGGCTCCACGGCTCCAGCCCACCTGCTCATCTCCCCAGGGCCTGGCGGGCGCCAGGAGCCTGCATTCTGTGCAAGGGGTCCTAGCCTGCGGGAAGGCGGAGGCCCGTGGCTGCGCCGGACAAGGAAGCTCTGTCCAGGACGGCCGGTGCAGAGAGGGGTTCACCCGTGGGAGCCGGGCGGAGGCCCCTCCCCCGGCAGGGAAACCTCTGTCCGGCCCGCGGGCGAGCAGGGCGGGCGAGGCCGGCGCGGGCGGGGCGCGCTCTACCCGGACTGTCACTCGGGCCCGAGAAGCGGGCGCGGGGGCGGGAGGAGCGGCAGTCAGCGCCGGGGCGCCTCGTGACGGGCGCACGTGTGACGGCACCGACGCGTCCCTGTCACCTGAAGGACGGACGGACGGACGGACGGAGCCTCCCCGGCTTCCGCTCACCCCACTCTGCGCCCCGGCCGGGCGGCCCCGGCGGCCCCGGCGGCCCCGCGCCCGCCCCCCCCGCCCGGCGTCGGGGCCCGGCCCGGCCGCGGGCCCGCACAGGGCAGGGACACCAGCCCGTCCGGGCGTTGGGACTCGGCGCTCTCGTGGCCGAGGGCGGGGGGTGCAGGCCCGCGGGGCGGAGGCCGCCTCCCGCGCGGCGCCTGGGCCCGGGCGCGCCGCGGCTGTCGCGGCGTCTGGCTCCGCGCAGCTCCAGCCAAACCAAAGCTCCCACCACAGCGCAACACGCCCCCCAGGCTGACGCCTGATTGGCCCGCCGTTCCCACCCCGCGGGCCAGCCTCGCCTACTGATTGGCTGTTCTGCTCCCCCTTCTGTGCGGGAGCCCTCCTCTCCCGCGATTGGCCAGGAGGCTACCTGCGCTCGCCCCGGATTGGGCGCCGGCTTGGCCGGCTCGCAGGCTCTTAGGGGCCCCGCTTTCTGATTCGTCGCCCGAGTCAGGCCCACGGCCTGCTTGCGGAGTGGCTGCGCCGATACCTGCGCCGGCCTCCGATTGGGCGCGTGGCGCCTCCCCGGCGTGATAGGCCAGGACCACCGCCCCCCTGGCTCCCCATTGGCTGCTCCGCGAAGCCCGGTCTCCGGGTAAGATGGCAGCGAACGGACAGTGCTCGCTCCCCGCTTCATGGCGGCCGGTGACCCTCACCCACGTCGAATATCCTGCAGGTAGAATGCGGCCCCGGCTCCGAGGAGGCCTTCCCGGGGCGGCCGCTCAGCCCCGGGCGCTCCGGCCCGAGTGAGCCCGCGGAGGGGCGGGGGGCCGGGTGGGAACTGTCAAACCGCGAGCCTCGGAGGGGCTCGGCCGGCGCGCGGCGCGCAGGCGCAGTGGCGCGGCGATGAGCTGGGCGAAATTGCGAGCCGCTCGCCCGCGCCTCTGCGGCTGCGCGGCGGGGCACTCCCCCGGGCGCGCGCCGGGGGGCCCGGGCGGGGGGCGCGGCGCGCTGGGGGGCTGGCGGCCCGGGCGCCCCTCCCGCGCCCTCCGCCTGGCCCCGGCGTGCGGGGAGCGCTGCCCCCGTGGCGGGCCCGGGGCTGCCCGCGGGAGGCCCCGCGGCTGAGTGCGGCCGGGCCGGGCCGGGCGCGCCCGCCGGAGCGTCTGTGGTGCCACGCCCTGGGCCGCGGGCCCCGCCGCGGGGGGAGCCGGCTGGGGGTCCCCGCCGCTTGCCTTCTGGGGCTCCCATCGGAAGCCCCTGGGAAGGCGGGGTTTCCAGCCGGGACGCCCTCCAGCGACCCTCCGGGAGGTGGACGCGTGGAGGGGCCGCGCGCGGGCCCGGGGGCAGGTTTCTGGGCTCAGGTTCCCCCTGCGCCGCAGTTGCTTGGTCTCTCAAGTAGGACTCACCATCGCGCCTCCCTTCAGGTGTGAGGTGCAGTCACAGGGGCATGTGGAGAGCTGGGCGCAGGGCCTGCCCCCGGGAAGCGTTTAATAAATGACTGCGGTTAGTGGTATCCCACCTGCCCACGACCCTTTCAAGCGCACCCCACCCTCCCAGGGTAGGTGCGCCCCAGGTGCCCGGGGAGCACCTGCTCATGCTGCACTCGGGCAGAGATGTGAGAAGCTGGCAGCGCTGAGAGCTCAGGGCTGGGTGCCAGGGAACTCTGACCCTGGATGTTCTGGGTTATTCATGGGTGGAGGGGCCCTGCCCACCATCCATCCATCCCTTCAGCCAGTGTGTAGCGAGGGCTTCTGAGGGCAGCCACGGGATGGCTCTGGGTTTAGAATGAACAGGCCACTGGTATGTCCGGGTCCTCCTGGACGGTGAAGAACCCCCACTCTACCTGGGGAGGGACGGTGCTCAGGCCTCAGCACCTTCATGGCTTCCCTCTCCTGGCCTCAGAGTAGCTTCTCTAGCTGGCAGTTGTGAGCAGCATGGCGCAGGCGGGCGGAGGGACCTGGCAGGACCTGGGAGTATCCGGAGATTCTGGTCCCCTGCCCACACCAGTCCAGTGGCCCCTGCGCTTCCCCTCATGCCTCACGCCCTGCTCCTGGCTCCCTTCAGCCATTCTCTTAACTTCACTTTTGAACTGTGCTGGGCCTGGGGAGTGGTGGTGGGGGGCGTCCAAAGAGACCACATCCCTCTGTCTTGGCCTATGCCGTGTAGAGGGAGAGGTGGACACTGCCTGTCCTCACCAGTGAGCCAGCGTGAGCCTGCCCTGGTTACAGTGCTCCTCAGACTGAGCGCTCCGCAGTGGCAGAAACTTGTCCTCTTTGCCTCCATGGCAGGTATTTAATTTATGTTGAGTTAACACAGGCAGCATCCCCAATGGGGAAAACTGTGCAAAGGTCCGGAAGTAGGACAGAGCTCAGGTGAGTTCAGGGAACTAGAGCAGAGAGTGGGAGGGAAGCAGGGCCAGGACGGCAGTGCCTGATGAACAGGGCTGCAGTGGGATTATCCCAAGGGCGGTGGGATCCGTGGGGGGCGCCCTCCAAAGACTGGTGGGGTCAGAGTCACCCACAGCACCTGCCAGGGGAGTGGTGGCTGTGGGACAGACCTTGAAGATGGCCCAAGGTTCGGGGGCACTGGCTCCTCTGGGCCTCACAGCCTGGTCCCGAGACACCCAGTTTCTCTATGCAGGATGGGGCCAGGCCATGGTGTGGACCAGGAGATGGAGGCCCAGAAGGGGGAGGCTCCCACCCAGTGTGTCTGCGGCCCAGCAGCACCAGTTCTCCCAGACTAGCTCTGAGCCAGCACTACCTGAGAGGTGTAGGTGAGGCCAGGTGTGTGCCCTGGAATCTGGGCTCAGCCCTGTGTGGGCACCTTCCCTGTTGCCCAGGAGAGGCCAGGCTGGTGGTGTGAGCCATTTCTCGTGCTGGCTGCTCCCAGCCTCTGGGTGGGAGTGTCCAGGGTGCCGGGACCGAGCTGGCTGTCTCATAGGCGCCGTCTCCTCACAGCTTCCCTGGCCTGGCATGCGCATCTAATTCGTAGGCAAGAGAGCTGAGGTCATGTAGCCAGCATGTGCTGGCACTGGAGCTGAATGTGCCCTCGAACCCCAGGTGCCAGGTAGCCGTCCTGCCTTGATGTGAGGATGGCCTTTGGACTCAGTGTCAGCCCTGCCAGCAGGCAAGGGGCAGAGCAGTCCTTGTCTCTGGCTTCAGTGTCATCCTCTTGCAAAAGGGGCCGAAGGTCCTCACGCTGCCTCCCTGTTACGCTGTGGGGCTGAAAGCAGGTGTTCAGTAGGGAACCTGTTTCTCGCCGGTGGAGAGGCAGTGAGAAGCTGCTGCCGCCAGGGTGGGTTGCCATGCAGCCTCCTCCCCCGCCTCTGGGCTTGGTCCCTGCTGGAGTCTGTGGTGTAGACCCATGTCTGTGCGCTGTCGGGACTGGCCAGGCTCCCCAGCACCCGGGGGCTCTAGTACAGAGGCAGCCAAGGACCCCCAGGCTGTCCCCTGGTACCGGGCTCGGCCTCTGGGGTCAGTTTTAAATTCCTGCTTGGTCGGGACGATGGGGCTGGTGCCGGAACAGGCCACAGATCAGGTTTTTGTTCCGATCCCTCCTCTTTCTGGCGGTGACTCTGGGCAGGTCACAGGCTCAGTGGGCCTCAGTTTCGTCGCCTCTAACATGGGGCCAGCGAAGGCACCTGCGTTATTTATTTACCCATTTCTTTATTTTGGTTTTCGTGTTTTTTTGGGGTGACCCCAGGGGAGGGCTCCCAGTTTCTGCACCACTCTTCTGACGCCCGGGCTGTCTCCATCCTGTTCTCCCTGTGTCCCAGGCGATCTCTCTGGCCACATCCTTGCCTACCTGAGCCTCGTCCCTGTATTTATCATCGTCGGTTTTGTGACCCTCATTATATTCAAACGGGAGCTGCACACAGTGAGTCTGTCCTTGCCTGCCCCACCCCCTGCTCCCCAGTACCCCCACCCAGGGAGGCGGGGCTGTACCATTTCATTTCGGGTGCTTTGCCACCACCTTTTCTTGAGGCGTGGGGGGATCTCCTGGCTGGTGCCAGGCTGCTCACTAGTCGGGTGGGGAGGTTCAGTTGGAGGCGGCGGGCTCCAGGGCGGGGTGGTAGCCAGGGGCGCAGAAGCCATGCTGAGCACAGGTCTTCTCGGCAGATCTCATTCCTCGGGGGCCTGGCACTGAACGAGGGGGTCAACTGGCTGATCAAACACATCATCCAAGAACCACGGCCCTGTGGAGGTAGGGCCCAGCCCTTGGGGGCTTGGGTGTTCCCCAGGTCAGGGCACTTCTGGGAGGCCCCCACTACCGATCACACCCTGCTCTCTTTCTCCCAGGCCCCCACGAGGCAGTGGGCACTAAGTACGGGATGCCCTCCAGCCACTCCCAGTTTATGTGGTTCTTCTCTGTCTACTCCTTCCTTTTCTTGTATTTAAGGTGAGTTCCTTCCCCCGTCCTGCATCGGCGGGCCCCAAATGGGCCCAGGCCGGGTTCTTCGGGAACTTACTGCTTAGTCCTTGGGTTGCTCCTTGGGCTCAGCCTCTACTGGGGCAGGGAGGAGCTGTGGCCAGGCTGAGGCACCCAGGGAGCACTTGAATGGGCCAGGGGCTATTGGGGGGCCTGGGCTCCAGGCTGTGGCTGAGGCCAGCTGACGGGCATATTTTCCCAGAATGCACCAAACAAACAACGCCAGGTTCCTGGACTTGCTGTGGAGGCACGTGCTCTCCCTGGGTCTCCTCACCGTGGCCTTTCTAGTCTCCTACAGCAGGTATGGAGGACGGGAGAGCCCCCACCCCACACCTGCCCACTGGGATCTCTGGGTTCTTGGTCCCTGTTGGGCCCCATAGTGGACTGAGCCCCAAAGCCTGTCAGGCAAGGCTGGGAAAGGGGTCCCGGTTTCAAAGGGACAGGGCTCCAGTTGCCATGTCCAGCCCAGCTCTCTCCTCCGCTGGACCCAGGGTCTGAGGACACCCCCACTCATCAGCCATCTGTTCCCAGCGTCCCGCAGCAGCCCCTTGCAGGCAGACTCAGCGCTCAAGGGCTGGACACAAGGAAGGCAAATTCCAGCTGAGCCATCCCTTCACTTCTAGAGATAGGGGAGCAGCTGTTGGGGTTCAACCCCCTGCCTCCTTCTGGAAGTTGATCTGGGGCTCTGTGTTCCCAGGAGGCTGTGTGTGTGCCCTGTGTGCACGCACTGGTCCCTGCCAGACAGCAGGCCCGTCTCTGACTGGGTCTCATGATCTGCCCTCTGTCCTTGGCCCAGGGTCTACCTGCTGTACCACACCTGGAAACAGGTGCTGTATGGGGGCATCGCTGGAAGCTTCATGGCCACTCTCTGGTTCGCCTTCACCCAGGAGGTCCTCACCCCGCTGTTCCCCAGGATAGCAGCCTGGTAACTGCCTCCTGCCCCTGTGCTGCCCACTCTGCAGATGAGGCCTCCATGGGGAGACCCCAGGCTTCTCGACCCAGCCTCAGACCCCCGGGGGGGCCGCAGTGTCCAGGCCTCTGCTGGGTGGAGGCCCCGCTCACTGGGCTTCCACCTCCCTCGGGGATTCCTCGGACCCAGATGTCCAGACACCTTCCTCTGTCCTCACCTAGCTCTCAGGGACCTGGCCAGCAGCCTGAACCCTCCTGCTGTACCTGTGTTGCCAGGCCAGGCATGCGGGTCTCTCAGTGGCTCTGGGGTCTCAGGCCAGGCACAGACTGACTGAGCAGCGGAGGGAGGGTGCAGCGTCAGCCCCTGGCCCTGGCGGGGGTTCTGGCTTGGTGACCGGCCGTGCCCTGACAGGCCCTGCTTCTCCGGTGTGTGTCTCCCCAGGCCCATCTCTGAGTTCTTCCTGATCCGAGACACGAGCCTCATCCCCAATGTGCTCTGGTTTGAGTACACAGTAACGCGGGCAGAAGCCAGGTGAGTTAAGGGGACAGCAATCATTGGGTCCTGGCTTAGTGGGCCACAGCCCCCGAGAGACTGCCCCCAGTTTTGGAGGGCTCCCTGAGTCGGGCACTTGCCCTAGCACTTTTCTTGCCTCGTCTCCTTGAATCCTCCCCTGGCCTCCATTTTCCAGATGACAAAACTGGGGTTCAGAGGAATGGAATCACTCAACAGAGGACTTACAGATGGTGGTGGGGAGCTGGGGTGTCTGTGTATGGACACCCCTGGAACTGTTCAGTCCACGTGCTTTCTTGTAGACGGGGTGCAGTGAGCTAGGGGCCACCCGCATTTGCGCAGCAAGTCGGGGCAAAGCTGGGCTTTGGCGCTTCCTGACTCAGCTCTGCTGCTCCACTCACCTCAGATACCAGGGTGGGGTGCCTGCCAGGGTGGAGAAAGCCCTGTCTGCTCCCAGAGTTCAGAGGGGAGCTGAGATGAGGTCAGGCTTGGGAGCAGGACTGTTTCCCAGGAAGCTGATGAGAGGAGCTGGCTAGGGTAGGGTCAGGGCTCTGAGCCCTGTCAGGGCTCTGGGCCTGCTCCTGACAGGGCGGGCTGGTGGGGCCTGCCGCAGTGGGGTAGACCAATGAGCAGCCTGTTGACTGGGGGGCTGCAGGGAGCTACTCTCAGGAAGGCACAGGAAGTGCAAACCTCCCAAGGGAAGGCGGAGCTTGGTGGAACCAACACAAGGGTGGGGGCTGGCGATGGAGGAGGCTGGGGGCCACAGCACTCAGGACCTGTAGGCGCATTTGGGTTTCTGGATTTTAGCTGGACAAGCCCTGTTCTAGACTCTCAGGCCAGCCGCTCTAGAATGCGGTGGTTCTACTGGCTCCTCTCAGGTTTCGGGGCCATTATGCATAAAGCTGCACCCCCAAACCTGATACTCAGATTCCCTCTGTTTTCTTACCTTCACTTCTGTACCTCTCAGATGGAGAACTCACTATCTTCTAGTCTGTCTTGGTTGATAATAACAGAACCCCACTTGCGCTGGCCTATCTATAAATAGGAATGCCCCATAAGTAGTGAGAATCCAGCCAGGTCCCTCTTGCCTGGCTCCCCGCCCCGATCTCTTGGCTCTGTTCCTGGGTTCCGGGCCTGGAAGTTGACTCTGTCCACGTCCCAAATCCCAGGTTCCAGGGCAGCAGCTCTGGTGGATCCAGCTCTAGTCATCACTGGGGCTCCTGCAGGTGGACATTCATCCATTTCGATAGGACTCGGGTGGAGAAGGGACAGCTGAGGGGGCAGGCCACTGAATGCATGCCAGCTGTCCCCTCGCGTGTCCCCCAGGCCTGCTCCCCTCTGACCCCACCCATTTTGCAGGAATAGACAACGCAAGCTGGGGACGAAACTGCAGTGACCGGTGAGTGTGGCTGGGTCCAGCCTGCAGATCTGGCCTGCGTGACGCCTTGCAGGAGGACGGGATGCCAGAGGGATGAAGCGGAGACCTCTCCAGACCCAAGTCACCAAGTGGAGCCTTTTTTTTTCTTATTTTAATTTTAACGAACAAGGTGGACCAAAGGGCTGAGCCAGCCCCTCAACCGGGACCCTGGAGGGCCTGCTGCCAGGGGCCCACACGGCCAGAAACCCTCGCTGTGCTGCTGCTAGCCCCCGGTCGGCGGACAGTGCCCTTGGTGGGGGCACCAGGGTATGGGAGAGGAGGAGGGTTGGCATCTCTGGTCTCGGGCCAGGGAATCCAGGTGGTGTGAAAAATGTACACTATTTATTTTTTGGTTTTGTCAAAGGCAGATGGGATTTTGGCGACAGGCCAGAAGAGCCTGCGCCGTCGTGGCTTCCCTGTGCGCTGTAGTGGCTGACATGTGCACAGGGGGGCCCTGGTCAGCTCCCCAGGCCTTTTGCGCCAAGCTGAGGGGGCAGACCACCCCTCCGTGGGCCTGAGGGCCCGGGAGGAGGGGAGCACCCCTTGCCCTCCCTGCCACCATTGCCATTCCAGAACCTCGTTCAGTGTTTGTCTGGGGTCGGGGCCCAGGGGAGCAGGCATCTGGCGGCTGCCGTCATTGTGTTCTACCCCGTACCCACCCTGCACCACAAGGGCTTTTTCTGGTCCCCTGTCCCCAAGATACGGGTCCCTTTCTGACAAAAGAGCCTGCACATGTGGGTGAGCAAACCCAGGCTGTTTACAGCTCTTTCTTCGTCCTGTTGTCCGGGAGCAGCTAGTCTTCATCTCTACTCGAACAAAACACAAAGCAGCGAAGAGCGGCGAGATGAGTGGGACCTTTTCCTTCTCCTCTGAACTCTTCCCGTCTTCCCTGACTCTCTTCCAGGCTAGGAACCTGCGTGGGTCACCCTGTGTGTCTGAGGTGTGGGCTCCCGGATCCCCGTGGTCCAGCTCTGAGGCCGCCTCCTCCCAACGGGATGCAGCTTTAGGGTCTAAGTTGCTCTGAAATGGAGTTGTGGAGAGGAGGTGCTTCCAGACTCTTGGAAGTTTCTAGAACTAAACCAGGCTGCTTGGGACCTGTGTTAGACTCCTCCCCCGCACACATCTTTTTCTTTGTGGAGGCTCCTAACCTGCTGCTGAAGCACAATGTCTCGGTGCTTTCTTTTCTCATTGGTTAGACAGTGTCCAGAAGCCATTCCAGATGCCAGGACCAGGGGCCTATTTCTGGGGAAGGTTGGTCAGTCCCCACATTTCCTCCCCTTCCCTTCTTTCTTCTGTTTTTTTGGTTTCCATTGCGGATTGTGGGAAAGACATCGCAAAATATTAAATTGTTTACTATTGTTTTGAAATAAAATGTTTAACTCTGGCGGCTTGAGCACGCGTTGGCCGAGCTCATGAGAGGAGGCTGTGGGGACAGGTGGCCCGGGGGGCAAGGCTGTGGTGACCATTGTAAAATCACGGGTTGAACGGCCTCTGACCTTCCCCCTGGGGTCTGAGGAGCCCGCACCGCTGTTCAGTGGATGTTCCCCCATTTCTAGTCTGGCTCATCTCCCAGTGTCGCTGAGGGCCTGGGGCTCTGGCTCTGCCCTCGGTCACCCTGGTTCTTCCTCCTTAAGACAGCCCAGGGGACTGGAGACAGCCAGCCTGTCCTTCCTGAGTCTCAGCCAAGATCAACACCTCCGCTCCTTGTGAATTCAGTGTTTTGTTTTTTTAAAACTGAGATGTAGTTGACATACTAGTTTCGGGTGTACGAAGTGATGATGCGAGAATTGTACTTTGTGAAATGAACACAGCGGTCTCGTTGACATCACCGTACAGTCACCAAAATAACTTTTCTTGTGAGGGGAGCTTTCCAGATCTCTTCTCTCAGCCTCCCCCCACACCTTTTTTTCCCCAAAGATTTATCTATGCATTCAAGATCTGGGGTACGGGCCATAGACGCGGGGGGTGAGAGGATTCACCAGAGACAGAGTGGGGAGCAGAACAGCAGACTGACCGAAGTACACTGCTGAGGGGAGCAGCGGGGAGACAGGAGAGGTCTGCTGCGCATGTGGGCTGCTCCCTGGCCGGGGCTGCAATGGCTGTGGATTGCCTCATAGGTTGCATCTTAACCCTTGTGCCACCAGGGAGGCCTCTAGCCCCTTTCAATTATATAATTGGCATAAGCTGGAGTCGCCTTGCCATACGTCACACTCCTGGGACATTTCTAAGTGGACTGTGTGCCTTTTGATTCTCTTCACTAATTTCCTTCACCCTCCTTTACTTCCGTTCTTGAGTGTGGGGACAGCTGGGTATCTTGCTTTGGTAGAAATAACTGCCAGCTGAGCTGGGGTGTGGGACCCCAGCAGGAGTTTGATGGATCTGGGTGGAACCCTGGGGTTGGCCCTCGGCGGGGTGTGGAATCCTCCTGTCATCAGGTGAGGTGCAGAGGGCGACACCGCTGGGCTGAGGGGCATCAGAAGGGAATTCCACCTCACCTCAGCCTGGAGGCTGGCTTAGGTCCCTGGCGGTCCACAGACCTCACCCCAGGAGTGTGGCAGAAGCAAACAAATCCCTGAAGACACTTTCATCCCAAACCTCAAATTATTGGTATAGTTTTGAAATTACAGTCAACAACACTTGACAAAGATGGCCAGGTGCAGAGGGCTGAGACCTGGAAGAGGTAAAAACCCACAAGGTCTGTTCAACGATGTCCCAGACATTGGCACCATGTTGGCACCAACTATAAACTGTTTCACTGTTTTAAAGAAAAAGAGACTCAAAAATATTTTTCAGGGAATTGGAAACTCCAAATTGAGTTGTAATGGATAGATTTTCAAATGAACCAAAACTGACAAACGCAGTGGCTGAGACACTAGAACACTGCAGGGAAGGGGAGGAGAGGCGAGGGGAGACCCAGAAGGCAGGTCCAGAGCCCGAGTGGGGCCTTGAGGCGCCCACCCACACGTGTGTGGCTTCTGGGAACGGCCCACCACACCCACCTTCGGGCAGCCAGACCCCCGTCTGGAGCAGTCAGCATCTGTCCGAGTTCTCTTCACTAGCGCCTCTGAAGTGCCCCTTTATCTTCTGCTCCCAGGCTGCTCTGTGGGTGTGGCCCCCACCAACCCCAGGCATGGTTCGTTTCCCTTTCCCCGCTGAAGTCAGGCCCCTTCTCTCCATTCCTCGGCATCTTCGGACCAGGCCCCGGTGTCCTGGGATAAACAAGCCCGAGTCTTTAACGCGCAGAGGATGGCAGGGCTTGGGCGGCTGTCGCCCCTCACGTCTGCCCTCCTGCCCTCTTCTGGCCACTGCACTGAGCCAGAGTCAAGTTCATGGCCATTGGGACAAACTGGGAGGATCTAGGTCAAAGTCAAGTGATCATTTCATTACGCATTCAAATTTCAAGTCATGTATTAGCCAAAATATACTTAGAGCCTTTCTTCTGTGTCTCCATTTGAAAAAAAAAGGAGAGCAGAAAATCAAGTTTTGCACCCACATTTTTGGGTCTGGCTGTCCCTGTGGGTCAGCTGACCCGCCCCCCCCCCCCCCAGTGCCTTGGTGGAGGGCGGGGGATAGACAACACACTTTCTTCTTTTTTTTTTTAATATATAAAGAGGCACGTATTTTATTTATTTATTTGTTTGTTTATACATGCACTGGTACAGTCAGAAGCGCGGGAGGGTGAGAGAATTCACCAGAGCCAGAGTGGGGAGCAGAGCAGGCAGAAGGACCGAAGTACACTGCTGAGGGGAGCAGCGGGCGGCAGGAGAGGTCCGCTCACCATGTGGGACCCTCCTTCGGTGGCCGGGGAGCAGCCGGGGATCGAACCGGCGCCGCAGAGGCTGCGGGCAGCTTCACAACCCAGCGCTCAACCGCTGCGCCACCGGGGAGGCCCACAACACACTTTCTTGATTTTCTGCCTGATGCTGTCTCGGGAAATATCTCTGGGCTCAGCTGGTTGGCATAACGCGCCTGTGGACACTCCACTCACCTCCCCCAGTGGCCGGAGAAGCTTCGAGCCTCTTGCTTGTTCTGCCTCAGACGCACACAAGGGGTGAGACCACAGGCCACACCTTGGGAATCAGCTCCACATCTTCATGGCGTCTGCCTTTTCTCCCCACCAGCACCCCACACATCCCTGAAGAACTGAGCCAGCCTCCATTGGAGACCTGAGGCAACGCCGGCGCCCCGGAAGCCCTCATTTCTGAAGGGGAGTTTTGGGGAGGAAACCCTCCTTATAGAGGCCCACTTGGTCCTTGTAACTTGAGTTTTGGGACACTTGTCCAGTGTCCCCTCTAGGCTGGGTTGGGAGTGGCCACCTTAGCACTACTCGCACAGCACCCCCAGATGGGGAGCATCAGCCCTGGGTGCAGAGCAGACCCGGGGCTGAGCAAGTGGGGCGCCCTGGTGGCAGAACTCTCTTCCAGCTCCTGCTCTCAGCCCCGCCAGGGGCATTCCCACAGCTGCTCCCTGGCCACACCCTGCCGGCCTTGCTGGCTCCCCAGGGTGGCCAGGCCTAGGACACCACCTTCCCCCCTATTGCCTGGGCTCTACCTCTTGTGCCCTGGACTACAGGCCAGTGGCAGTTCCTCTCCCAGCCTCCCTCAACGATGACCATGGGATTTGTTAAACCTAACACAGCTGTGCTCCCCTGGCCAGTGTCCAAGCTTCGGCCCTGGGCCCTCTCTCCTCACTGCCCTGGGCCGGGCTCTGGAGAGTTTCCATCTGCCGCCTCCCTTCCCCTCTGCCCTGGGTGGCCTGGGTGAGCGTGGCGTGGGGCTGGCGGCTCGGCTATGGGGCTCCTCAGGCTCTGGTCTGAGGGAGGCAAACACGGCCTCGGTGAATCACTGCTCTGCCGTTTAGCAGCCTGGTGACCATAACCTCTGAGCCTCGTCTTCTCATCTGAAAAGTGGAGGAGCCACAGGATGCCTCTTCTTGGGGGACAGGTCACAGCTGGCCAAGCCAGCAGCACTTCACCCGCAGCTCAGGGACCACACCCCCAATCCCTTGCCCTCTTCTCTGGGGTTCTACATGGATGTTCTTAAGGCCAGAATGGCCCCCTGAAGGAGAGGTCTCTCTTCCCACCAATAGCCCTCTGGGCTTTCTGATGGGTGACAGGTGGTCCCAGGCTGTGTCTGGGGGTGAGCTGCCCCCTGGGCCGTTGCTCCTGCCAGCCTAGGGTGGGGCTACAGGACAGGGCCCTGGGGACACACCACCAGCCAACACCCAGGGCAGCTGGGAGGGCCAGAGGAGCTCGTGGGCAGTGGCCAGCACAGCCCACGAGGTGGGGAGCCCAAGTCACGGGTTAAGTAGCGAGCATGTCTGAAGCACGCAGCTGGGTCTGGTATCTCCTGGTCTAGCGCGCCCGAGGCTGGAGCTGGCCCTTGGTCCCTGACCCAGGCCCGAGGGTCTCTCCTGACTCCTCCGTCTGCCCAGATGCAGGGGAAGCTGGGAAAAGGCCAGGTGTCCATCATCACCCTGTCTGCTCCCTCAGTTGAAATATCTCGTCACAGACTCCCCCTTTATTAAAGGCCTCACATGTTCATATTATACAACCACTGCTGTGGCGCAGGAGTCAAGCTGTGTAGAAGTGAGAGCCGGGACTCGTGAGCCACGTTGTCCAGGAGCACGGCAGCCTTGGCGGTGATGCTGCGGCGCCGGCTGGCTGAGGCCAGGCCTTGGGCTTCCTCTCGCCAGCTCACCTCCATCCTGATTTCAGCCTTGGGAGGCCTGGCGACCCCAGCAACAGGTAATTCTCTCTTCGGGTCCTTGGGGGAGCTTGGGGTTTGTGGTACAGACCCTGGCCTGGCCACACAGATGGCAGGGACTGGCCAGAGCTGAACTGGCGAGGGACAGATTCGGCTGCCCCTTTTCCCTGGAGGAGGCCTCTGCGGGCAAAACACTGGGCGCCTGGGTCTTAGATCTTGCTTAGTCCAGGACTGGGGCCCCGGCAGGGTTGACTCATGGAAGGCACTTGGCTCGGCCTGCAGGCCCTTCTGGGGATGCCAACCTGGGTTCAGTCAGATCTGGGGGGAGGGGGCGGGGGCCAAGGAAAGAGAGAACAAAGGACAACAGAAGCCCTTAGCCCACCCCAAGGGGAGCTGGTGGTGGCCTGGGCAGGCCGGCGCACAGGCCTAGAGCTTGGCCCAGGGGTGGCCCTGCAGCAGGGCGCGCATGTCCAGGAGTGCCTTCTCCAGGGAGCGTGCCAGGTGTGCGGCGTTGGTCTCCGCACAGCTGTTGTAGGCTGACACGGAGAAGTTGATGTGGGCCGCCCCGGGGTTATAGCAGACGCCGTAGCCATCTGGGACCACAGGCCCAAAAAACATGACGCAGTCTGTCTTGGCGGGGACCTGGGGACAGCACAGGGCAAAGGCTCTTTCAGACCCTGCTGGCTCCCTTCAACCCCCAGTCAGCACCAGCTGGCTCCTGGGTCCCTGCTCCCGCTGTGCTCTGACCCACGCCCTTCCTCTCCTCCAGGGGCCAGTGGCACCCCTCAACCTCCAGGTGCCCTTCTGGTATCCTCTGCCACGGAGCATTTTTTGACATCCTTGGGGGCCTTAGCTGCTGCCTCCTCAGGAGCCCCCTCACCTCCCTGCACTTCCCAGGGCTACACTGCTTCACTCCCTGCGCTCTAGCCGACTGTGAGCCCGCAGGGGCAGGGCCAGTGGTCTGTCCCTGCTGGACCCCGGGGCCCCGTACAGGCTGGCCCAGGTCAGGTGTTCTTTTGTGTTGAAGGAAGCTGGATCTCCCATCGGAGGGGCCCTGATTCCTGCTTAGCCTGAGCTGCAGTGACGTCCCCTGCTGCCAGCAACTCCTCCAGAGCTCGGCTGCTCAGCAGGGCCATGTGCCACCAAGGTATGACCATGTTCTGGACCTTTGCGCTATTCACAGCAGCCTTGGTCCAGTTCCAGAGTCCACTGGGTTCTCTTCCACCCCACCCCAAAACATCTCAGGCAGTGGCCGGGGCCGAGAGGGCAGGGAGCCCCACAGCTTTGGGCAGCAGCCAACCTGGCTGGTGGAGAGGTTGAAGTGCATGGCGATGGCGTACGAGGTGTCCATGAAGATGTCGGGCATGCTCACCAGGTCCTCGATGGCCTGCAGCTTTAGGCCCAGCAGGTGCCGGTCAAAGGCCTCCCCGCGGATGGCCTGTGGGGGAGTGCTGTCAGGAGCAGGGCTGGGGTCCCTGCCCTCTTCACTCCCTGGGCCCTTGGATCCATAGGACTGGCACATCCAGGTAGGAAAGCCCTCACTTCAGAGATGGGGAAACTGAGGCCCAGGGACCTGCTTGGGAAGGCAGGACAGTGTAAGACGTGAGAGCATGGGCCTGAGTCGGGTGGTCCAGGCTGTTACTGGCTGTGGGACCTTGGCAGGTCACTAATATCTTGAAGTCTCAATGTCTTCATTGGTAAAATGGGACAGTGAGCTCCACCAGGGTGGAGTGACAGGGTGGCAGTGAGCTCCACCAGGACATTTGCACCTAACATGGGCAGAGCCTGGCGTGCACAGGAGCTCAGAGACAAGCTCGGGCAGGACGCCACACAGGCTGCAGTCTGTGCCATCGGGAGCAGGAAGCCTGCTGTCCTGTGGGCATTACATTCAGCATCGCGGGCACTGAGGACACAAGCTCCAGAGGTGGACTCTGAACAAGGCCCAGGGCAAGCATTAGGCCCAGTTTCAGTTTCACCAACTTGAAAATGGGAGTATTCAGCCTGACTCCAGGTGCCCTGTGGCTCAGGGGAGGGTGAGCAGCCGTCGGCAGCCAGGGGTAGGCAGCCAGGAACGGGGAACGTTAGGGGGAATGTTAGGGTCAAGCAAGTTGGGAGCAGAGGGGTTCACTCACCCGGTCCGTGTAGGCTCGATGGGCCTGCACAGCTCTCCGCAGCAGCTCTATCTTCTGGTTCTCCTAGTGGAGAAAGGGACAGCTTCAGCTGTCCCTTCCCTGTTCCCGCCACCCATCTCAGTAGCCCACTCTGTACCTAGAACTAGACTCTGAACTCATTGAGATCAGGAAGTGGAACTGTCATATCTCTAGTGCTCAGCCAGGGCCTGAATTGTGGCGGATGTGCACTGCCACTAAGTGAATGACTGGTTCCCTTTTCTCTTTGGCTGCCAGGGAGCTCAGTGTTAAATTCATGGTTCCTTCTTCTGTTAGGTCCCCAGAGCCTACCTGAGGGCTGGAATGTAGTAGGTGCTCAATCAACGTGTGTTGCCAAAAAGAACAGGAAGGGAGATGGCCCATGCCCTGCTCACCCGCCCTTGCCCTGGACCTCTCACCAGCATACTGGAGTCATCCATGGCCTTGACAAAGACCAGGGACTCCATGGTGGCTGAGCGGATGGTGTCGGTGCGGCCCAGGTGGTACATGCGCAGGGAGGCGCTTTCGTATGTGGCACATGCATGCCCGTAGATCCTGGGTGAGAGATGGAGCTGAGCACAGCTCTGGTGGTGGCCCCACCCCACTTCTGCCCCCACATCTGCTTCCTCCTTCTCAGGCAGGTAGGAGGGCACACCTGTAGTAGGCCAGCTGTAGTGCCACCTGGATGAAGGCATCTGGGCTCAGCTTCTGTGACTTGGGGAAATCTTTTCCAAAGTGGTGGAACACCATCAACCTGATGTCCAGGTCCTGGATCATACTGGGGAGGGTGGGGGGAGGTGGGTGAGGAGCAGGCACCTGGTGGCCCTGCCAACCATGAAGAGGGCCCGAGAGCAGCCTCAGAAGCAGCTGGAGGGCCATGCCCGCCCAGCGCTTACATGCCCAGGTTCTGCTTGGCCTTCTCAATGTCCTTCTTGATCTCAGGCATGATGTTGAATCGCAGCTTCCTGGGCATGGGCAGGGGCACCATGGGAGACCGCACGCTCTCAGGTTTCTTCCTGCATGGGACACGGGGCCTCAGGTGGGTGCCTCTGGGGCTTGTGTGCATTCCTGGGGACGGGGCGGGGAGGTGGTGCCCAAAGCTGAAGGTGCCAGCCCGGGGAGATGCTGGGCTTGCTCTTCTGAAACCTGCCTGCGCTCCAGCTTCCAAGTGGCCAAACAGAGGTGGCCTGGGAGGGGAGACGTGTGTCCAAGGCCGTGCAGCTGGGAAGTGATGGCACCAGAACCCAAGCCCAGGGCTTTAACCCCAGGCCCTCTGCTGGCTTCCTTCAAAGAAACGGCTTCCAGGCTGGAGGGAGAGCGCCCTCCCCCACAAGCTGGTGTGTGGTCTGTCACCCTAAAGGGGATCTGGGCGAGGGCAGGAAGCCACACTCACGTGAACTCCATGACGTGGTCCACGAGGGAGATGATGGGGGGCCCCTCTGCTGCTGCGTGCTCATACACAAGCCCACACGAGCCGTCTTCTGCCACAATGAACTGGGGAGGGGAACGGGGACCCTCAGGTCCAGGTTGCCGGAGCCCCTCCCGAAGGCACCTCAAGGGCCACTTAGTAATAACAGCTAACATCTCTCGGGGGCCTGGAGAACCCATCCCAGGCCATGCTGGCATGTTCCGTGCTCACATGCCTCACCGGGCTCCCGCGACACCAGGCCCGGAGTCCTACACACCCCCATTTGGCAGGTGCAGAGAAGGAAAGTCATGGCCAAGACCACGCCCTTCTTTCTGGTCCTGCTACCCACACTGCCTCTGATGTGCTGAAGGGTGTGTTGGGGTGTCAGTGTTTCTGGGCCGGGCCCAGTAATGACAGGCTGGCTGCGCTGATTACAACCGCCTCCACCTGCTGGCTTCCTCGGCTTTACAAGCTGGGAGCCCAGGGACACTGGCCAGGTCTGGGCGTGTCTGCAGGGGGAGCCAGGCTCTGCCCATTCCCACCTGCAGCGTCTTGTCGAACCAGCGGTTGCCGCTGTTGAGCGGGCCACCGCCCCCGTGCAGCATCTGGCCAGCCACATGGCTGAGGTATTCCTCCTTGGCAACCCGCGGCATGGGTGCGTCCAGGCACATGGTGAAGATGCTCTGCTGGATGGAGCGTACCGACTCCCGGTTCACCTTGTCTGTGGTGGTGGGGAGGGCGCACGTCAGCGGGGCAGCGTTGGCCCAAGAGGCTTCCAATGCATTCCCAGCACGGGGCATAGGGCGTAGGCTGCAGAACTCCACACCCAACGGGCCCGTTCCCCGCAGCTCCCCAGGAGGCAGGGCCCAAAACCTGAGGCACTTTAGGAATGAAGGAACAAGGGTCCAGCGTCACCCAGAGAGCAGCGTGGCAGCCAGGGACCTGACTCCAGGCCTCTGACCAGCTCTCTGGCGGGTGATTACTGTGTAAGAGAGGGAAGCTAGCTTGACTCCACTGAGCTTCCATTTCCTCATCTTGGAGGTGGGACCGACAACACCCACTAGGAGCTGAGAGGACCAAACATGGCTGCCCAGGACCTGGTGTGGGCAGAGGCCGGGGTGTGGCACCCTCCCAGGGCACCTTTGATGAGGGTGTTGTATGCCTTGGCCCAGGAGTTGCGGTGGTTGGAAGTGAGGATGCCCACGGGTTCTTTGTTGGTTTGCAGCGATGAGTTCCAGATCTTCTCCAGCTGCACAAAGATCTGATCCGAGGTCAGGGGCGTCCCGTCGCTGTGGTATACATCCAGCTCAAAGAACTGTCAGGGCACAGGCAGGGTGACGGGGGCTGGTGGGGAGCTTGGTTGGCAGCAAGTGCCTCACACACCAGCTTCCTGCTGGCCTCAGAACCCGGAGGTCACGGCCAGTGCCGTCCAGCCGGTGGAGGGCTGGCGTCCAGCTGGGGGGGGGCGGGGGGTGAGGGGGAGCCTCTGCTGCTCCCCTCTGGCTGGGGAGCAAGGCCTGCCTGTTCCCGGGCACATGGACTGGTGTGCCGGGGAAGCTGACTTTTGGCCCCGCCACCTGCAGCTGGATGGGGTCCGCCCACCTGGAAGTTGTGCACCACGGTGATGTGCAGGGGCGGCTTCTTGACCTTGCTGAAGTTGACCACTGTGTCCTGTTTGGGGCCAGGCATGCGGCAGGAGGACAGGATCTGGTAGTACTGGTTCATGCACAGCGGCTTCCCCCCCAGGTATTCCACGGGCAGGGTCTCACTGCCGGGCAGAGGGACAGTGAGGGGCCACCGGGCAAGCGAAGTGGGGTGGTGAGCAGGGCCCACTGGGCACAGCTGGGGGCTAGGCTGGGCAGAGGGCTCCTGCCAACAGTGTGGGGCCCTCTGCCCCCACATCCTTTCCGGGTGACTGGGAGGCCCGAGCAAGCTAGGCTGGGGCAGGACGCCTACAGTCCAGCCTGGGCAGCTGCTGCTTGTGAGTCACCCTGGAAATCCCCTCCTCCCTCGGGCCTTGGCTTTGCCATGGGGGAGATGAAGCAGCAAGTCAGCCGTAGGGGCCTCTCTGGCTGGGACACATGCTCCAGGGAGCTCTCTGGACAGAGTCACCATGAAGAGTTACAGCAGCTGGAGCAGAGGCTGAGGCTTCCGATGAGCGCCAAGGGTTAATTGTCCCCGCATTTGGGCCAACAGGAAGTGAAAGCGTCTGAACTCAGGCCCGCCTAGCACGAGGCCAACTCGCCAACTCGCCCATCCACTGCCCTTGGTGCTGCTGTGGTGGCTGGGCAGGGGGCAGGGCTGGGGGTAATTAGGCAGATGGGCTGGGGGCAGGGGACTCACTTGTCAATCATAGCCTTGAAGTCCAACACACCCTCGATGAGTTTGGCAGCGAACCTGGAGGACAAATGACAGCTCAGAAGCCCTTGAGCCCCTGGGCGGATCCCTGGGCCAAGGCACCTGCTGGGTGAAGAAGAGGCCTATTCCTGGGAGGTGGCCCCAGGCTTTACTTCTCCCTCACTGCTCGCAGAAAGCCTGAGGAGTTCAGGTGCAGGACCTGTGTCCTAGTCCCCGCTCCTCCTCCTGAGCCGCTTCGGGTCATCTCTGGAGGGCATCAGGGTAGTGCTGTGGTCAAGCCCCAGGCAGGCCTCAGCGCTGACGGCGCACACAGCACGACTGGTGGGCAGGCTGGTGCTGGCGATGCCAGCCCCAGAGGGCTGGAGGCCGTGAACGAGGGCCTGGAGTCTGGAAAGGGGGTCAGCCTGCTCCAAAGCAGCAGTTATGTAGGGAGCCGGGACTCCGGGGAGAGGGCATGTCAATGGGAAGGCAGGGGCTTGAGATGTCTCCTCTGCTAAGTTCTTTCCTTCTCCTGGGCCTCTGCATCCCCAGGCCACCACCCTCAACCTCTCCTTCCTCCCTGGACAGTCTGGGCCACACCAACCATGCCTGATACTTGGGCTGCCCCTGGCCCCCAATCTGGGAACCTCTGTTGGAGTTTCTGGGCCCGCTCCCCAGCTTTTCCTGGGATGTCTTGGTCCCTTTAAGAGAAGCAGGTGGTGGCCTTAAGCGGCTGGTCCCCAGGCAGGAGATCCCTATCGTCAGTATTTTTATCCTTGGTCAGACCAGAACAGAGGCCAGGGCAAGAGACATGGCCGAATGTGGAAAAGGGGACTGTGTACAAAGGTCACCGCAAGGCCAGCTGAGGAGGAAGAGGTGGGCAAAATGCCAAAATTGGGGTAGAGCGTTCACCTCAGGTTTTGGGGGCCCAGAGGGGACCTGATCCAAGGTTTGGTGGTTGAGAGCTATGAGACTCTGGAGCTGGAGAGACCCTGCGTCCTATCTGGGGTCAGCCCCTTCACTAATCTGTGCCTCAGTTTCCCCATCTGTAAAATAGGGCTGATGCTCACTACCTCATAAGGCTCCCTGTGGGGTGAAAGATAATGAACAGACCTGAGAGAGAACAGGTGCCCTTCCACTCTCCTGGGGGAAGGAGCCCGCAGGGCCCTGGGCATGCCTGGCGAGTGGCTCCCGCCCCACCACTCACCGGAGCTGGCCCTGCAGATCCATGAAGTCCTGCTTGGGCAGCATTAAGCCAGGGCTGGAGTGGATGACCAGGGGCTGGCGGTACTGCAGGTAGGCCGTTTTCAGCCACCACTCGGACAGCTGCAGAAGGACCAGAGTCTGTGAGGCGGGCGGCCAGGGGCCTTTCTCCCAGGGCCAGAGGACCTGACTGGGATGCTTGGACCCTCCAAGGAGCACAGATTCTCAGAAGGCAGGCTCAGACCCAGACCCCCAGGCCCTTAAACCCACCAGCGGCATCCCATCATCTTCCCTTTAGCCTGAGCCAGTCCGCACTAGCAAGAGAAACTGGACAACACTGCCCACAGAGTCGCACGAGAGAAAAGACTGGAAGGAACCTGAGGTGGGGGAGGAAAAGAAGCAGAAGCGTGAAACCTTTCCCTCAGCGTACAAGCATCTAGTCAATGGCAGCCATGCTTGCAGAAATAAAAAGATAAGCCTGATAGACAAAAAGGCGGGGGCAGAGAGAGTGAGTGAGCTCCATGCAAACAGAAGGGCGATGGGCCTGTGAGGAGCTTTCCTGGGCAGGAGCCTGGGGTTCGTAGAGCCCTGGGGCCTCTGGTCCTGTGGCCTCAGTTCTCAGCCGGGGGTGGATGCCGGCTTGATCTTAAGGCCCAGGCAGCCTGACAGCAGCTCACTGCGGGAATCAGTCATGGCCCCAGGAATAAGCTGGGGTAACATCCCGAGCCCCGTTCCACCGGTGTATCCTGTGGGGGGCGGCGGCCTTTCTCAGGCGAGCAGCCATGGACATGTCCTTAAAGGCTCCTGTCTCGGGGCTCTTAGGTCACCCTTGAGCCTACTGTGCTGACTGCACTCTTCCCCCGGGCCCCTGGCAGCTCCCCAAGTCAATCTTGGGCCTGGTGCCTCCCTGGGCTTCCTTATCTCGTCTCAAGCCATCCCCCATGGGCCCCTCACCGCAGGTGCTCCTTGGGGAACTGCTGATTTGTGGAGCCACTAACCCTGGGCCCAGGCGAGGGGGAGGGGGCAGCGGCCCAGCAGGCCGGCGGGGTGGGGGAGGGGTGGGGGGGTGGGGGGGCTGCTTTCTATTGACTGCTGGCCTGAGGTCAGGGGTCAGGGCTCGAGTCAGCCAGAGCCTGCCCCGCAGCCTTGGGTAGCCTGAGAGCTGCTGTGTGGACTTGCGCTTCTGACCTAGCTCCGGAGCCTCCGTTTCCTCGACTGTAGTTCAAGGAGGGCGGAACAGGCGCCCGCTCTCCCTGGGCTACCCTTCAGCCGCAGGGCTCCCTGTCCCCGGGGACCTCAGAGCCCCAGGCCAGAGCTGGGGAGACCAGGGGAGACCTGCAGCGGTGGCCAGTCCCCAATGAGAACTGCTGGCAGTGGCAGACCCCTCAAGGGGCCCTCTGAGTGGAGAGGGGCGCCCTCACCCTTTAAGCCACAGCCTCTGTATGTGAAGGCATCAGAAAGTTGGAATCAAGCGGGAACTCAGGTTCCCGGAACAGCTGCCAAGGCCAGCACCTAGCCTGGACCTGCTGAGGTTTGCAGTGTTCCCCGAAGTCAGTGACCCCCACCTTCTCTGTGAGGTCCCACCCTCCCACCCAACCTGCCGGCTCCTCGGAGCACCTCCCCTCCCACGCACTTTGTGTACCTAGAACCCGGCTCTGCTTCTCTCCTGGTCAGTCCCTGCCCCCCCGGGGCCCTCTTGATCTCACTGGTGCCCTTTGTTAGGGCAACTTTTTGTTTGTTAGGGCAACTTTCACAACTGCCGGGCCTTACACACCTGAGGAAGCCTACACACCCTCACCCGGGGGCCCATCGGCTGTGTCTGATTGACAGTAACCAACACAATAGCCACGCCAGCCCCAACGCAGCCCGAGGGGCCTTCCACCCTGTCCCTGCTGCCGGCACCTCCTGGGGCCCAAGGCCATCCCCCATCTCCAGCCTTCCTCTTGCTTCCCCTCCTCCCAGCAGCCAGGAGTCCTTTTTACGCTGTTAGCGCCGTTTAACTGTGTTCTGGTTCAGTAAGACTCGAGCAAAAGCACCAGGGACGTCGGCGTAGACACGCTGCGACGAGACGAACGGAGGGATCCACCCTTGAGCAACACAACTCCCTGGCCGAAGCCAGCCCACCCCCCATGCCGCTGAGCTCAGGTCCAAGTTCCTTCTCCCTGTGCCCCCATGCCAGCATCCGTCCCGACACACGAGGCTGTCGCGACCCCTGTCCACGCTGTCCCCTCTGTCTGTCTCCCATCCACGCCCCCTGTCCTCCCTGTCCCTTCAGAGTGAGGACACTGCCCGCCCCCAACTCTTTCTCACGGTCCTTTTGGATTTTTGTAGAACTACACCGGCTAAGCCCATCTTGCCCCTCTGCCTCTGTCCAGTTTAATTACCTCTCTCCCAAAGTCAGGCCGACGACCACCAGGGTGCAGGTGCCCAGGGCGAGTGCCCACGGACCCCCGTGCACAGATGCACCAGGGCAGCCGCTGCAGGGAGCCTCTGCGGGTGCAGTCGGCCATGGCCACACAGGGAGGGATGCTCACCACGACCCAGTACCTCTGGAAGGGTCTCCAGAGCCCCCACCCTGCAGGGGTGCGGGGACTCATGTGCGCCACCCTCCCCCACCCATCTTCTCACTCACCCAGTTCTCAGACTTCTTGGCCCTGCGTTCCAGCCCTTTCTGCAGGCGCTCCCCGACGCCCCCTGAGGTCTGGAACTCTTCCACCAGCTGCTTGGTCTGGGCCCACTCCTCCTCGCTCACGATAGGCTGCAGCGCCTTGAGGTAATGGTCCAGGGACTGCTGGAGTGGGGGCACGGGCAGCCGGGGCAGAGAGTCCTGGTGTGCCTTGAAGCGGCCCGAAACTTTCATCAAGGAGAAGGGCTTGAGGAAGCCCGGGGGCTTCACCTGCAGGCAGCAGAATATGTTGTTCATCCTCTTACCAGCTCCAGGAGGCCCTGGCAATTCCAATGCCACGGTCCTGGGTACTTATGTGACTATCCCAGAGGTCAGAAACAGTCCCACTGTGTGGTGCCTGCCCTGGCTTCCCAGCCCTGGAGCAGTGGGTGTGTTTGCCTCTCAGGGGCAGGAAGGGGAAGGGTGGGGTGGGCGTGGCTATTGATTTTGGCAGGATTCAGGGACACCTGCTGGGGTGGCAGAGATGAGAGGCAGCTCTCACCTGTCTGGATGCAGAGGACCCAGCTTTTCTCATCCTGGGATGATGAGTCAGTCAGTAGTGAGGTGACTGCTCCCCCCCAGAGGTCCCCATCTTCTTTCCTCCCACCCTTGCCAGGTTTTGGAATAAAAGGGAAGAGGATAAACTCAGGGTGCCAGAGGATGACAGCACCTTTGGGTGTAAATGGGGCCTTTGGCCTCTTGCTGCCTGTGGGGTCAGGGGAGGGTGGCATGGAGCAGGGTGGCAAGAGAGAGCTGAGTGGCCTGGCAGAAGAGTGAGAGGTGGCAGAGGAAGAAGGGGGGCAGGGAGAGGGGCACATCAGAAGACTCAAGAGGTGGGCAGCGAGAGAGGAGGTTCCGAGGTTGCTGTCAGCAGTGAAGCAGGCAAACCGCAGGGTTCTGGTCCATACCTTCTCTTTCTGCTGCCCGTCCTCCATGGCAGGACTGAGGATCTGAGCCCTGTCTGTCTGCCTGGAGCTGGACCTCTAAGCCTAACTGTGCTACCAAGTGGGTGAGCAGAACCTAGCAAGAGACAGCCACTTGTCGGGGCTGGAAAGAGAAGACAAGAGCCAAGGTTCAGGGGGGCGGCAGATGCGCAGTGACTCTGGCTGCGGTGGCTTTGATGGCATCTGGCTTGTGGTGGTGTCAGGAGCAGCTGCTCCACTCTCCCTGGCTTCTAGAAGTGGAGAAATGGGAAGCAGGGGAGCAGGTTGATGGGCTCTAGAATAGAAAGTAAACTAGAAAACTCTCCTTTCTTCTTTGGTTGGGCCCAGTGCCAGGGAGTCAGGCCAAGAGGTACTTAAAAATCCACCTGTTGAATCTGCATAGGTCTGTCTGATGAGGAAAAGCCTGGCTGGAAGGCAGAGACTGCTTGGCCACTGAGATTACTTACACTGCTCTAAAATCAGTCCTGAAAATTGTGGTTGCTGTAAGAGCAGACACTGGGAGAGGGGCCACAGTGGATCACGGCTGCTGCGTGTCCTGTCCATCCCTTGTTTTTCTCGAGGACTTGGGGCCCTTTGGGTCAGCCTTCACCAAAGCCTGGCCCTTCCGGGCTATGGCTCATTCAGCTGGGGGCCAAGAATGGAGAATTTAGGGAATTAAAAATGAACCAAAGGACAATGGCTTTGAGATTGAACAGATCCAAGGATTCTGGCCAAGTCTCTCCTTGCCTAAGTTTCCCCAGGAGGAGAATGACCAGACCACCTAGCAGGTCGTGGTGAGTGACCTGGAAGCTATCTGTAGGAGGGGGGCATAGCTCAGGTGGCAATGGCAGGGGGGAGTGGAATCTCAGGGTTCGGAGGGAACCTCTGGGCTAGCAGGTGGATCCTCTCATCCTGGGCCTGGCAAAACTTGTTGAATGTGCTTGTTGCTCCCCTCGCCCCAGGTCGATCCAAGTAGAGTTATGCTTGGAGTTGGAAAGGAAAGGAACCCAAGTCAAGAGAGCAGCATGGGTTGCTGTGGGCTGCTCTCCGGGTGGATAGAGACACGTTTGAGGGGACACCAGTTGTGAGGGGGGCCGGGTGTGGAGCTGCACCCTGCCTCCTGCTGCCAGTTGTGACATCTTTCTGGGCAGCCCAGCTCCATACCTCCACTTGAGTGTACTCCACTTGAGTACACACCACACCCGCCCTTTAGGTTTTTGAGAAGCCCGAGGAGGCTGACCAACTAGATGGAGGTTGGAGAAGTGACTAGGGCCTGGGCAGAGCTGGTTCTGGCTGAGCCAGGGGCAGGTGAGTAAGTCGGAACAACTGCAAGAGAGACACTCCCGGTCCCTCCCCTCCTGGCTCCCGGTCTAAGGGTGGGGTGCTGTCTGAAGCCAGGGTCCCCACGGTCAACTCCTGGCCACTGGCATTTTGCCCAACAGGACCTGGGTTCCACCCTGCCTCTGCCCTTGAGCCTTCAGCCCTCGCTCTGCGGACGCGGGAACCCACCTGCCCACCCACCCACCGGCTGCGGGCCGCGGAGCCTCCGCAGCCTGTCTGCCCTTTCCGGAGCAGCTCCGGGCCCGACCACCCGGCCACCCGTCCCGTCCCGTCCCGTCCCGTCCCGTCCCGTCCCGTCCCGACCGCCAGCCGCTGCACTCACCAGCGCCCTGGCAGCGAAGGCCAACATGTTTGCAGACCGCCGTGGACACAGTGTCCGCACCGCCCCCCGCGCCGGCCAAAGTCCTGGTCTCCGCCGCTGCCGTTGGCGGGTCCCCGCTAGGGCTTCTGGGCCAGCGTCGCCCAGTCACGGCCGCCGACGGGAAGAGGGGGCCCCGCGCCGACCCACCGGGCCGTGCCGGCTGCCCCAAGGACGCGGCTCTCGGGGTCGGGGCTCCGGCCGGGCGCGAGTCCCCGCGGCCAGCGGCGAGCGCGGGGCGGGGCCCCCTCGCGGGGCGGGGCCCCCTCGTGGGGCGGGGCGCCTCCGGGGCCGGGCCGCGGGCGGCCGCGGTCGGGGGACCCTCGGGGCGGCGGCGTCCAGGAGGGGCGGGCGGGGCCCCGCCCATTTTACTTTCTCCCGCCGCCAAACGCCGCCTGAGCGGGCGGAGACAGCCGTGTGCACCCCCCCCCAGTTATTCTGAAAGTGACAGGAAAACACGATCCTGTCAGCCGGGGGGTGTCCGCTAATAGTTCTTGGGATTGGGTCCGGGCCACACACACATGACAGGTGGCGCTGCCCCGCAAAAACATGGCTCCCGCGCCGACGGCCCTCGCCAGCCCCGCACAAGCATGGCCGCGGCGCGCCCCGGCCCCGGCCGGCGGTTGGCGGGGCGGGCGGCCGCCGGCCGTTGCTGCGCATGCGCCTTTCCGCCCCGCACCAACATGGCCGCCGCCTGCCGGTGAGCGCGTCCGCGCGCCGGCCGTTGCTGGGCATGCTCCCTGAGTGCCCCGCACCAACATGGCGGCCGTCTTCGCGGGGTGACTTTAATTCTCGGTTTTCGGTTGTAGCCGGCCGGTGCCCATTTCTCTTCAGAAAGCTCTGAGCGCTTGGTGGAGCCGGGAAAGGAAGGGTGAAGGCGGCTGTGAACGGGAACAGGGGGCTGCAGGCATCCGGCCGGCTCCTGGCGGGAGGACGATGGCGGAGGGCGAGCGGCAGCCGCCGCCAGGTAGAGCGGGCTGGGCCGGGGCGGCGTGGAGTGGGGGGCGCGGGGCGGTGCCTGGCGCGGGGGCGGAGAAGGGGTGTGGTGTGGGGGGGCTCAGCCGGGGAGGCTCTGGAGTTGGAGGGACTCTAGGGGGAGAACTGATGGCCCGGGAGCAGGGCCGGGAGTTGAGGGGCTGTGTGGGAGAAGTCGGGTCCCCAGGGGGAAGGGCAGGGATCCGGGGTTGCGAGGGGATGGTGGGTGGGGGCGCAACGCCTATACTTGGGGAGCCGGGGCTGGCCCCGGGCCGGGGTGGTGGGGGTGGGGCAGCGGGGCAAGCCGCGGCCCGATGGGGAGGTCTGGTCTACCTCTGGCCTGGGCGTGCTTTAGTCAGCTCACGACTTGGGGGGAAGCCGCCCGGGACGGAGTGGGGGTGGGGGGCGAGAGTGATACTGCTGCTGCCTTCTTTAGACTTTGCGGCAGGGACGCTGGGGTGCCTCATGGGCCTGGGCCGGTGTTCACCCCACTTTCTGCCGCCCCCAGACGACCTTGCCCATCCCTCATCCACCTACCCTTTCTCCCCCTTGGAGGCTTTGGAATTGCAGTACCTGAGAATTTATTGAGTGACACTGCCCGGGGTTGTCTAAACTACTAATTTAAAAAGGCAGGTTGTGCAAGAAGATGAGTTTCTCTCTGACTTCACCGTCTATAACTTTTATTATTTATACCCTGGCTTCCTTTCAGTTCATCTCAAATAACTGGGATGGAGGTGGTAGGGAAAGGATCTTTTTAGAGACCTGGAAAAGGGTTAAGGCAGTTTGCTGACACCCCTCTTCCTGTCCCCCAAGGACAGACCATAGACAACTTTGTCAGGAGGGAGAAATTCTAAAGATCAACCAAGAGCTGAATGTGTCTGTTAGGACCTTGCAAGCCTGACGTTTCTTTTCCGTAGCGCAGAATCTGTATGTGCGAGCTCATAGACGTTCCCGTAATGGCATAGGGAAAGAGAGGTGACCAGAACTGTCAGTGAGAGCAATGTGTCTGCAGAGGTGGGTGGTGAAGGTTAAGGTGAGTGGAGACAGTCTTTGTACTGAGGAAAGGAAGGCTCAGGGGTTATCTATGGCTGGGAAGATCCAGATCCCTGGAGATGATCCCTTTTTTGAAGTTCAAAACAGGACGTTTTGGAACGTGCGGAAAGAACTTGACTCATAGTGTGTTGGAGTGGTGAAAACCTTGGATTTTAGGAATTATTCAGACCTGGTTCTGCCTGGCTAGCTCCAGCCTCTGTGAGCCGGTTTTCTTGTCTCTTAAAGTGGGCCTCTGTTCCTTCTTCACAGAGCTGCGGTTTTTGTTCCCACAGATGATGTGGGCCAGAGTGGGTGGTCAGTACGTGTTGATTGCTATTGTCCTTGCCAAATGGACAAGGTGGGGTAGGCACCTTGCTCTGTCACTTTCAGAGGCAGAATCTGAGGCTGGAGAGACTCATTTGTCACAGTCCTGAGTTTGAAGGCTGTGTCTTTCACCTGGGGTGGCATGTTCTGCTGCGCATGAGTATGTGTGGTGTGTTTCATCGGTGATCAGGTGGACTGGAGTTTCCTCCTCGTGAATTAATGTCAGGATTGCTGTCCCCTGCAAACAGTTCTCTCAAACTCACAAAAGGATTTTTTCCAAAGATCATTTACAAGTTGCTTATTTGGAACGTGGAACACATTTCCCCATAAAACCAGTGTGGTTAGGTTACACCTTGACCTACAAAGCTTTTTATTTAGCATCTTATTTAAACAAGCAATTTACTAATAGTATGGGCCTCAACTTGGGGTTCTGGGAACAGGACTTGCAGAACAGGTGGGAGGAGGAAGAGTTTCTGCTCTTTCTTGGGCCTCGTGCTTCTCCTCCAATTCGCCGTCTCCTCCCTGGATCTCCTGGCACTCCTGCTTTCTTCAGAGCCTCTCCAGGCAGGCGCTCTTCCCCCAGATAGTACACGTTCCAGTGTCTTCTTTGGTCCCCGTTCCCTTTTCTCCATGCAGCTGGTGTCAGGTAGGGTTTAGGAGGGTAGAAGGGATAAGATTGTACTATGTTGTGAGGGGTTGATGTCCTTTTTCTTTCTGGAGAGCTTGTATTTTTCAAGGAAGTTGCTGACTGATGTAACAACTCCGATCATAGGTTCAGGCTCACAAGTCTCTGCCACCTCGGGGCCAGGTATTTTGGATTCAAAAATTTTCAGGTTTCAGAAAGGAATGCCCTATAATCGAAGTGCTTTTCCCAGCAAAATATCAGTTCCCTGACTAGGTTGGCTACACAAAATCTGTAAATGCCCTCAGATCGGCTTAGGTTCAAGTTTTATATCCAATGAGTTTGTGTCAAATGTACTTTAAAAACTTCAGGTTTTTAGGATCTCAGAATTATGGAAAAGAAATGGAGGACTTACATTACCCAGTTTCACAAAGTGAAGGGAATCCTGTAGTGGGGGGAAGCTATTTTGGCCTAGAGAGTCCACTGATCAGCAGTCGGCTCTGGGGTGAAATACTGCGTGCCCGAGACGCAGGAGCTGTGCCTGGACCTGCTCTGTGTCTTCCTGTCCCTCGACTCCTGAGAACAGAGAAACTCCAAAATAGCTCTTCTTACTGCTTTACAAAAGTAGTATATGATAGGTTTTTTTTTTTTTTTTTTTTTTTTTATTTAAAGAGCAGGTTTATTAGGAAAGGGATAGGACAGTAATAGATACTTGCATAGACACCAGTGGGCAGGAAGAGCTGCCCTGAAAGGGACAGGTTTGCTAAGAGAGCCCAGCATGGTTACAGGCAGGCGGCCTTGACAGGTCACGGGCAGGCAGGAAGGCTGCTGCCCTGCAGAGGGAGAGAGGTGGTGAGAAGAGGCACCTGCATAGTCACAGATGGGCAGTCGGAGTGCTGCCAGTACATGATAGTTTTTGTTGGAAATATGTGGAAGTCCTTTGTAAATTTTAACTTCTAGAAGTGACTATCGGTAACTATTGGTGCTTAATTCTTTAGAGTTTTCTAGTGCATAGGCCAATAGGTGTACATGTTGTTTACATTAGTGTGTATTTTTACTATATATATGGTAGTTATTTCTCCTCGTTGGAGACTTTCATTATATGGTCATATCGTTATTTACCCATTGCCTTATGGATTGATATTGGGTGGTTCCTAATTTTTTTTTAAAGATTTATTTTTTCTTTATACAAGTGCTGGGGTAGGGTACAGGCTGAATGTGTGGAAGGGTGAGAAGATTCACCAGAGACAGGTGGGGAACAGAACAGGCAGAATGACGAAATACACTGCTGAGGGGAGCAGCGGGCGCGACAGGAGAGGTCTGCTATGCCATGTGGGATTCTTGTTGGCCGGCCGGCTGGCCGGGATCAAACCCATGCTGCAGAGACTACAAATAGCTTCACAGTGTGGCGCTCAACTGCCTGCGCCACCAGGGAGGCCCGGTTTCTAATTTTTTTGATGTGAGAGCGCCCTGACACACGTGTCTATTTCTGTGAGCACGTCTGAGCTCAGAGTAGAAGTATTGGCTCAAGGGGAACATGCAGTTTTTTACTTCAAAAGCCAGTGCTGAGCTGATCCTCAGCAGATTCTACCCAGACTTCTACCCACATGCATCTCTGATTTCTCTGTCTTCAACCAATGCCATGTGCTTTTCATCTGGAACCTGATTTGAAAAAGCATCTCAGCTCATTTACATGCTTTTGCTTAGTGAGGTCGGAGATTTCTCTTAAATGTTTGTGGCCATTGCACTTTGTTCTTCTTTGGATTGCCTGTTCATGTCTAAAGGGTCAACTGGGCTTTCTTTTTCTTTTAAGATTTATTTATTTATTTATGCATACAAGAACTAGGGTACAGGCCAGAGGTTGGGGAGTGGTGAGAGGATCCACCAGAGGCAGAGTGGGGAGCAGAACAGGCAGATCCACTGAAATCCACTGCTGAGGGGAGAAGTGGAGAGACAGGAGAGGTCTCCTGCACCATGTGGGTAGCTCCCTGGCCGGGGATCGAACTTGTGCTGCAGTGGCTGCGGACGGCTTCGTAGTGCTGAAGCTTAACCCCTTGAGCCACTAGGGAGACCCCTGGGCTTTATTTTTCTAACCATCCACCTGGTTGGGGGACAGAAGGTGAGGGCATGGCAAAGCCACCCAATGTGTTAGTTGTTGAGGGGAGTACCGGTACTACCTGCCCCTGCTGAGTGAGGCAAGGCAGGGGCCACTGGGTTGGACGTTACCTGTCAACATTCTGTCCTGGGATACATGTCTTGTTTATGCTAGTGATTGGGTGTTGGGGTTTTGGTTTTAAAGTATATGATAGGGAGTGGGGTGGAGGGAGAGAGTTGTGGGGAAAGATTCTATTTATCTATGGGCTTTTTCATTTTCTTTGTAAAGACTCTTCAGAGGATACCCCTCCAGCCACTCAGAACTTCATCATTCCAAAAAAGGAGATCCACACGGTTCCAGACATGGGCAAATGGAAGCGTTCTCAGGTACCAAGGCTGCCCTGGAGAGTCAGAACTGGCATGAGAAACTTGGACTTTCCAAAGACAATGGTTTTCTGGCATGATGGGGGCTGTGAGCACGGACTTGTCTCGCTCTTGGATCCAGAACTCTTGGAAGTGAGGTGGGGGGAAGTGACAGGGGAGTTAGCTGTCCCTCCTGCTCAGGGGCAGCACTCAGAGGTGCTTTAATGGGCAGGTCTCTGGGGACTGAGACCAGGGTAACCCTGGAGTGTTCTTTTCCTGGTTCTCAGAAACCATTGCCAGAGTGGTGTTGTGTTAATTCGATGCGAGCATCCCAAATGCTGGAGGAGGCCACTTTGATTCCTTTTTTTTTTTTTTTTTTTTTTTTAAAGAAATCTTTATTTTAGGATATGAGGTGTCCAGTCAAAAAATTGGAAGGGAGTTTTTTTGCCTTTTTAAAAAAAAAAATTATTTTATTTGTGCATACAAGAGCTGGGGTACAGGCCATAGGTGTGGAGGGTGAGAGGATTCACCATAGGCAGACTGGGGAACAGAACAGGCAGGTTGACCAAAGTGCACTGCTTAGAGGAGCAGCGGGCGAGTCAGGAGAGGTCTGCTGTGACATGTGGGTTGCTCCCCGGCTGGCTGGGGGATCGAACTCGTGCTGCAGGGGCTGTAGACAGCTTCATAGGTTGTGTCTTAACCCCTTGCGCCACTAGGGAGGCCTCACTTTGATTCTTGGTTGCAAGTAACAGCAAGCCTGGGAGCCAGCGAATCAGAGAGAGAGGAGGTTATTGGGTGCAAACTTAGGCAGGGAGGTGGCTGAGCCTAAAATACCTGGGAATTGCCTCCCCGGTGGCGCAGTGGTTGAGCGCTGGGTTACGAAGCTGCCCACAGCCTCTGCAGCGCCAGTTTGATCCCCGGCTGCTCCCCGGCCACTGGAGGAGGGTCCCACATGGTGCTCAGGCCTCTCCTGCCACCCACTGCTCCCCTCAGCAGTGTACTTCCGTCTTTCTGCCTGCTCTGCTCCCCGCTCTGGCTCTGGTGGATTCTCTCACCCTCCCGCGCTTCTGACTGTACCCAGTGCTTGTATAAATCAATAAATCAATCAATAAATAAATCTTAAAAAAAAAAAAGAAAAACAAACAAACAAAAAAACCTGGGAACTGGGCCTTGGCTCCTGGGGGCAGACCAGTCCTCATGGTGGGCAGCCGACTACAGCCATGGGCTGTGGAGAGACTGCAGTGAAGAAAAGAAAGCCAGTTCCAGGCTCCCAGGGAAAACCCTGGGCCCAGCTCCAGCCCTTGCCCGTCGGATCAGCTGGGTGGGGAGTGCCATGTCTGCATAAGGGCCGGCCCAGATACCCTGGCAATCTTAGGAGGTTCTCTCTGAGGATGTGGGGCCCAAACCCTCTAGTTGCCACAGCTTGTCCTTTGGGACTCGGGGCCATACAAGCCTACTTGGCTTCTCTTCCAAGCCTGTCCTGTAAATATTGCAGACGGTGACTGTTCTTGCCCTGAGTCTTTATCAAGATAAACATCACGTCCCTTCCTTATTTTGTAGGACACAGTTCAAACTCACTTATCATCTGTGTTGTTCTACTTTAGGATTTGTCAACTTCCACATTGTTAACATTTGGAAACACACAGTTCTTTATTTTAAGAGCTGTCCTGGCCATGCAAGATACTAAGAAACATCTAGGGCTCTACCTGCTAGATGCCAGGAGCACCCCTCTGCCCAGTTATCACAAACAGAAATGCCCCCAGCACTGTCAGAGGTCCGCTGGGAGCCACATCACCGAGGGGGAGCTGCTTTCTACTCTGAATCTGCAGTTCATCTGAATCCACATGTGGCTTTAGTCCGCTGCAGCCCCCAGATGTTTTACAAGGAAGTTTGAGTGTGCCAGGTACTCTAGCTCGTTTAATCCTTACTCAAACCCTGGCAGGTGGATCCCGAGGTCGCATTTGAAGATGATGGACCAAGACCAGGAAGTAAAGCCGTGTAGCAGAGTGGCGGTTAGCAGTGGTTGAGATAAGATTCACCCCCTATAGCTTGAGCCACAATGCCCCCGGCCACAGACCCTAATCTGACATATTTTTCTTTTTGGTATATAAAGTTTTATTGGAGCACAGTTATGCTTATTTGTTTATGTGTCATCTATGCTGCTTTCATGCTGCAAGGGTAGAATTGCGAATTTGTGTATCAGACTAAGAAGCCTGAAATGCTTTTCCTGTGGCCCTTCATGGGCAGTTTGCCAGCCTGCTCTAGGCTCTGTACTTTCTGAAAGTTCTGGTCACCTTTTTTTTTTTTTTTTAAAAGATTTATTTATTTATACATACAAGAACTGGGGTATAGGCCAGAGGTGTGGGGGTGAGAGGATTCACCAGAGACAGAGTGGGGAACAGAACAGACAGATTGACCAAAGTACACTGCTGAGGGGAGCAGCAGGCGAGTCAGGAGAGGTCTGCTGTGCCATGTGGGTAGCTCCTTGACCGGGGGTTGAACTCGTGCTGCAGTGGCTGTGGATAGCGTCATAGGTTGCGTCTTAACCCCTTGTGCCACCAGGGAGGCCCCTCTGGTCACCTTTTCTCCTCGAGTGTTGCAAGACATGGATGAAGCCATTCAGTTGCTCTGGAGTTCGTGGGCCTGCTGCAGCTGGACAAGGCACTGCTAGGACTTTCACTGGGCAGGGGTCAGGGGCCAGGGCTCAGACAGGTCAGGGCTTGATGCCTGCGCTGCCATTTTCTCTTCTGTGACTTAGGCAAGATGCCTACTTGGCCATGCCTCAGTTTCCTCTACTATTAAATGACTTGAAGCCTGACCACACCCTGCCCGGGGTGGTCACGTGGTCAGCCTTACTGCATGGCAGGCATGACCTTGTTGCTGTGGTGTTGGCAGAGACTCCATCATGTTCACCAGGATGTCCTGAGTTTTAGTCTCTAAGTGACCTGGACATATGGGAGCTGGGACTATGGAGGGTGATGCTGCCTCTGGCTGTTTCCTCTTTTTTATTTATTTATTTATTTATTTATTTATTTTTAAGATTTATTTATTTATTTATACAAGCACTGGGTATAGTCAGAAGCATGGGAGGGTGAGAGAATTCACCAGAGCCAGAGCGGGGAGCAGAGCAGGCAGAAGGACCGAAGGACACTGCTGAGGGGAGCAGCGGGCGGCAGGAGAGGTCTGCGCGCCATGTGGGACCCTCCTCTGGTGGCCGGGGAGCAGCCGGGGATCGAACCAGCGCTGCAGAGGCTGCGGGCAGCTTCACAACCCAGCGCTCAACCGCTGCGCCACCGGGGAGGCCCAGGCTGTTTCCTCTTTTTACCTCCCAGCATCCTTAGCAGGGAGGGCAGTGAGCCCTGGCTGCCATCAGGGCAGGGCTCAGGCTTGCTCTAGGCTGGTGGAGTTGCTGTGGGCCTCCACCAGGCCTGCCAGGGGACCCACTGCGGCCTATGGCCATGTCCTACGTTGGCAGCAAGATCCTGGTCTAGGAATGCTCCCTTCTTGGTGCTGAGTGGTTGGTTCTCAGGCTCACTGTGGATGTCCCGGCATCCTTAGGACCTGGATAAGAAAGAGGGGAGGGAGGGCCTCCCTGGTGGCGCAAGGGGTTAAGATGCAACCTGTGAAGCTATCTGCAGCCACTGCAGCATGAGTTCGATCCCTGGCTGGCCAGGGAGCAACCCACAAGGCGCAGAAGACCTCTCCTGTCTCACCCGCTGCTCCCCTCAGCAGTGTGTTTCCGTCAGTCTGCCTGTTCTGTGCCCCAGTCTGTCTCTGGTGAGTCCTCTCACCCCGCACGTTTCTGGCCTATACACCCAGTTCTTGTATGCATAAATAAATACATCTTTAAAACAAAAACAAAAAAAAAACAGGAAGAGGGGAGGAGTGACAGGCAAAAAAGATGCAGAAGAAACAAGACTGAGGTAGGTGTCACTTGCTCCCAGGAGCGGCTTCTCTAGGGGCCCAGATCTCAGTGCTTTCTAAGCCCTGTGCTGGATGTGATGCCCAGCCTAGTGGGGAGGGTGCCCAGTTGGGAGCTGAGGGTGGCTGTGCGGGGAGACCTAGCCTTCTGCCCTAGAACGCAATGTCTTCTGGGGGCAGTGCACCTGCACTGCAGCCAGGCAGCCTGGCTGTCTGGTGGGGGAAACACCTGGAAGATAACTGGGGGCGGGGCCCTTGTGGTATTCCCTGAACCCCCAGCACCCTAGTGTAGTAGTCAAGCTGCCCAGCCTTTGGGCCGGCTGGCTGGGTCTAACACCCCGATACTGAGATCTTGCTTTTATGAGACCTTGGGCGAGTCATTCCCCACAACCTTGGTTTCCTCATCTGTAAAATGGGAGCAGTAATAGCGTCTGACTCGTGGGTGTTGTGTAAGGAAACTGCTCGTAGCAATACTGAGGGCACTGTGAGCAGGCGGCAGGTGTGTGTGGTCATCGACCTGCCAGCTGTTCTGGATGGTGTTGTCTTCTCTTCCTACTGCTGCTGGCTTGGTACCCACAGGCAGCTTGGCGCTCTTTGGTAACTGGGTGGTGCAAGGGCAGGCAGGCTGTAGTGAGTGGGGGCTCTGACACTCCTTTCCTTGCCTCCCCACCCCGTGTTTGGTAGGCCTACGCCGACTACATTGGATTCATCCTCACCCTCAATGAAGGTGTGAAGGGGAAGAAGCTGACCTTCGAGTACAAAGTCTCTGAGGTAGGTAGAGGCAGGGAGTCTCCAATAAATCAAAAATTGCCCCCAAGAACCCTGTGTGCTCATCGCGCAGCCGGGCTGGGGCAGAAACCACCACCCCAGCCCACTGGCCCCCGACGTTTCCGTGACTACATTTCTCATCTGTTAAAATCTGGGAATAGGTGTACATTTATAAAATTGGGGTCAAGGTATATATGCCATTTTATAGCCTGCATTTTTACTGATTGGTGTCTAATAAACCTTTTTAACTTAAGAAACACCCCAGAAGAAGTCGCTGTGCTGGTTAACAGAAGCATGCTACCCCCTCGTCCCTCATACCCAGCCCCCAGGGGCAACGCGGGAACAGCCTGGGGAGCGTCCCCAGACCTGGGCTGGGCATGAACTCCCCCCGTGTGAATGGCTGCCTCAGTGCGCCACACCTTCATTTGTTTCAGCTGCACCCTAACGGGAGCGTTTAGGTTATAGCCCTAAATGCTGCTCTGAGCCTCCTTGCGCACAGCCCTGTGTGTGTTCCTCCCGCAGGACTCACTCTGAGAAATTGAAACACCTAAGTCAGGCGCCCACACTGCTGGATGGGGTGCGCTCCGGCCACAGTTTCAGAGAAAGTCTTGTTTTTTGGAGGGAGGGCAGGGGAGATTGATGCCCGGGGAAGGGGTGGTCTTGCTTGCCTTTTGCTCTTCTGCTGGGTCCCCTCTCCCAGGGCTAGGTCCCAGGCCTCCAGGGGCCTCTTGGAGTCCTGTCTCAGTTGGCCCAGAGCCTGTGTCTCTTATCTCAGATGCCAGGCCTGAGCAGTAGTCATTCTCAGCGCCTCAGCCTAGCCCACTCAGTTGCCTCAGCCTGCTGGGTAGGGCCTGGCCATGCCCCCACCCAAGACTAGCATGGCCCTCTCAGGCCCACACTGCCTCTTGGTGCTCTGACCTGTGGCTGGGTGGCTGCGATCTGTACTTGAGGGGAGCCAGGCTGTCCTAGAAACAGCCTTCTCTTGGGAGCTGGCCCACCACTTCCTCTTGGCCTGCCCAGCACCCTGGAAATGTGGCTCTTGGCTCAGCTGGCTGGCCAGAGAGGGCAGAGGTTGGGGGACAGGCGCCCGCAGGGGATGTTGTAATAATCCCAGAAGATCCGAGCTGCTGATTTCCTCTCAGGTCCTCAGTGGCCCCAGGTGCTGACTGCGATGTCCACATCAAGCAGGTGCGTCTCAGCAGTGTTCTCTTGGCAGCGTTGCAGCCTGAAATCAGGCTGCCTGGGTTTGGATAACCTTTTGTCAGCTGAGAGGCTTTGCCCCTGTGACCCTCTTCCTCCCCAACAGTAGAGCGAAGAGCCAGCCGAAGTGCCAGCCGGCCCGCTCACACCCCGGGAGGCTCATTGCTCACGGATCCATGTGGACGATTGTTACCCGGTGCTGGCACCACTCCGCGCCATGGGCTTCATTAGCCTTTGTTCCCCCATTTCTAATTTCCGGTGGTGGTGGTGTTTTAGTAGGGGCTCTTCCGAGCTGGGGTTCATCCCAGAGCCGGGGCAGGGGGCTGCAGGCGTGCCCTGTTTGGTCTCCAAGAGATCTCCCAGCTTCTGTCCCTAGCTGGCAGGGGCAACAAAGTACAGCTCAGCAGGTAGCCTGGGTCCACAAACTGGGGCTCTCTTCCCTCCTGTCACAGCTGTGGGGTCCCCTGCTGCTTCTCATTCCCGCCCCTCCCGCAGGGATGGTAGCTGCCGATGAAGAGAGGGCAGGGCCCTGGGTGGCAGCTTGTAGACCCGCAGCAGAGGCACCAGCCACTGTGTGGTTCTGAGATTGTCTAGACCCGTGTTTAGAAGGTTCCCTTTCATTTTGAGATTATCTCTCTTCTGTCTTTGGGAGTAAAATTTTTTGATTCGTGCAAAATAAAGATTATAGTAGATAGGAGGCTTTTTTTTTTTTTTTTTTTTTAAAGATTTATTTATTTATTTATACAAGCACTGGGTACAGTCAGAAGCGCGGGAGGGTGAGAGAATTCACCAGAGACAGAGTGGGGAACAGAACAGGCAGATGACGAAATACACTGCTGAGGGGAGCAGCGGGTGAGGCAGGAGAGGTCTGTCCCGCCATGTGGGACCCCCGCCGGTGGCCGGGGATCGAACTGGCGCTGCAGAGGCTGCAGGCAGCTTCGCAGCCCAGCGCTCAACCGCTGCGCCACCAGGGGAGGCCCAATAGGAGGCTTTTTTTTTGTTTTGTTTTGTGTTTGATTTTTTTTTTAATGGGCGCAAAATAAAAAATTAGGAAGTAAAATTTTTTTTAAAAGATTGATTTATTTATGCATACAAGAACAGGGGTACAGGCCAGAGGTGCGGGGGGTGAGAGGATTCACTAGAGACAGTGGGGAACAGAACAGGCATTTTGCAGAAAATTTTGCTGGTCCATGAAATCCAAAAAGGAAGTGTTGGTGTAGGGAGAAAGGATAGCTCAAAGCCTTCTTGCTTCTTGGAGGTTCCGGCCCACAGTTTGCTTCCCTCTAACCCTCTTCCCCAACTAGGCAAACAATAGAGGCAACCCCCTGCATTCAAAAAAACCTCTAGAAAGAGGAACTGGGAGCCTGTTAATTATTTATTGGCCCAGCTGAGCTAGCAGCTGGGGCCAGGCTCCTGCTGGCCTCCAGCATCTTCTTTATCCCTCAGTACCTTGCTGTCTGCCAGACTGGAACGCCAGGGAGTCAGCCTAGCTGCCGTGTCCTGGGGCTGTGCTTACTGCACCAGCCCTCCTTAGTCCCAGCCAGTGCCTGCTCTGGCCTTACCCTGTGCCTGGTGACTTGGTTCTTCATAAAGAGTTGCTTTGTGTCATTTGTCAACAAGGCATATCACCTTGTCCCTTGGCCTCAGCCAGGCGTCTGGGCAGTTTTCTTCTAGGTAACTGCTTCTCTCCCCTGCCCCAAACCTGGGGAAAGGGGAGGAGAGGGAGGTGAGGGAAGGCAGTATTCCAGATCGTTGTCCCGTTGCCCATGCCAGGGGCACTATTTATGCGTGATCTTCGTCTGGAGCTCTGTGGCAGGAGCTTCAGCCCTGTCCCCCACTCCTTGGCAGAGTCTGCACCCGGCAGACCCGAGCGTGCCTGGCCTTTCTTGTGACCTACCAGGTGGTTCCACCCGGCAAGCTCCTGCCCTGAGCCAGGAGTCCCTGGTCTCCTCAGACCCATGGTGGCCAGCAGACAGAGGCAAGACTTGCCCCTCTGCAGGGGCCTCTTCCCAGGACTGCTGACCAGGGGCCCTCTCCACCAGATGCTCCACTGACCTCCATCAGTGCCACATCTTCAAGTCTAGCCCCACGGACCTGTGTGTCGTCTCGGCCACCTTCTCTGATTTCCTCACTGAATAACATCTCGTGTGCTAATGCTGCCCTCTGACACCTAGCCCCTGTGGGAAAGGTGTGGGGAGATGGACTCCCCAATACTGCTATGCATGCCCCCCATCCAGCATGGCACATTTGCATTTCTGACCCAGCAGTTCCAAAAGGGTGAGTTGCCAGATTGTTCATCCCAGTGTGGTTTGTGGTAGTGAACAGCTGGAAGCGCCAAGCATTGCCTGTAAGGGGCTTGGTAAGTGGATTCCGGTGTGTGGGTACAACACCACCATGCTCGCTTACAGAAGGTTGGCATGAAGGTCTGTTCACAGGCTGCTGTGGAATGAGGTTGGGGGATGCAGAGCCAGCTGCGAGGTGGCGCATGCCCTGTGGTCCTTGTTGATGGTCGGTACGTGTCTAAGTCAGTGCCATTTCCTGTGCCAGGCGGGCACCAGGTGTTCCTCACGGGTGGACGCCTAGTCCTCGGCACTGCCTCCGTGGGTGGTTAGCATTGAGCCCATTTGCAAGGTGAAGAAACAGGCTCTGAGAGTCAGGGTCATCAACTTGACATCTTGCGGGGACTGAAGGCCATTTTCTCTGGAATTTGGATCCATGTCCATCTGCCTCCCAAGTCTTGCCCTGCTAAACCACAGCGAACACTAAAGAGGCAGAGTTGAAGAGTTTGTTAGCTCTTGATAGTGCTTATTTCTGGGTGGCAGCATTGATTTTTTCCTTTCACTGTTTTCTGTGATGAGTAGGCATTGCATATTAAACAATAAAATCTGACGAAGGCCAGGGCTGGAGTCGGGCTTGGCCACCAGCGGCTCTCTTCGATAGACTGAAGCTGCTTGTCCCTTCACTGCATGCTGGGGCCTTTCTGTAGAGCCTGCTGGACTTCCTGATTGGCCCTTCAGGTTGGTTGGCAAGATGGAGTCAGCAAGGAGGGCCCAGTCAGCACCAGGCCTCATGGTCAGCATCCAGCAGCAGCTAGGGCTTCCCTCTGGCTCCAGCATGGGGCCCCTCATCATTGTAACTGGGACCCTCTGTTTTGCCTCCACAGGCCATTGAGAAACTGGTCGCTCTTCTCAACACGCTGGACAGGTGGATTGATGAGACGCCTCCGGTCGACCAGCCCTCTCGATTTGGGAACAAGGCCTATAGGACCTGGTATGCCAAACTCGACCAGGTGAGGCTTCCACGGGACAGGCTTGGGGCCTGGACAGGAGGGGGCGGGGGCGCGTTCAGGCTTTACAGAATCACTGGGGAGTATGTTAAGAGAGCGTTCCACTTAAGAAATGTATGGTTGTGTGCACCTTCTGCCCCAACTGAGTACCACCACTGTGGGCGCATTGGCTTCTGCAAAGGGCCATTTATTAGGCTGTTGTTTGTGTTGGGGAAAGAGTCAAACATGCTAAGTGTCCTCCTGTAGGGGATGCATTAGATCAACAGGTTTGTGCATCCATGGAGAACTATGCAGCTGTAAGAAAGAATAAGGGAACTCAGGAGAAAGGGAGTCTGTGGTTGATTGTTAGTTACGGAGGAGCCTGGAATATGAGACATGTGGCATGAGGCCTTGTGGTAAGAGAGGTTAAAAATGAGGAGATTTTGGGCCTCCCCGATGGTGTAGTGGGTTTAGCTCAGTGCTGTGAAGCTATCCGCAGCCCCTGCAGCGCGGATTCGATTCCCGGCTGGCCAGGGAGAAACCCACATGGTGAGGCAGACCTCTCCTGTCTCGCCCGCTGCTCCCCTCAGCAGTGTATTTTGGTCGTCTGCCTGTTCTGCTCCCTGCTCTGTCTCTGGTGAATTCTCTCACCCTCCCTCGCCTCTGGCCTGTACCCCGATTCTTGTATAAAAAAAAAAATCTTTATTTTTTTATTTTTTAAAGATTTACTTATTTATACAAGAACCGGGATACAGGCCAGAGGTGCGGGAGGGTGAGAGAGAGGATTCACCAGAGACAGAGCGGGGAACAGAACAGGCAGACTGACGAAATACACTGCTGAAGGGAGCAGCGGGTGAGACAGGAGAGGTCTGCTGCACCATGTGGGTTTTTCCCTGTCCAGCTGGGATTGAACCTGCGCTGCAGGGGCTGTGGACAGCTTCACAGTGCGGCGTTCAACCGCCTGTGCCACCAGGGAGGCCCAATAAATAAATCTTTAAAAAAAAAAAAAAAGTTCAAGAGCAATGGCTCTTCCTTTAAAAAAAAAATGAGATTTTGTATCGCCCAGTTTATGTGCAGCGCCGCACTGCAAGGCTGCTTGAGAAACTAGTAAATTAGGCTGCTGTTTCTTTCTGAGGGTGGGGCAGAGTGGGTGGAGAGAGATTTCTCAATGGGTCACTTTTTTAACATGCTTATTTTAAAATTATATGAAGGTGATACCTGTCCAAAGTAAACAAAAAAATAAATAAAGAGAAAGAAATGCAGGATTACAGGCCCTATCCTTAGAAAAACAGGGTCTGTGGGTCTGGGTTGGGGTCTGGGAATTCAGATTTTCAACAGGTCTCCAGGAGCTTCCTAGGCCAGGTGTGCATAGGTTGCATTTAGAGAAACTTGGATCCTAATTTCTGTGGCCCAGTGTTTTCACATGGAGTAGAGGGGGGCCCTGAGGACCCAGCACAGTGCTCTCCAGCCTGGGGCTGCCTTGGAGTCGATGATGATATGTGATCTTGTTTTATTTATTTATTTTATTTTAAAAGATTTATTTATTTATGCATACAAGATCTGGGATATAGGCCAGAGGTGTGAGGGGTGAGAGGATTCACCAGAGACAGAGTGAGGAGCAGAACAGGAAGACTGACTGAAACACACTGCTGAGGGGAGCAGTGGGCGATACGAGAGAGGTCTGCTGCACCATGTGGGTAGCTTCCTAGGCGAGGATCGAACTTGTGCTGCAGTGGCTGCGGATAGCTTCATAGGTTGTGTCTTAACCCCTTGCAACTCCAGGGAGGCCCTCTTGTTCTTTTAACTAGCTGTACTGCTCGCCAGATCTTAACATGCAACTTTGCCCTTCCACTCCATCACAGCAAGCTCCAAAATGTTCCCAGCACCCCAAGGCATGTCCCCTCCAGTTTACATCCCCTAAACTCTTCCGACTTCTGCTCCATAGATTGATGTTACCTGTTTTGGAACTGTAGGTTCACAACTGACTTCCTTTGCGCAGTGTCGCAGAGGTGGGATCTGCCCACGCTGGGTACACGCCGGTGGGTCTGATCACTGCTGCGCAGTGTCCGCAGTGGGAACCTGGGTTTTCCATTGGACCCTTGATGGCCATTTCCGTTGTGGGTGGTTCTCACGCTCTGGCCACTGTAGTGCATGCTGCATACACCACATTGTGTGGTCTCTTGGCAGGTGCTTGCTTGCTGCCCTGGGAGTGTGAAGGAAAGTGGTACCATTGGGGACATCCAAGAGTTACCAGATAAGACCCTCCCTTCTCATCTTGTTTCCGCACCCTTATTCCCTGGAGGAAAGGTTAGCCGACTAGAAGCCACCCCAGAGCAGTGGCTGTTGTGTAAGAACAAATCCTCCCCTCCTCGGTCAGTCAGAGCAGGGAGCCAGGCCCAGCTAGCAGGGCAGCCTGGGCCCCGGGCAGAGGTGCCCCACTGGGATGCTGCCTAATCTGCTGCTGCCACTTTGTGTCTCTTGTGTTATCAGGAAGCAGAAAACTTGGTGGCCACAGTGGTCCCCACCCACCTGGCGGCTGCTGTGCCCGAGGTGGCGGTTTACCTAAAGGAGTCCGTGGGAAACTCCACGCGCATCGACTACGGCACAGGTACCTGCCACTCCTGGTGCTTGCTGGACTTCCCTGCAATCTTGGACTGCTCCCTCTGTGCTTCCCATTGTTTGGGCCCCTTTGAGCAAGTAGCCTGTGGGGGGCCTCGGTGTAGGGGGTCTTGGTGCTACTCCTGCAGCTCTGATTTGGTCCACCAGGGGGAGCTGTTGCTCTACATTGGCACCTGTGAGCGCAGAGCTGATTTTGTCCTGGTGTGTGAAGATGGTCTCTGTGAGCTCACCATCAGCACCACAACAATAATTTATTGAGCACTTACTATACTCAAGGAGACAGCTTAACGGAAGCCTTGTGAAATGAAAGAGCTTGGCGGCCTCCACAGGGATGTCCTTTCCCTGTGCCCTTGTAGCTTAGCCACATTCTCTGTGCTGCTGAGCTCTCAGGCGAGGGTGTGTGAAGGTTGTTTGTAAGCTGTGGTAGGCCTGCCTTTCCTTTCTCCCTGAAGCACACTGGCAAAGGCAGGAGCTGCTGCTGTTTCAGGCCCAGCCTGGCTTGGGGCTCTCAAGAGGAGCCCATGCAACAGAGTAGGCCTGGAGAAGGTGGGCAGGTAGTGGGTGGTAGGAAGTTTTTGTCCTCTGCTTCCCTGTGGAATAGGCAGATCATGTGTCATACATTTTGAGATATTTTGAGGAGTGGGTCCTTTTTTTTTTTTTTTTTAAGATTTTTAAAATTTTATTTATGCATACAAGAACTGGGGTGTAGGCCAGAGGTGCAGGGCTGGGGATAAAAGGATCCACCAGAGACAGAGTGGGGAGAAGAACAGGCGGATCTACTGAAATCCACTGCTGAGGGGAGCAGCGGGTGAGACAGGAGAGGTCTCCTGCACCATGTGGGTCAGCTCCCTGGCTGGGGATCAAACTCATGAACTCATGCCTCAGTGGCTACTGATAGCTTGATAGCGCTGAGACTTTAACCCCTGCGCCACCAGGGAGGCCCCTAGGGATGGGTCTTTCACTGAGACCAACAGGGAAAAGCCCTGGAGGGGAGACTGGCTGGGTTAGCAGGCGTGCGCAAGAGCTCCTGAGGGAGGCCTGCTGCTTAGGAGGCAGCATGGGTGAAGAGACAGTGCACGAGCTTCCAGCCGGGAGAGCCCTTCCAGCTACAGGATTGGACAGAACCAGGCAAGAAGTTATACCCTCCTCACCTCCCTCCAAGTGTGCTCTTCCCGAATCCAGCGCCATGGTGTACCGTCCAAAGTGCAGCCCCTGTCCCTGTGGTGCTCACCACTGCTGCTTGCCGTGACTGGGAAAGGAAGCAGCTACTTTCTGAGGCTCTGCTGTGGCCATGCTTGGAAGCCTTCAGCGGCTCCTCATTGCTCTTAGGATGAAGTCTGAGCTTTTAACTCTGGCCCTTCTGGCCTGTCTGATTTCCAGTCTCAGCTCATTATATTTTCTCCCTGTTCTTTCTGCTTTAGCCATAATAGCCTTCTTAAAACATAACAATTTTTTTCTCGCCTCAGGGCCTTTGTACAAACTGCTTCTTCTGACGAGAATGCTCTGCTCGCCTCCCTCACTCCCCTGTGCCTTGCCAGCCCTTATTCATCTTTCAGCGTTCAGATTTAATATTACTTCTTTAGGGAAACCTTTCTGAACCCCTGTGATAGTCTCCCTTTCTCTGTGACCTTCTCCTGCAGAGCTGGCATAAAAGCGACGGTATAGTTAATGTCTGCCATTCTGATAGGTCATAAACTGTCATATGAAGGCGGGGCCTCGCTTGCCACTGTCTTCCTCGCGCCTGCCGTGGAGTGCCCCATAGTAAGTGCCCAGTAAGGAGCATGGACTCAATGGAGACTTAGGCCTGTGGAGCATGCTGCGGGTGCCTGCCGATGGGGTTAGAGGCTGTGCCTTTGAGGCCTAGGTCTCTCTGGGTGAGGAGGAGGCCCCTGAGCTCCATGTTGCCCTTGCTCCTTGTAGAGAGAGCTATCAGTGAGACGTCCTTTTCCTGGAAAACTCAGTTTCAGCTGTTTTTTCTCCCCCAGGACATGAAGCAGCCTTTGCTGCTTTCCTCTGTTGTCTCTGCAAGATTGGGGTGCTCCGGGTGGATGACCAAATAGCTATAGTCTTCAAGGTGTTCAATCGGTGAGTGAGAGGGGACCAGGAGAGGCGGGGGGATGGAGAGGGGTCATTCTGCAGGCCCCCAAGGACCGCTGGTTCTTTCGTCCCATCCTAATCAAGCCCTCGCTGTGGACGGGCTGTCCGAGAGTCTTTGTTCCAGTTCAAGCACAAGTGGACAAGTGGAGGCGCTGGCGCCAATCACCAGCTGCTGCTTCCCAGCACTAGCTCGGGGGGCGTGCCCCCCACCTCCGCTCATTCCACCGCGGCCCCAGCACGTGGCCCTCTCACTTCCCTTTTACAGATGAGGAAATTGAGGCACAGAGAGATCAGGTCTCTCACCGAGGTTGCACAGCCGGCTGCACTCAGGTGGGCTGGCACGGCCAGCCCCTGCCCAGCACCACGGGTGTTGGCCCAGAGCTCATTCTGGGGCCACTCTGGAGCGCCGGAGCTCTAGGGTGATGTTGCCGAGGCCCTGATGACATGGAAGGGTGGAGCCCAAAGGACCCCGGAGCCCCTGGAGCCGATTCACTTCGACTCCCAACCGCTGATTAGAGAAGCTGCCCAGGGCCTTACGCTGATGGCGCGCCCGCCCCTTCCCTGTCAGCCTTCTGCCCTTCTCCTGGGTGAAGAGGCGGCTGAGTGTGGGAGAGAAAGAATACAGCTCTCCCCTTTCGAGGGTGCCAACGGATACCCAGCGTGTGAGGCTTTTAGTGGAAATAGAGCCCAGCTACCCTCCAGGCCCCTGTCGCCCGCCTGGTGCTCGCGGTGGCAGCGGCGTTGAGGGTCTCCTTCTTGCTCCTTCCCCACCCTCCTGCGCAGGTACCTGGAGGTCATGCGAAAACTCCAGAAAACATACAGGATGGAGCCCGCCGGCAGCCAGGGCGTGTGGGGCCTGGATGACTTCCAGTTTCTGCCCTTCATCTGGGGCAGTTCGCAGCTGATAGGTACAGGACGGGGTGGACCCGTGTCCCCAGCGTGTGCTGTGTCCCTTCCCGGGCTTCCTGCCTCCCTCCTGCTCCCTCTGCCCTGGGCAGCCGGTGACAGCTTGTAAAGCAGGCATTAGACTGGCTATTGATGAGGCTGTTTGCTGTCGACCTTCTGCTGCTCCCAGCCTGGCTGGCTGGGGGAGGCGGGGCGGGATAATGGAAAGTGACCGGCTGGAGGGGGGGCTGCGGGGCGGGCGCATAACGGCTGGTGTGAAAAGCGCTTGCTCTGCAGCAGCTGCGAGGGTTTTATGTTGAAAATGAGGGACTCTTTTGACGTGGTGACCAACGTCACCTTGCTGTTGTGATGGAGCTGTGTGCAAGGGGGCCCATCAGGTTACTGCGTGCAAGTGCGGGGTGGCAGGCTGCTCCATGCGGCCCCTCTGGTGGTTCCCCAACTTTGAAGCTGTTTTCCAGGCCTTGGTCTGTTGGGCTCCACTGGAGGATGAGGTTGGGATGAAATGTCTATTCGAACATGAGATTAACTGCCCACCAAATGGAGTTAATTTGGTTGCGTCCCTGCTCTGTGCAGGCTGCTGGGCCTCCTGGTCTCTCAGGCCCCAGCCGGGAGGGGCCTCCGTCACAGGACTGGCACTGCCGCCAGGCTGCATGCTGAGGGCTCCCCTGTCATGCTTGTCGGGGGGCACGAGCAGTGTCTGGCTGACCCTTTCCTCACTGCCCAGAGGAGGAAATGTTAGGGGGAAAAGGATGTCCCAAAGCTAATTCCATATAGGCTTTGTGGACTCCACCCCCACCCCAGGTCAAAGCCAAAGACACTGGGAACTCCAAATCCCATCACCACCAAAGGGAAGGTGGCTGGGACCTGAGGGTGGGGTTAAGCAGCCAGGTGGATATAAAAGGCAGACACGTGGGCTTTGGGGATCCCCCATTTTTGGCTCTCCGCCGGCTCGCAGCGTCCGGCCAGCTCTGAGAGTGACTTTGGGTTTCCAGGTCGTCGGATCGGGTAGGACGCATTAAAGACTTTATTTCCCTATTTTCTCCCTGAGTTGTACATTTTCCTTATTTCCTTTTCTCTTGTAAATAAACCTTTTATTAACCTTTTGTGTGTGTCTGTAGTAGAGTATTCATAAGTCCCTTTAAAGCGCGCGGGTGAGGACCCACAGCCAGGAACCCGTTTAATATCGGGGTTGCTCTATAACAGCTTGACGCCCAACGTGCTTTGCAAGTTTCACCCGTGGTTGACCAGCCCAAAGTAGCCCCACGTTGGGCGCCAAGCTGTTATAGAGCAACCCCGATATTAAACGGGTTCCTGGCTGTGGGTCCTCACCCGCGCGCTTTAAAGGGACTTATGAATACTCTACTACAGACACACACAAAAGGTTAATAAAAGGTTTATTTACAAGAGAAAAGGAAATAAGGAAAATGTACAACTCAGGGAGAAAATAGGGAAATAAAGTCTTTAATGCGTCCTACCCGATCCGACGACCTGGAAACCCAAAGTCACTCTCAGAGCTGGCCGGACGCTGCGAGCCGGCGGAGAGCCAAAAATGGGGGATCCCCAAAGCCCACGTGTCTGCCTTTTATATCCACCTGGCTGCTTAACCCCACCCTCAGGTCCCAGCCACCTTCCCTTTGGTGGTGATGGGATTTGGAGTTCCCAGTGTCTTTGGCTTTGACCTGGGGTGGGGGTGGAGTCCACAAAGCCTATATGGAATTAGCTTTGGGACATCCTTTTCCCCCTAACAGAAACAGCCTCACTGGTTCAAGGTCACACAGTAAGAGGCTGCGCATTTGACACTAGAACATACACACAGCGTCTCGCTGCTCCTGCGAGGCCGTGTTGGTGCATGTGGGCAGGTCTGTGACACTACTGGGGGTGTGTGGGCCGAGGTGCTAGGTAGTGAGCGCCTGGTCAGAACCCCAGGGCTCTGCTGTTTCTAGACCATCCATATCTGGAGCCCAGACACTTTGTGGATGAGAAGGCCGTGAATGAGAACCACAAGGACTACATGTTCCTGGAGTGCATCCTGTTTATCACCGAGGTGAGTGAGGGGTGCCATGGGGCGGGGGCCCCTGGGGCTGAGATGAACTGAGGTTGTTGGATTGGGAGTGGACAGAGGAGCCTGAGCTGCTGCTGCAAATGGCAGGGCTGACCCCAGAAAGTGGGGTCTGGAAAAGGAAACCCATGAGACCACTGAAAGGTTGAGCCAGCTTCTGGGATCTCCCCCAAATCAGTGTTGTGCATTTCTTTGAGCTGGGGGACTTGGTCACTAGCTGGAATTGGACAGCAGGCCTGAAGGGTGGCTGGGTGGGGACTGCAGGTCTGTGTACCCATGTGCGTGTCGCTGTGTAGGAAAAAACAATTGCAGGAGTTGGGGAGATTCAGATGCACAGCAGGTGAGATTCTGCTGCAGAGACATGTCTCTGTCAGGGCCAAATGAAGTACTTGCGGTGAAAACCTGCAGGCCCCCAGCCCATCCACGGGGTCATTAGCCTGGGCTGCGGCCTCCTGCTCAGGCTGGGTCTCCCAGTGTGGCCATGGACACTTCCTCAGGATCACCTGGGGAGCTTGTTCAAATGCAGGGTCCTGTGCCCCAGTTTTCTGAATCAAGAATCTGAGGGTATGAGAGCCAGGAACCTGTATTTAAATATACTTGCCAGGTGACTGCACACAAAAGCTGGGGACCTACTGCTCTCAGGGTCTCTCTTTTTGGGAGGTGTCAGGACCTTTCAATTGCCCTGCCCCGCACCAGCCTCCCCTCTCCTCCCCCTGCCCCCAGCTTCCAAAGGACACCTGGTCCTGGATTCTGAAGAGGGTCTTGCCCCATGTTCTCCTTCCTGATCCTCTGCTGGCCCTGATGATGTTGCTGGCACATGTGGGCCCTGACCCTGGGGCTGCTCTCTGGCCCCCTGAACGGTGTGGGAGGGAATTGGGGAAGCAGCTATAGCTCCAGGCTCCTCCTGGTCAGCATTCCACTCAGGCCTCCGCCAAACTCCAAAGGCCAGAGGGGAATGACACGGTCTTTCCAAGTCAGCAAATGGAGCCAGACTGATGGCTGGGCGGCCACTGCTTGGTTTGGAGATCTGCTGCCTTCAGCAGTGCAGCCTGCCCAAGGTCGGGAGAGGCCTCCGGGCAGCCTGGCCCGCTGCCGTGAGAGCTGGTCACGTGCTGTGCTCTCCGGGTTGGATTGCAAGGGCCTGCAGTGCTCTGGGAGACCCCAGGAGGAGCAGGGTGGGAGAAAGGGAGCATGTTGTTGGAGTGTGGCCTCACTCTTTTGGGGGTAAAAGGGGAAGCTGTTTTAGCTCCCCCTTGTGGCTACCGAGCCCCTGAGTCCCTGCAGTAACTAAGGAACTAAGGAGGAAAGCTACGTCTGGCCTCAGGGATTATGGGAGTTGATTCCAGGTTAAAACTTTGTATTTTTGTTCCTTTGGTTGACTAAGTTGGCATAAAATCCTAAAAGCTTTTCTCAAAGTTTGGGACCCAGTTCCTCTGCTAGAGGGAGTCCAACCGTGGCCACTAGGTGGCGCTAGTGTACCATTGAATTTGGAGGTTTTAGTAACATTTCAGGGGAGAGGCATGTACTGGAGAAGGAGGGCAGACCCCAGAGTTTTGGCTTGATCTGCATCTTCTCTGCGAGACCTGGTTTTCACTTTGGGTCTAGGCAACTGGCAGGGGCGAGCTCCAGAGCTGAGGTGACTGTAGTGGGATGGGACCCCTTTCACCTCCGGGGCCAGGCCTAGACCCCCTGGCCTGGCTGCTGATAGCAGCGGTCTGTGTCCTCCTCAGAGCTCCTGTCTGGGCTGCCTTTACCCCAACCTCTTCTGCCTCATACCAGGGCTCCGCAGCCCCTAGCTGGTGAGTGAGTGACATCAGACTCAGCTTGACAAAGGGGGGCTGAAGGCCTGACTCGGGACACAGGCGCCTGGAGGTGTCTCGGGAGCCACGCAGGATCACGGTGGCCGCCGCAACTAGAGACTAAATGGAGCAGGCTGGAAAGGGGACCTGCTGGGGACCGCCCCTCGGTGGCCCTGGCATCCCAGACAAGGGGCCCACCTCGCAAGCCTTCTGCTGCCTCAGGAAATGCAGCCTCGGCGCCTTTAAGAGACCTGGGCAGGCAGGAAAAGAATTTCAGTTTCAATCTGGCTTCTAAATTTGGAGTTTTGGGAAGGGAGGGATCAGATTTCAGCTGGAAGGGAAGGAGCTGACAGGAAGGCGCTGTGCAGAGCCTCCCACCCCCCCACCCCCATCCCCATCCCCATCCCCCTCAGTTACTGACAGAGGAACCATTTACAAAAGGCCGATTCTCTGGGGAGTGGAGAGGCAGGAACGCAGCGTCTGTGAGTAATTTCCTGCTCAATATGGCTGCTCTGACTCACACGATTCCCCTGGGGTCACTGCGGGACTGCAGCCTGCTTGCTCGTTCTCGCTCTTTCTCTTCTCCCTTTGTGGCTAGAATGAGCTAATTTTTTTTTGTCTTCTCGCCTCCGATTCCTTTTTTCCCCCTCTTCTGTTTTTCTTTCCCAGAGTTGCCAAGTCTCCTTCTGAAGGACTTGGGGAGACCTTGGGATACTGATGCCTGAGGCTGGGGTTGGGACCACCCCTCTGCAGAAAGAGCTTCTCTGGCCTTTCCAAGGGGAAAGCCAGGGCCCCTGGGGGTGCGGAGCCGGGGTCTCACCCTGGCTAGTGGGCCAGAGAGGCCCTCTGGGCCCCCCTTCCATCCGCCCAGTGGGAAGCAGAGCCTTTGGTTGGTTTCCCAGTGTCTATCTGCTGGCCTAGGCCAAGGAGCCCCTGTGAAAGGGCCTCTGAGCTGCTGTGGGATGGTGCCTGCTGGTGCCTCCTGGGTGGTTTGTGCCAGGGGCCTCTCCAGAATGAAGCTCTAGCGGCCCCTGAGCTCAGGGCCTGGACGCCCTCTGGCAAGAGAGAACTGGAGCCCCGGGGGCGGGGCAGGGAGCTGAGGAAGGGGCGGGATGAGGGGGGAGGGTGGGAGCTTAGGGGTGGAGCCTCTGGAGGGGGACTGTTGGACCAAAAAGCCCAGGCCAGGGCCCAGGGTGCCAGTGGCTGCTCTCCTGGCGTTGGGGAAGGAGCCTGGTGGGGGCCCAGGCCCTGGAAAGCCCTATGGGACCGGGACTGGGGGTGGGGTGGGTTTGGCCAAGCCCCTCCCCCCCCCCCTGGCCTCACTCCTACAGGAGGAGGGGCCTGTGTCCTTGCTACAGAACTGGGGCTTGAGACAGGCTTTTGGGGGGACTTGGGCAAGAAGAGAAAGATGGGCCATAAGGGGTAAAATGGCAGGTTTTTTGACTAAAAGCTCAGTTTTTTAAGAGTTGCCCTTACTAGAGAAGTGAGAGGCCTGTGGGAATGGGTGCCAGGTGAGTCACAGGCCAGCGATGGGAAGTTCCGTGCTGCTGGGCACTGATTCCTGGGATGTCCCATTTGGAGAGAGAGCTTTGGGCTCATCCTTTCTCCCTGAAACAGTTCTCCAGCCCTGCCTCCACCCGCCTTCTTCTGGAACCTTCCGCCCACTCAGGGTCCAGGTCTCTGCTTCCTTGCCAGCCCAGTCTCTGCTCTTCATACTCCTGAAGCTTAGGACTCCGGATGCTGGACCCCATGCCCCCAGTTCAGAAGCAGAGCCCAGGCAGTGCCGAGGAGACTGTGAACTGCTTGTCAGTAAAGACGAGGGCTGGCCTCGCACTGTCTGGGGTGCACGCGGCGCACAGCCTTCCTGTCTCTGCTGTGGTTTCTGAAGTCATGGGAACTTTACTGGGCTTGCTGCAGAATTTCCCTTCCTTCCCGGAGGGTCAGACTTGAGGTCAGAGGAGGGATGGCGATGGCACTGTCCTGCTCCCGTGTGTCCTGGCTGCCTGGCTGCCATGCCTTCCCCACTCCTGGGCTGGGTCGCTGCCTTTCTGACCCTGTGCCTCCCTCCCTCCCTCCTTCTGCCCGGGTTTGGTCAGCTCTTTCAGCTCCGCCCGGGGCAAGCGCAGAGCCCACCGGGCTGTGGGGCTGGGCCAGGGAGGGGACTGGAGAAATTGGGGTCCAGGCTGCTGTTCCCCATCTGAGTGGGAGGGGATCACCTATTGCCAGGGTGCCCTGTGGCTCTAGGGAGTGGGTGGGCACTGCATCTTGAAGCTGCTGGTTTTGGTCGGCACTGGGCATCAGGCCTCTTTTGACTGGAAGAATGAGGGTGATTCTGGCGGTGATAATCATAGGGGTCAAGAGAGACCCTAACTCTGACATGTGAGTGTGTCTGTGTGTGTGCACGTGCCCCACAGGCAGAGGCTTAGCCTGGGCCTCAGGCGTGTGCGTGTATGTGTGCGTGTGTGCCCTTGCTGCTAGGGGTGGGCCACATCCCAGACTGCCTTCCTTTTCCAGATGAAGACAGGCCCCTTCGCAGAGCACTCCAACCAGCTGTGGAACATCAGTGCTGTCCCATCCTGGTCCAAAGTCAACCAGGGTCTCATCCGCATGTACAAGGCTGAGGTGAGTGAGGCTGGCCTGTGCTCTTGGTCCTGGGCCTGCTGTTCCTCCCACCCCCACTCTGCTCTTTTGCTCAGATCTGGGGCCAGCCCGCCCCTTATCTCCTCACCTCCCCCCTGCCCCGCCACATTCGAGACTTCAGAATCTCTGGGATGAACAGTCATAAAGGACCAAGGCCCAGCTCTGCCCTGTGCCCAAGGCTAGGCCCTGCTGCTCAGAAGTCTCTGTCTCCACCTCTCATGCTCGGCCAGAGGCCCCTGGCAGCTGTCCCTTGTGGAGGCAGGAAGATGACGTGTGTTTGGGAAAGGGTCTGTGCTTTGGCAGCATTATCCAAACTGAGGGGGCTTGTACTCTAGTGGGTCTGATCCATGGGCAGGTGGAAGGTGGTGTGGGAGGTTGCGCTGGCATTTTTAGCGACTGCTCAGGTGGTCCTCCCTGGTCACATCAGCGAGGCAGGCGAGGTGGTGTTTCCCCAGCCCCTGAGAGTAGCATCACTTACCCGCCCCTCCATGCGCTCTTCCTCCTGCACGTGGAGAGGAGACATTTTCTTTCCACTCTGTCCATCCCTCAGGCTCCTCCATGTCTTGCGCAGACCAGTCCCGAGACTGCTTGACCTTGATCAGGTCCTGGGTACAGAGTCCCACACCTCAATCCCTGGGTCCTTGAAGTTCCCTCTTTCCCCGCCAGGCTGACAGCTCAGGCGTGTCACCCAGGCCCACAGGTGCCCATCTCTTGGCTGCCCTTTGGCATCCTCAGAGGCAGGAGGTTCTCTGAGGTTCCTTCCTCACACCCGGCTCCCCTGGGGCCAGGAGGAAAGGGTGCTGGAGCCTGGGCAAACTGTGGTAGCAGATGCTGCCCGATGGCCCACCCTCTCTGCATGGCCCAGAAGGGGTTAAAGTGCTGGAACTGACTGGCCTGGCCCCCTCTCTCTTCCACCCCTCCCCCCCACCCCAGTCCCTTCCTCTGGACTTCACATCCTGTGTTTAGCTTCCAGCCCACATACCTCTCTAATCTGAGAGGAGCTGTGCTTCACTCTGAGGCTGAGACTGAGGCTAGGAGGGCTCCTTCCTGGCCCTGCAGGCTGACTCTTCCCGGCCTGGAGAGCCCCAGGCTCGCTGCCCTGAGGCCCCTGTTGTCCTGATGCTCCACCCCTGGGTGCTGATGGGGAACTCTGTCCTGATGAGCCCTCCAGCTGGGGCTGTCTGTACCCAGCCTGTGAGGGGCGGACTGTACCCCCATCCTCCAGCCCCCAAGTGCCACAACAGGACTCTGAGCCTTTCGGGTTTGGGGTGGTAGCTGCTGTCATTCCTCGCGGTTCTTCCTGAGTGACTCAACTAATCTGGGCTTGTCCCCTAGGGCAGAACAGGACCCTGCCTCCTTCCCCTACCTGCCTCTTCCAGAGGCAAAAGAACTCCTGGCTGATAGGATGAGGGAGGGACTATTGCTTCTCTTAGCCTTTTGGCTAAGATCAAGTGTAGGATGAGGGAGGGACTGATTAAGGTTCAAAATGGTGACTCTTCGGTAAGAACCAAACCCACCGGCCCACCGTGCTGCCCTTGTCTGCATTCCTGCGGAGCTGGAACAGAGCACTGAGAAACACCCGCGGCCCAGGAGCCGATAACAAAGCGCCCTTCCTGCAACGGGAAATTCCAGCTCGGCCTGCACGCAGGCGCAGTTTGCACTTGCAGCCTTGCCAGGTGCTGTGGCGGCCAGATTTCTTTGTGGGACCAGGCGGGAACTTGCCGACTTTGGTTTAGGAACACCGGGTCTCTGTGGCGCTCGGCCCTTGTCCTCAGGGGCCGTCTGCCTTCGGGCCTGGAGTCTGGGCTCGCTGCCCCCTGCCCAGGCGTCACAGGACAGGCTTGCCGTGCCCGCCAGCTCTCGTCCGTTGGGAAGGCCTTTGACGCGAGTGCTCTGAGCCCGGATGGGGTTAGCAGGCCGGGGTTCTCAGCCAGAGTTGCCTGCTGGAGGGGAGTCCGCCCTGAGCTGCTTCAGGCCTGGCATGAGGCGGTCACAGGACTTGGGCTAGCTCTCTTTCTCCAGCTGTCTGGCCTGTCTTCCCTGTCCCAAAGAGCCAAGCGCATGATTCCTGGGCCTGCGGGGGTGGCGTGCCTGTCTCTCCTGCGGGGCCACGGTGAGGCCCTTCAGAGGGGCTTGTCAGGGCCAAAAGCACCTTGTGTCCCCCGCCCCCCCTATGTCACCTGGGCAAGGTGGGGCCTGGGCCTCCAGCTGGTAGGTCTGTGCCAGTATGGGGGTGGGAGAACAGAGAAGGGTTCTGGGGCACAGTTAGCTGGGAGAAAGATCCGACCAGAGGCTCCCTTCTACTGAGGTCCCAGTCTTGACCTCCTGTAGCCCCCCAGCTTCTCCTGTGGCCCTGGGAGCAGGGGCCAGAGAACCACCCGCCCCTCCCCCTAAGCCTCTCTTGTCTTTGTGGCTTCTCATGAATGAGAGCTAGAAGCAGGTTGACCTTTGACTCTTTCTGGAATTCCAGGACCCTGGGGGCCCCCCTTTTCAAACTCCTACCACTTCCTCCATGACATAAGCACAATGGCAGCTGCCTTTCCCTCTGGCCTGGATCTCCTTCTCCCCCAGGGACCAGCCCCCTCACCCCCTTACAGCTCCCCACTTTCTCTGCCTGGACCCAGGAGCCTGGCTGTGGCCTGGAGTTCTGTTCCCACACTGAGCTTAGTTCCCCATCGCTACAGCACAGGAAGATTCCCCTTTTCCTGCTCACCTCCTGGCCTGCCCTTAGGCTTTGTGGACCACCCCCCACCCTGACACTGGCCGAGACCTCCTTTCTGCTCCCGGCCAGGGAGTGGGGCTCATTCTCTTGGAGGCCGGAAGTCTGGTGCATACCCAGCATTTCTGAGAGTTTCTGTGGTTGAAGGTGTGAGAGGAGGCAGATCCTCACAGACCTGGGGCTGCGGCTAGGAGTGCTGGCCCATGACGAAGACCCACGTGGCAGGCACGGTGGGGCCAGTGCAGAAAGGCTGGGAGCAGCATCTGATCCGCAAGGCCTCCTGGGCCAGAACCTGGATGAGCCCTGGCGGGGCTGGCTGCAGGGCATGGGCCCACCCTGTTCAGTGCTCTGGGTCTCTGCCCCCTGCACAGCGCTGCTGAGTCGCCCAGGGCTGGGGGACCAGCTTGTTTCTATTGTCTCATTTGGTAGTGCCAGGATGCTGCATTCATTGCAGAGAGCTGAAAAGTGGAGAAAACAGCCTTGGTCCCAGCTGAAATTGTGTCCAAATGTCCCTCCACCTCTTCTTCAGGGCTGGGACCTGGTCTGGGGCCCTGATCTGGAGGGTTCTTTCACTTCTGGCTGCCAGCTCCCCCCTCGGGGCTGAGACAAGCCCCCTCTTGGCTCCTGCCCTGTGGGTCTGGGCCGCCTCTCTCCCTCTCCTCCTCTCTCCATGACTTGGCGGTCTGATCGTTGTGGGGGGGTCTTTGGGTGGGAGAGGGCGGTCAGGAGTGGCTAGGAAGGCCTGCGGGCCGTTGAGATGAGGCCGCTCCCTGGGCCAAACTTCCGGGCTGGTCTGGGGTCCTTTGGAGGCCTGAGAGGCCTAGCAGGCCTGGCTGAGCGCAGTGCAGCCCTCACCTCTGCTCTCCCCTCCTTCCTCACAGTGCCTGGAGAAGTTCCCGGTGATCCAGCACTTCAAGTTCGGGAGCCTGCTGCCCATCCACCCTGTCACTGCGTGCTAGGGGCTGAGCAGCCAGAGCCATCGGGGCCACCCTCCCCGCTCCGGCCCTCCTCACCCCTCCCTCTGTTCTTTATGTTTGATGAGAAGCTGTTTACCGGGGTGGGTGGTGAGTGTGGGGTTGAGGGAGGCTTGGGGCATAAGGCTGAGGGACCCAAGTGGGGAGTAGTGACCAACGTGTGGCCAGTTTCCTGATTTCCCGTGGGGGACCGGCAAGGAGAGGGTTAGGGGCTCCCTGGCCTGCGCCCGCCCCGGCCTCCTCCCACCCGTGTTGGGGTAGAGAGAGCTGCTACACGCTGTGGGGAGGGGTGTGCTGCGTCCCAGTGGCCCTCTTCCTGTGTCCCGTTCCCTTCCTGGGGCGGGGCCCTTGCTCTTGCGGCGGCTTGGTTCCCCAAGCCCTGTCGGTGTGGCTGTCTGGTGTTCTGAGCCTCCCTGGGGTCGGGCAGGGAGAAGCACCCACTGGGCCAGTGGTCACCCTCCCAGTTCCTCGTCCCCCAGCCGCCCCTTTGGTCAGCCCCTCAATCCTGGCTTTTCTGTCTTCTTGGCGTTGGATCTCTTGGCCGTCGCCACAGCTGGCTCCCTCCCGAGGTTAGCCCAGGAGACTGCCAGTAGGTGCTGGGCTCCTGGGCGGGTCCAGCAGGGTTGGCTCATGGCACACTGGGTGAGACCTGCCTGGCCACAGTGTTCCTGGCCAGTGGGGGTGACGGAGACTCGGCCGGGGCTTGGGGCCGGTTATGGGCGCACAGCACCTGCATCCTCGGGCCGTCTCGTCCACGCCCCGCCCCTGCTGCTTCTCAGAGGTCCCTCGGGGCTGCCGCGGGCGGGCTCAGAAGGCAGCAGCCCACCCCTTGTCCTCCATCTCCTGAAGTCACCGCAGGTTTCCGGGCTGAGGTAGGGACGCCCCGAGCCCAGGCTTTGGCGCTGAGGGTGTTTCCCCTCCGGGGGTGGGGGGTGCGGCCACGCCCGTTCTCCTGTTTTCTTCTAGGGTTGTTCTCAGACCTGACTCTTGCAGGCCTTCCCCCGCCCAAGCCCCGGCCTGCCTTTCTCCACTGCCCCCGCCCCAAGCCTGGGTCCACATGCGCTTTGGGAAGGAGAGACCCGAGAAGCACAATACAGGGGCTTGGCCCTCAGGGCTGGGCCGAGACTGGGCCAGGAGCCAGAGTCACGGCAGGGTTCTCCCAGGAGAGGCCGGTGCCCGCCTCCCTCTCGGGGTCCAGACCGTAGCCGTCCTGGCTCTTCCTGGCTCCTCCTGCCATGCACCCCTCCGGCCCCCAGCTCCTTGCGCCTTCATTGCAGTTCCAATTAAAGCCTGTTTGCTCCTGTCACCTGGGTGAGGTGTGTCTTTTCGTGCCTCCCGCTGGCTCTCTCGCCTCTCGACCCATTTGGTCCCTTCCCTGTGACCACGGAGTCTGGGACCTGTGCTGTCTCCGCAGACGGGGCAGGGCCCCTCCCGGGCAGCAGGGAGGCGCCTAGCTGACACTCCCCTGGCAGGATGGGGAGCAGAGACCCAGGCCCCATCCTGGTTGTCTCCACACGCGGCTGCAAGGTCTTGGGTAAGTTGCCAAGCCAGGCGCAAGGTGACTCCGAGGAGGGAGTGAAGGCATCAGGTCCTCAGCTCAGGGCCTGGCGAGTGGCCTGTCCCTGCGGCTTCTGCGGAGGAGCCAGCCCTCTGGTGGGCCGGAGCAGCCTTGGGCTGGACGTGGCTGTGAAGTGCACCCCGGCAGTGTGTGTGGGGGGTGGCCACTGGTCTCCCCCTGCACCCTCTGTGCCTGACGCGCTCCGGGGGTGTCTGTGGGACTACCGTGCCCAGACGTCACTGGCTTGGACCCCTGTGCCTGGGCTTCTGCCGTCAGATCAGTCTCCTTGTGGAGAACAAGACTCGTGGCCTTGCTCCTGACCCTGGGGACTTGCACAGGGCACAGGAGGGCCTGGGGCGAGGCCCGGGCTCTGGAGTCAGGCGGACGCCAGTACAACCCCACACCAACCTGTGGCTCGGTAGGAGACTGTCCTGGTTGACTTTGCCACTGAGCCTCAGCTTTCTGACCTGAAACATGGGCTGAAAATGCAGATTTGCTCATTTTACAAAGAGTGGCTGCATGTTCCTCATTCTTGCGGCGTGACAGCTCCGAGTCCCTGCTGCGGGGTGTGGGGAGTGTGCATGTTGTGTAGAAAAGCAGCTGTTAATTGGGGCGGCAGGGGGCGGGGTCCAAGAGCTCCAGAGTCCCGAGAACTGGTGAGCCAGCCCCTGGGGGAGCAGACGCGGCAGGGGAGCCTTGGGGAGGGCTTCTGGGAAGACTAGGCTCCATCCCCCAGGGTGGTGGGATTCAGGCTCAGAATCTTCTGTGGGAAACTGCTGGGGGCGTCTGTACAGAGATGAGCCCCGGGAAGCCTGCCCAGGGGAGGCCTGGATGGGGGGCGGGGGTATGTGGTCTGATCGCCACTGTTTGGAGATGTTGCCACTGGAGGGAAGATGGGCGGGGGAGAGGAACAGCCAGAGCACCGGTGGGCGCTGCGTTGGGGGCGGAGCTCAGAGCGGGCACCTGGATGTGCTCCTTCAGTGGGGCGCCCTAGGGCTTGCTGAGTAGATCGGGGTGTGGGGCACACATGGGGTCACCGAGGGAGGCGTGTGGGTAGGAGTCCCTAAGTTCCGAGCCCTGGAGGTGGTGGTGACTTGCTGGACCCGGACTTGCTCCACGCTGCTTCGGCGGGGCGCTGGGGCGGATGGGAGTGCAGACCGGGAGGGGGTGAGCCAGACCCCTCTGCAGAGGTGAGGCCCTGCGCAGCGGCCAGCCTGGCAGGAGGCCGCAGAGCCGGGCAGTGCCTGCTGGTCATCCCACTTCCTGCCACCCCTCTTGCTCTAGGAGCTCCGTGGTCAGGGGAGCAGAGAGGAGGGTGGGGGCCCTTGAGGTGGGGAAGGCTTCACCGTAGGCGGGGGTGCGGTGCAGGGGCAGGGAGGTGGCGAGGTGCAGGCCAAAGAGGACACCCCCAGAGTCTTTGAAAGGTCCTGGGCTGCTCGTCCCTTTTTTTGACCTTTTTTTTTAATCCTTTTTTTGGACATTTTTAAAGGACAGGTTCATTAGGAAAAGGAGACGGAAGAAGACACCTGCATGGCCATGGCGGGCAGGGACGAGAGCTGCGTGCGTGACCCTTACGGAGGGGAGCAGGAGGCCCCTGTGTATTGTTTGCTTTTTTTTTTTTTTTTTAAAGATTTATTTATTTATTTATACAAGCACTGGGTACAGTCAGAAGCGCGGGAGGGTGAGAGAATTCACCAGAGCCAGAGCGGAAAGCAGAGCAGGCAGAAGGACCGAAGTACACTGCTGAGGGGAGCAGCGGGCGGCAGGAGAGGTCTGTCTTGCTATATGGACCCTCGCTGGTGGCCGGGGATCGAACCAGTGCTGCAGAGGCTGCGGGCAGCTTTGCAGCCCAGCGCTCAACTGCTGTGCCACCAGGGGAGGCCCCTGCAGTGTTTACTTCTGCAGGGAGTGTGGGGCCAGGGGACAGGAGGGGAGCGGGGTAGGAGGGGCTGTGGAATGGTCTGAGGGGCAGTGGGTCCCTGAGGACTGGCAGAGCTTGAGGGACCTGCAGGACCTGGTGATGCCCATGCTGTGCCCTATGAAGAGTGGTGGTGCTACTGTTTTCCCCAGGGGGCCAGTGTGTCCAAGGGAACATGAGAAGGGCTGCCCCAGATCTGGAGGGGTGCTGGTGCCAGCTTCCCACTGTCCCAGGCCAGGAGAACCCCTGGGACTCCGGGCATCACCCCTCCTGGCTGAGGCTAGGCGACCACGCTCACGGGAGGCAGAGTGGGGAGGAGGCTGTTCCCAGGAAGAGAAGCTGGGCAAGACTGGGCTTGAGGGGGTGACCCCAGGCTTGCTCCCAAGCTGGTGACATCACCATAAGCACCTGCTGCAGACAAGGCTTGGGGGTGGGGGGAGGGGGAGGAGACTGTGGTGGTAAAAAAAAAAAAGATGAGAATGTTGCCTTCTAGAAACTTCTGCCTTAGAGGAGGTAGAAGAAGGCGGATAGAGATGTGGGCCTGATGGACTTGTGGGGTCTGGAGAAAGGCTCTGAGAAGATGGAATTTTCCTGGGGCCTGGCACTGCAGGCACGGATGAGGGGGTTTCTCGTGGGACTGGCTGTGGGCAGAAGTGCAGAGGGGCGGGCAGCAGGGGGCAGAGCAGGAGAGGTGGGCAGGTCGACTCCCCTGCACCCCCCAACCCCCGGGACACGGCACCACAACTGCCTTTCTTCATCCGCACAGGGATGTGTGTCGCGTCTGCTCTGCTAGATGAGCCGCAGGCGGGCAGGGCCAGTCCTGCTGTGCCCCGGGGCCCGTGGGGACTGGCTCGCAGCAGGCACCCAGGCCATGCTGCATGGGTGACCGGTGAAGGCGCTTGGCTGGCGCCTCTGTGTGAGGGACACCAGCTTTGGGGGGGAGGAACGTGGGCGGCTGTGGGTGCTGGCGGGGATGGGAGGCTGGTGTAGGGCCTGGTGCTTTGGCCGGGTGAGAGATCTTGGAGATAGTTGTGGCCTGGAGAGAGGCCTGGGGCTGGGAAGGGGGAGGTCCTGCTGGGATTAGGTGTTGAGGGGCTGGGGGCCCTAGTGCCCTGAGATGCCCCCTACCACCAGCTGTGCCGGGAGCCCCTCCCCGCATCGGGGCAGGCCTGGGGGAGATGCTGTACTTACCGGAGGAGCTGAGTTTGGGGATCCCTCTTGGGGAGACACCTTGGACCTAGCTGACTGGGAGGCTGGCAGGGCTGCTGAACCTGAACCCCTGTGGGGTGGGGAGCCCGGGCTGCTGGGTCTTCAGGGTCCTCCCCTTATCCCTGCTGTGCTCCAGCCTCAGCCCCCTCTACCTCCTTGCTCTCTGGGCTCCCGCCACGCTGGCCGCCTCTGGTGCGCGGACTCCCCGCGACTCTGAGCAGTTCGGGTTCGGCTTTCTTCCCAGAACCCCTTCTCCCATGGGGGAACCCCTGGTCACTCCAGGCTCAGCTGAGGCCTCGCTTCCTCCCCTGGAGGGTGGGGGGGCGGGATATGTTCCACGGCTGCCACCTGGCCCGGTGCTGAGCACTCAGCAGCCGCCATGCGAGCCAAGATCTTCAAGGGGGGCCACCTAGCTGGAAGATGGGGGTGGGAGGGGGCTGTTTGCAGACACGGCTCCTCTTTACTTGGGATTCCTGGGGGGCTGCCGCCTGCCCCTCCACTCAGCACACACTTGCTGCTCTCTGCTCTGTCTCCTGTCTCCCGCTGTTTCCAGGAGGGGGCCCCACACGGCAGGTGCTCTGTAGAGTCGAGGCCCTCACTGTGGGGGGTGATGGAGCAGACTGGGCTGGCTTGCCGGGAGAAGGGGGGCAAAAAGGAAGCCGAGCACCCAGCCTGGAGGCAGGTAAGGAGAGGGGGCAGGGAGCTGCTGCTCAGAGGGCATCTCCAGGGCACTGGGGCCCAAAGCACCGGGAGGAGAGGGTGGCAGAGCGAGGGGAGGGCGGGCTGAGGAGAGGCCAAGGCGGGAGGCCTGCGGGAGCAGCCCCGTTGGAGTGTAGCTGCAGGGGGGGTGGCGAGGGGGGTGGTCAGGGACCCAGAGTCTTGGGGGGGAGGTGGATGGGGGGAGGCCGCCCCTGTGGCTCTGTTGGGTCACTCATTCAGCGACAGGGCGGGACCCAGGGACTGGGTTGCTGCAGTGACCAGACAGGCTCTCCCCTGAAGCTATTCTAGCACATTCCATTCCTCATGAAACCTGGGAGCTACCCTCAGTGTTGGGGGTTGTTAAAGGAGGGTGGGGCCCTCATCATGGCCCCTCCGATGGCATGCTTACCTGCTCGTTCTTCTAGAAAGATGCTTACGAGCTGTGGCTGCGCGGGGAAAGCAGCTGTAATTGCTGTAGGGAAAGGACAACCCCCTGGAAACCAAAAGTCTCCGGGTTGGGTCCGTCCAGCTCCGTCCCCTGTGTGGCCGCAGCACGAGATGCGCTCCTCCCTGCTGGTGCGGGGCCTTGGGGAATCCTTGCCGCGCTCCGGCCCCAGCCGCGGTCCCGGGCGTGTGAGCTGCTGCCGGGCCGCAAAGGAGAACGTGAGGGCTGGTGGATTTGCACTTTGCTGGGTTGGTTTTTTTTTTGTATTTGATTTTTAAATCTGCACGCAGTGGCCACGGATTACTTTGTAATAGAGAGAGAGGGAGAAGGAACTGGTCAGAAAGCCTCCCCTAGAGAGCACTGGAGCGGGGCAGGAGAGGGTGAGCCACAGGGAGGTGCGTTCTCAGCAGGCGGTTTGGCTCAGAACCTCCCTGAAGTGGAGCCGGGCAGGTGGGCCGGGGTGGGGGACTTTGGGGTTTAGAACTATTGGGGATCAGTGATGAGGATCCCAGTGGCTGGGGCACACAAGGGGAGACAACTGGGGTCC